GGGTCTGTTTAAAATGCGCATACATTAGGTAAAAAAAAAGAAAAAGATTAATGCATGCAGCTTTCACTGACGGAGCTCTCTGTTTCAGCTGTTGAAAGGACCGACTTTCTTTCTTCTTTGAGCAGAAAAAGGCAAACCTGACACTGTGGTTTCATTTTGGGAGTATGTGCGGATGTTTGGCGCGTGTGTTTTTTCTTTCTTTAGTTTCGTCTTTTCCTGATGCAGCTTTGTGAATTCTGAGCAACAATGAAAAAATACATTTTCCTATAATATAGACACAGAAGATACTTTCTTCTAAATGAAACCTCCTCCAGAGCAAACAGACCCTCTCTTCACCACTGCGCTGTCAGTCACAGCTCCTCAGGTTTTGCAGATGTTACCCCTCTGTGTCGACGTTTCCTCCAATTACTCAGCGTGAGTGATGGCTGGTGGCGTGGAGAGCTTGGTATACAGCGAGGTCACCGATGCTAGGTCTCAATTAACCACACAGCTACACATGGGATCCGCCGTGGCCCTTATCTCGTATTTATAGAAAAACAGAGAGACAAACACAGAGCGCTGTCATGAGGCCAGACCCCGGAGGTCAGCTGTTGTTGCTGCTGAAACCTCAGCTCCCGCACAGGGACGGGGAGGAGGAAGGAAACAGAGAAGTTCAGTTTGAAAAATGTAATTAAGTTTTCAGAGTCTGTACAGCTGAGGTTCAGCTTCTCTGCTTGTTAGGTTACTTAATTTAGAGAGAAACCCCAACTGTAGTTTTTCTTGGTCAAAAACATCCACGTAGAAAAGTTAACTTCGACTTTATAATTGTGTTTGCCTCTTCTTCCAAATTACAAACAAACTTGGGAACTCAAAACTTGGACACTAAATCTCTCTTTAGATCATTTTCTTTTTTCATCATGTTTTGTACCCACGGCTGACACTGGAGCAGGACATAACACCAGGGCACTGACAGGTAACGTTTAACTGCAATAACCTAAACCTTAACTACAGTAAACAAAAACCACACAATGACTCAACGATATGAAACATATGATTGAACAACCTGATTCCCCAAGCCGAGGTGCCCTGATGGAGAGGGCACAGTCACCTTTCGTTGGTGTCGACGACCAGGAAGTTCCCACCTGAGGATCTAAGGCTGCAGGCTGGCTCACAAGGGGTCAACATTTGAGATCAGTAGAACTATAAAATCAATTAACAGGGAGCCAATGTAAGGAGGCTGAAATGGAGGTTATGTGATGTCATCTCTATGAGCCAATGAGAAGCTCAGCTGCTGCATTTTGGACCAATCAGAGACGAGAAAGGGAGAGGGGACCTGTCAGGAGAGAGTCACAGTAATCGAGCGCATGAATGACTTTTTCAAGCTCTGGTTGTGAGAGTACTGATTCGATGAGGGAGATGGTGCTCGGTTGATGGTAACATGTAGTGAGACTTGGCTTACGTGATATTCAGATGTCAAGTTGCAGTCGAGTATTACTACTATATTGGAGTAAAGTCAAGGTAGCTGAAATTCATAAGAATCAGTACATTTGGACTGTCAAGTGAAGCTACAGTAATACCTTTGATGGTACAATAGACAAATCGTGTTGGCAAGAGGATAAAAAGAACGTCACTTTTACAGCTCTAGGTCGTTTGTTTGTAGGATAAGAAAGTTTTGTCTTTTTGACAACCTTAATTTGTTTGTCACGTTTTGATTACTGTCATGTAACTTAATCTGCAGCTCAAATCCTGGCTTGCAAACATTGGGGCATGTGCAGAACACTTGATTCAACTGATTCAAAAAAGTTTGATTTGGTGCGATTTCAGTAGGACGAACACGTTTACAAACTTTTTAAATGTCCAGTTTTAAAGACTTTTTTGAACAACATGTAAAGGTACTGACGGACCGGACTAACAACCATCATTTCAAACCTTTACATGAAATTAAAAACACTTTTTTACACTTTTATCATGGCTTCTTTGTGCTGCGTTCCAGTTGTACTCAGAAGTCGGAATTACCAAGCTCTTAAGTCAGATTTCCGACTTGTCAGACGATCCTCACCAGCCCCGACTTGACGACAACATCATAATCAAGATGGCAGAGCAATGCATCAACAGTAGAGAGTAACAGTGAAAGCTCTCGTAATGTATTATTTATAAGCACTTCTGTTTTGTTTTTGTGAAATTAAATAAGTGGTTTATGTTGTACTGCCCAACGTCTAACTGTGAACACGGTGCTATGGTGTTTGTAGAGGAAAATACTGTGTTATGCGTCGTTTACAACTGGTATAGCTAACAGCAACTAACAACAGCTAGCTGTAGGCGTCCATCTTGGTTTTCTGACTTATTGACTGGAACGCCGTCAACTGGGGTGTAACGTCATTCCCAGCTCCGACATCCAACTTCTGAGGTAACTGGAACGCAGCATTATTCCAAAACAATCTGTATATTTTGTCTCCCTTTGTCTTATTTTAGTGAATTACTTCAACTTTAAGAAACCATTTCACACACATTCATTATTAAAGTCTGCTTATCCTTTACAAGGTCATAGAGGTTTTATTAGAGTATTAAAACAAATAAATCTGTTTCGTATTAGAGGGGATTTTGCTTATTTAAACTGTTTGATTACCTTTGATATTAAATGAAATGAGCTGAATAGAGCCCCAGCTGATGTATGTAACTGTACCACACAGCGACATCCTCCGTTATTACTGTAAACAATAGATGTTACAACCAATATGAAAAGAAATATGCCTTTTTCTCCTCTGAATAATCTCCCTCCTGCACACGAGCCTCCACATAATGAGCTTGAGCAGATTAAAAATTGTAATCCATGTGCTAATGGCCGTGGCATTTTTGTCTTGCTTCATTATGGAGATTTAATGCAGACTGAGGGGCTTTCAAATCACTTTTTATGACAAGTGAAACGCAATCAAAGCTTGCATTAAGAGGTTCGTTAGGTGACTCTTAAGGCTTTGTGGGATCCAATTTGCATCTTGAGTCTAAGAACTAACAGAGCGAAACACAGCGTGCATGCAGATCTGTCTAATTATAGAAGCCTCTGTCTTCCTGAACGTCCACCGATTATAATGGTGTCTGCGTTTGACGAGAATAGCCACATAACATATGATAATGTGCAGCAATGTGAATCACGTGAAAAACAAGGTCGAGCCCTGTATTCTGCTGCTGGAGACGGGATGTAGTGATTTCAAAATGCTGTGTGAATACTAAAGGAGCCATTTCACACTGAACACTTGATTGGACTCATACAGCTGTCCTCTGCACCCTCACAATCGTCTTTTAGGAGCTATAAAAGGAGGATGCATATGGGCTCGATGAGAAGGCTGACAAGCCAGTATAAGAAAACACTACAGATCCAAGGACAGCTTGACATGTTCAGTTTGAGCTTCAGTAAAGCTAATTTTTTACAAGAAGCAGAAAAGCTGAACTCAGACCCTGACGGTTATAGCGGAGCTGCTTGTAAACACGGATGTTTTCCCCTCTGTGCTGGGGTAAAAAAACTGGATTTTTTTTTATTAACAAAGCAGCTACTTCCTGTTTTGGAAAATGAGGCCTGTGAAGAAGTGTAGAACATTGTAGTTCCTTAAGTGTCCACTAGAGGTCTGCTTCAAAAGCTGAGGAATCCCAGTTAGTCTTCCACTGGCGCAGTAGCATTGTGCGCATTTGGCGGGAGAGTTGTTGAGACGTCGCTCCGCCAGTATATGGATTTGAAACCGAAAAGCTCTCTGTAATTCTGCATTTTTCTCCACTTCCTGGTAAACCAATATTGCAATAGCATTCGTACACCCATAGGCTGTATCAAGAGTCAATAGTCGGCTCAAACAGCGTATCCCCCCGGTGAGCTATGCAATCTTCGTACGCCCATAGGCTGTATCAAGAGTCAATCATAGAAATAACTTTTAAAAATGGAGCTGTACAGAATAAAAGGAGACTTGAGCACAAACCAGTCTTACAATAACTACATGTCAACATTTATATTCTGAGTAATTAATTTCTGAAGTTTGTCCACAACTCTGTAGGGATTGCTGGAGGAGGTGGGATTTATGACCTATACTGCAACCCGTCACCAGAGGGTGCTGTTCTCACGGTGGCTTCACCCAGCGAGGATGCTGTCCAATCTATATACAGTCTATATTTATACATTACAGTATGAGGCCCCATATGTTAGCTATTCTGCTAAAGGTGCCGACTTTTATGCCTTGTAGTGCACATGACATGCAAATTGAGTGACTTCTAAATACTGTCAAAAATGATAGTAAGAGAGCAGAAGGAGTGAACCAAACAAGAAAGTATAAAACTGTCAAAGAAACCAATTATTTTATTCATTCACCTTTTTGTTAATTACTCACTAATTTCCACACTTTTCGCTGCAGCTTTGTGATTTCTGGTGAGAGTTTAAGAATGAGAAGTAAAGGTAAGTTTCAGCTTTTGGCACATGACGTACCTTAAAGAAAGATCCATTGAATGTTAAAGTTTGCTCCATTGTTAACGTGTCATAAAACAGCCTCACGCTCAGCCTGAATTTGCATGTCTTAAAAAGGAAGTAACAAATTACGCTATTCAAACATAGACGCCTTAAGTGCTCGCTGCTATTACACGATCAAAGAGCTTTTGTTCAATTTCTGGCGTTCGCTTCGAGAAATGCCGTCCAATGGATTCAGTTTTGTTTTATGAGTGTTTTTAAAGGTTATTCTGGATCCTTAAATGTTCAGGAATAAAGATGGGATGTCTCATAAATGGTCTCATGAGTGAAAGTGAAGTCACTCTCGCTGAAGTGATTGTTCAGGATGTTATTCATGGTAGAAAATAAAAACCACACACTGATTTTCTAATGAACGATCCTGGGCCCTGTGTCTTATTTACAACATGCTCAATGACTAATACAACATTTATAGTCATGGTTATCAAATGCAGCAGCATGAGCTGTTATTCTGCCAACAAAGAGAAATACATGCAGCCTACGTGTAATGCGTTGCAATGATTGATAGTCTCCAGCTTCCAGTTTGACATCTGCTAATCACAAAAGACTGTTTCCCAGACTCTAAGTGCATTGATTCATTAGTAGGAAGCATGTATTTTTATTTCCACATCTACTTGATTAGAGGCAACCTGAGGTTCTGCAGCGCGGTGACCTTCTGCCTCCCTGCAGCACAGAGAGGAGAGAAAACAGGAGAAAAAGTATTCAGTTTTAAAGTGGCCTTGACAGGTCTGACTTTCAAAAGGAAGAAAAAGCACTTGCCTGATGAAATGCTGCAGGAGAGGGAAAGAACAAAGCATATGGTGTTCTTTTATTTAAATCCTCGTTTTACCAAAACAGAAAACTCAGCAAGACAAAAAAGGATTTCTGGAAAGAGACCACATAGAGGGAAGAAGAAAGCTTCCACGCCGGCAACCCCCTCGCCCTCCTCATCCTGACAGGATGCAACCAACAAAATATGATGCTCACTATTCGCACTTGTTCCCCAAGTCATATAAAAGCCATCAAGGATACTGTACCTTTGAAGTATCATAGACCAGGGGCAGCTTTAATGGTGTGAAATGTGCCACAGTGCAGTTACACCCTCCGTGATATACAGACCTGTCGGGAAAAATCACCCAAATCAGGTCAGTTTTGCTCTCAAGGCAAATGGACAACTCTGTCCCAGACAGATTTAATCAGCGCCTGATTTACAACCTCTAACCGCTTAATGTCCCACTGCCACGCTCACATCATACCCTCATTTGTTTCCCTATCAGAGAGCCACAATAAATCTGAAGAAAAAAAGAGCATTTTTTTTTATTGAAGGGCTTTTCTGCTCTGCTCTCAGCTCGCTTACAAAACATAATGGCCTTGAAATGGGCAACCGAGGAGATAGCAAAAAGCAAAGTAATATCATTCTGCCAAACATTGCCCTGTAACTGCACATACAAAACAATGTGATTGTGTTATAGCGTATGCACCTGGATTTGATGTCTGATAGCCCACAGTTGCTCATGCACAGAAAGCCCAAAACATCCAAATGATTACACAGCAGCCACTTTAGCTGGACGACTGGAAATTACTTTGACGTTTGTTTTGTATTCTTTTATAATTTGGACTCTGTGAACCAGAAAGAATCACATGAATCCTGCAGATCAGCTCACAGAAAATCCAACAGGTGCAATTTAAAGCCTCTGAACAGCTAAATGGAGCATGCAGTGAGTTTGTTTTTCCAACCGCTGTTTTCGTGCTCAAAGATGAACTTTGACCCTCAGTTTTTCAGTCGACATGGAGAACAAGCTCTGAAAAAAGACACATTTAGATCTCCACGACAACAACTGGGAGCTTTGGAAGCGACAGAATATGTCCTGGTGCTTCGTTGACGAAATGATTCAACAAATTAAGAAATGTTTAAATGTTCTTTCCAGACAAGAATATAATGAAAGGTTTGCCACGATAACATATTTGAATGGACAGAGATAAGTTAAAATCTGATCCAAAGAAACCTAATAAAAGCAGACTGACGGTTAGCTTAACCTAGCATAGGGACCAGAAACAGGAGGAGCTTAGTGGAGTTGGGGCTCCAAAAAGCAAACATGTTAAAAGTGTGGATATACTCACTTACCAGCACCCTCTGTTGACGGGCTGCAGTATAGGTCATAAATCCCGCCTCCTTCAGCAATCCCTATGGAGTTGTGGACAAACTTTAGAAATTAATGACACAGAATATAATTTTTTCTCCACCCTGGTTGCGATGTTGACATGTAGTTACAGTAAGACTGGTTTGTGCTCAAGTCCTCTTTTTTTCTGTACAGCTCTGTTTTTAAAAGTTATCAGGGGGTTCATGTTTTCTATGATTGACACCTGATACAGCCTTTGGGCGTACCAAGATTGCGTAGCTCACCTGGGGGATACGTTGTTTGAGCGACTCTCCCGCCAAATGTGTACAATGCTACTGCGCAAGTGGTGGTTCCAGAAAGTGGAGAAAATTGGCTGTAAATTAGTATAATGACGGAAGGCGGAGCCAAGTTGTTCATAGTATATGCAGTCTATGCTCTGCACCTTTTGCCATGCAATATCTTCATCATGTTTACTTCCTTGCTCCTTATGTTGAGGTTTTCTTTACCACCTGGCTTCCCTCTGGCATTTATACTGTTTGTCACAGCCTGATATGTGAAATGTGGAGCTTGTGCAGATTGCCACAGCCAGTTTAGGCCCACCTGTTGTGTTCACAAGCAAGAGAAAACAATTGCATTAGCGAGATATCAGTCTGGTAACCATAAAATTTCAGTTGTACTTATTATTATGGATTATTTTAACATCATGTAAACATACTACTACTAATATTCTGATGTGTTAAAATGTTTGTACAGTTTCATCTTGATTTCATTCAATGATGATGAGAAGTTAGTCGAGTTTCACCCCCACATTCTTCATGTTTTTATTAGTAAACTCTGTGGCTCATGCTCCCAGATGGGTTTATCAACATTGCTCTCACTCACACTCACACACCCCTGATTTATATGAAAAAAGGCTCTTAGTTTCCTTTTTTCCTGAGCTTGTCTCTGCTACAAAACATTGACTCCAAGCCCCACATGAAGACATTCTTGAAAATTTCAGGTATACACTGCCTCGCTGAGAGTTTGATGAGTAGTTTGATACCACCCTCATGTCTGTGATGTTAACATAAAGTCAAAGTATCAGAGGTTCGCTCAGCTGTGGTGCTGCTCTGACCCAAACCCATTCTGAGTCCTAATGAAAAGTCCATTTGAAAGACGAGCTCTGCAGCCTCCTCCTCCTCTTCCTCCTCCTCTCCAGTGGGCTTATAAAACAAGGGTCTACATGTGGGGATTGAGGCACACTTGTCCTCTTTTCTCAAATAAGATGAAAGAGACCGTGGCAATGCATCAGATTAAGCATTCACAGCTGCCATTAGTGGTTGCGTGCAGGGGAATCTCGACAGAAATCACATGAAACACCACAGCAAATAGAAAGCACTGGAGGGGGGAAATAGCACGCAGTCTGGAAGTGAATTTCTGTCATGGAGGATCCTCAGAAAATGGTCCCAGTTCAAGTCCGCTGGTCAGAAATAGAGGAACAATACAATTTAAATTTCATATGATACTGTGGCACTACCAGCTGCTATAAAAAGGCAGTAATAGATCACATGATGCTTATTCTGCTGCAAGGCTCAATATGTCTATGGCTACTTCAGCAGTAATAGACTCATGGGAAATAAACTCAGCAGCTCCATAACAGTTTCTACTCCACCCATGGCAGTTTGTCGAAATTACTCTCCATTTTGAAATAAGGTCATTATGGCCTGTTGTTAAGGGGCAGGATGGAGCATGTGTGGAGTATGTGTGGATTTAGTCTGAACGGATTCAATTTTGTATGTAGTGGATAAACATCTCTGCAGGAAATACACCATGTTAAGTAAAGCTAGTGTGACATAAAGCTGCTATTTTGGTATTTTTTAATACATAATATACCCAAAGATTATTAAAATGAAAAACCACCTCCAACTCAGGGACTATTCTCCTAATATACCGAGTTTTACTTACACCAAGCGGTATAGAGATTGCATTTCTGGTCTGTACTAAGTTGCATTACTTTGGTCTAAACTGAAATATCTCAGTAATTATGAAAGAGGTTAATGTTTCATTATATCTAGACCAGTTATATTTTATTGTAAAATTGTGTAAGACCTTTCTTCTCTGTCAAAAGTGAGCTGCACCCTTTAAACAGGGGCAACAGCATACCAATATGAAGTTTGCAGAGGTACTCCATTGTGTTACAGTAGTTTACCCAGAAGATGGCGCTCAAAGGAGTAAGGGGCCAATCCCCTGAAAAGAGTATGCGGGAATATATGCAGTCAACAAGAATGATTTAAGACCATTTGGTTTAATATATAGACTGTCAAGACCATCTGACCCTGACCTTATATGATTTGACTCAATTTGATCTTTTCTCTGCCAAACCTCAGTGAGCCTTATAGGATTTTAGTGTGGGCGTCAGATTTAAGAAAAATGTATTCTTGCAGTCTAAATATTTTAAAGTTTGAGTCGATTTCTTTAACAAAATCCTCCGTATGTGTTAGTCTCCTAAACAGTTTGACAGAACATCCACTCATCATAAATTAACATAAATTTTGAAGTTTCGTAAAGGTTGAAATCTTGACTAAGACCTGTTTTTTTTTTGTTTTTTTTTTTTTACATAAAGAAACTTTAATTTTCCTGAACTTATATATTTTTAATTAGAAACATCACATACGCATATCTGAGACTGCACAGAAGACTTATTTGGTTGGGGAATAGGCGTTGTACATTTGCCTCAAATAATCTTCTCCCCTGCACACCTGTGAGAATTTTAGAGTAGCTATTCATTTCTTATTTCCCGGCAACTTAGAAATCAATGAATCCACATTTCTGCAGCCCACCTTTTTGTGTGTATTTTGTGCTGAAATCAATACAGCCTTAGTGAGCTTTGAAAGGTTGATGATGCAGAAACACAATTGATCCATAAAACTCCTGAGTCCAATCCATACTGAACAAGGGGACAAACATTTGGCTTCATGCGTTCGGACACACACACACAGTTTAGACGCACAATCCATATTTTGAATCTGGTTGGTCGAGTAAATACTTAAATAATATATAAAAGGTCAATGATAATAAGATGTTTTGTCAATGTACATTTATTGAAGTAATTGCTCTTCTTCCAGCTCTTCTCCAACAGTTTTCTCCTCTTCTACCCCATCGGCTTTCTGTCTCTGTCTTGTATCAGTATTTCTATCTAACATGGATCTACAGCCACGAGGCCGAGCTAAATCCCTCAACACCCTAGTATAATTAAATGTCTTAATAACTTCTCTAACAGCCAAATTCAAACAATGTGAGCAAGCTTCATCTGGAAGCAGAGTTGGTATCACGTTATAAAGTAAACAAGAAAAAATCACTTGGTGCAGTCAGTACAAGCTCAAAAATCTCACGGATATCCCAGCATGAATGAAAGCATACACTATGCTTTGATTCAATATGGACATCCTCTTAGCCTAAAAATGCTACAAAGGGGTCATATGTTTTTTGTTTTGTTTGTGTAAATAGCACTCTGTGTTTTCTCCTTTTTGTGGGCATTGCTTTCCAGACATTAAGGAAAACATCTTTAAGAGTAAAACTTCGAAGCAGTCAAGCTTGAATCATTCCAACATGCCATGAATTCTGGGGTCATCCACCTACTGATTTTTGGCCACTCAATATGTTATATGTAAAGTCAAGCCGAGCTGTGGTTGTAGCTCAATAAGGCAATTTAGTTTAGCTCTGAGACTTTTGTACATACAATAAGACAGCTTTATCCGTCTTTACACCTCTTCTTTTTCTGCTGAGATTTTCTTCACTAACTAGCATCCCACAGTATTAGTGCTGTTTCCATTCCATGACCTGTGTAGCATGCTCAGAACACTCAGTTTCAGTCCCATGACAGATTATACCTTTGTAAATGATCCCCAACTGCATCATCAAGGTGTGTTAGTCCAAAAGCAAGAAATTTGATCTCGTGCGATATCAGTTTGACTCACACGTAGTTTTAAAAGTCAATTTTCAGTCGAAGTTGCCAGGATACTATCAAGCTTTGTAACACCCCGTCGAGAGATAAATGTTGCCAACTGCTTGCATCTCTAGTTATACCAACTTCTGTAGCGGATCATGTCCTTGAAGTAACTATCATCATAATAATCGTTTTGCACAGCAGATGCAGTAGTTCTTCTGCCTTAGTGTCTCAGTCTGATTGCATTTTCATGAAGTAATGATCATAAATGTTCTTCCTTGAGCTGCGAAACTCCGCTGCACTCGGTTATCAACTTGTCAGAGCTCCGCGACAAACAAGCTGCTACTGTAAGAAAGTAGGTGAGTTGTGTTTAGTCTCTTTGCTAAAGGAATTAGGCAAAGCTAAAAAGATGATTGGTGGCTAGCACTTTGGCTGGGACCCTATATGTCCTGTTGATGAAGTTAGGTGCTGTTCTGAGCATTATTTGTGGCTATAGAGTGGTGTTTTGGTTGAGGTTTGCACGTGAAGATGTAGACCATTGTGTATTGCTATCATGTGGTCATTGCTGAAGTTGGTATAACTAGAGAAGCAAGCGGTCAGCAACATTCATCTCTCGAACGGGATGTCTAACTCAGTGTTACGGTGTGTTTGACCCTAACTTAATTTTACGTCGGAATATCCCTTTAACATTGCCATTGTAAAACTTGTAATTGTTTTTTTTTTAATTTCCAAAAGTAAATGTAGGTGACAGATTCAGATTCAGAGTGCTTATGTTATGATAAAACCAATTTAATAAGATCCTTTAAGGTGTATTTAAATATGTAATGACAGCGTATTCTTCACATGTAAAGAAGTGTCGCAGAAACGTCACTGTAATAGTGGTTGAGGTTTCTCTCTGTAATATGAGACATGGGGGCACATCTTGCTTCTCCCTGAAAATAAGACTTGTAGGAGGTCTCTTCAGCAGAGAAGCCTCACTCTGAGAGGCTTCAGCACTCTTAAGACGCCGCACAGTGGGGGGTCTATTTTCTCTCAATCTTCCCTCTCTCCACAGGCAACGTGTGTCCGAGTGTGAAAGCATTTGTGTGTGTGTGTGTGTGTGTGTGTGTGTGTGTGTGTGTGTGTGTGTGTGTGTGTGTGTGTGTGTGTGTGTGTGTGTGTGTGTGTGTGTGTGTGTGTGTGTGTGTGTGTGTGTGTGTGTGTGTGCGTCGTAGGTTGAAGTCTAGGTCAGAGGCGGGTGGTAGAGTCACCTCATGTTGTCAGATCTCTTCACAGATTAAAAGAGAGAGAAGTTCGGCTTTTTCATCCCACAAAAGCTGACACTCATTGAAACAGACCTGCTGATTTTTATCATGGCTTCTCTGGACGCTGTCAGAAAGAGCAGGTTCAAGAAAACATGAAACCTCTCTGACTCTGACAGGATGTTTCCCAGCAAAACTGTAAACTCTTGAAGCAACCAAAATACTTTTTTAAGGTAACGGTTGAGGCAGTTTGGTTAAGGTTTGAGTAAGATTATTTGACACTTGAGCTCTGGCAACATGACTGATGTTACCGTGATGATAACTGCTTTAAAAAAGAACAGAAATATTAATAGTCTGCTCAAATAAGCATACATGAATACAGTGTAATTAGCTGGTTTATAGTAGGGAGGCTGTAGTGGCTCCTTATGCTGATTGCCCCATGAATTGAACTTCTCATAGTCGGACTAACATATCTGGATAATGTGGTAAGGGTTCAATTTTCTCTTTCACAGATATGCCTCAACTGCACCTACTCAAGTGACTGTGGTAAACTGAGACAAGGATTTTTCTGGATTTGCAAAAGGACGCGGTGTTTGTGGACTTTGTGTAAAGCAGAATCATATTCAGATGTTGACAGTGGATTCTTGTTTCATTAGCAGTCTCTGTCATGGAGATAAAATATCATTTTGAACATAATGGATATTGATATCTGTCCTTTGGCCACTTAATGCACATAAAAAGGTTTCACAAACACAATCAGGGGGTATGCGATTGCCGTAATATATATGGTGTTATTTCAGGCGTGTAGCTACAAACCCATTGTCTTTGAGCTCCTTCACATCCAGGTTTCAGAGTAATCTCTCTGATACAGTAAAATGCCAGCAGACACACACATACTCACACACTAAGGGAACATGTACCAAACCTCCAGCATGCTGAAGTCTTTCATAAAAATGGTAATTTTCTTCAAATTACACAGCTGACAGTCTCCCTCCTGAAAAGATGACATGTTGAAGAAACAAGTTTTTCCAAGTGACAACATGACAGCAGTCAGACGTGAGAGCAGAGCATCATTACACAAGCGTGAAGTGAACACTATGAAGTGTGCTCGTTCTGTGTGTTTCTGTGTGTGTGTGTGTGTGTGGTGGGGGGTTATTGCGAGCTATCACAGTGCACCAAATATAGAAGTGCCTTAGTCTCTGGAGAGGCCATCAAGAGTCTCCTTTTGCTCTGCCCACTCCAGTTGATGAACCAGACACAGAAGGCTCTGTCCTTTCACTGCCTCCGAGGAAACAGGGGATGAATTTTTAAAACGACTTTGCTGTAAACAAGTGTTTACGCCGCTGCCGGACACGGTGACACGCTGAAAAGAAATAGTGCCACATTTGCCACATTTTCACCTCTGGTAGAGGAGTGTTTGAGGCACTTGTGGGCTTATTACTGTCGTCATATATAAACAACAATTGTTTGCTCTCATGCATTCTTTATAACTTTAACAGTGTGTCCTTCAAAACACTTCATATTGCAGACTGAGAGTATGCGCCTGTAGTAAAGAGACATTGCAGTGTTTTTAAAGTGAGGTTGTATGAGCTATGTGTCACTAGTAAGTATACTAGCCACAATAGATGATGGTTAGCTCAGGCTTCTTCATGAGAAACTGCTGGGGGGACTGGCACGTAAGCTAGGCTACAGTTTTCTGCAGATGGGGCAGAGTCGACCACATAATTTAGCTAATTTTGAGAAACTTTGACTCAAATGTTCAGTTTAGGTATAAATATTCAGTACTTTGCTATCAGAAATCCTGTTTTCTTTTGCACTATCTGTGGACGTTAACACACAGGCATGCTTGCTAGCATACCTAGCATCCTGTTTCTCTGTAAGGGGCTGAGCTGACATGTATTGCTATGTTTCTACCGTAGCCCAAAACAGACAAACTAGTTGTGGATGTTTTTAGTTGCTCATGAATTTGAAATAATGGACTTTTCTGATGGAAAAACTTGGCAAATAAAAGATGATACTCTCATGTATCATTGGAGCTTTTTGTCCTCAAAGGCCACCATCACTTCATTGACAGGAGGGGTGAGCAAGGGAACATTTCAACCAAGAACTTGACCGCTTCTACACAACTTAGTGATAATAAATATGTAAATGTTTGTTATTTTTTTCTTGCAAAGCTGTTTAATCCTCCTGACTTTAACGTTTGTTGGGTTTGTTGACAACAAAAATCTGTAAAAACTGCCATACCTCTACTCCAAGAGCGCTCTAAGCTGTAGCAGCCAATAAACACAGAAGACGAGCGTAACATTCTCAGCATAACTTCAGCACTCGGTAATACTGGAGAGGTTTGTGTCTCTGAAGTGAATTTATCCTGGTGAATAGCTGGCCGTAAGTTCCCAGCAGAACCATGAGGGCTGTTTGGGTATGAAGGCCGGGCCTTTGTGCGGAGAGCCTGAGGGCAGTGGAGCATTGGCTCCTTTAGAGTTTGATTTATAATTGAAAGCTGTGTTTACATCAGCGCTCCAGCCTCCGTAGCACAGAGCTCAGTTCATAGCCTGATGAAGGAGGAACTGGGAAATTAGAGCCATTAAAAAAGGAATTTTTGGGGGGAACTTTGGAGGAAGGGGCGAGGGTCGGGGTGGTCATAGAACATGGTGTTTACATTTGCTTGTACATCATTGTGTAGAGGAGTGGTCCTCCGCAAGAAAGCCAAGGAAATGTTAAATCACATCTGACAGCTGGGAAATTGACCACGTCTTGGCTCTAATAGTTTTGTTGCGGGAAGTTGGGGGACTATCCGGGCGGAGATGGCGGTGGAAGCTAACAAGCAATCATTACAGCTGGTCTACTTTGTGTAATTACATATCCCATGGCGGCCATTTGGGGACAAGCTTAGGAAGTCTCAGTGTTTCTAAAATGTTGATGTGTGAAAAAAAACTCATGGTGTTTGAAGGAGATGAAATTTGTTGAAGGAAGAAGATTAATATTAAAAACAGCTTTTCATGATAACAGAAATACAAAATACACATGGAGAGGTAAACTGAGCAGTTTTAGGTTGTTTATCTGTTTGTTTGCGTTTAAGGTTGTTTCTGTGGTGTCAGTATTAGTTCAATTTAATTTGTACAAAGTGTTTATAGCCTGTAAAAATGCTAAGGGCTTTGATTTAAAGTTAAATACTGGAAATCTTCTCAAAAGACCAGCATTCAATTTGCAGTCAGGCTGCTTATCAAGTCCAAGATCCCATCCTTTGAAAGTGGATGAAGGCCTGCACACTAGTCACTGTATCAAAATCAGCAGAAAAGGCCCAAAGTGCCAAAGAAGGGAGGAGCTCCCCGACAGGTGTGTCTGAAAACCTGATCATTTGATGCACATTTAACCTGCAGAAGAGCTCACAGGGCAGCTGTCACTGTTTGTTTCTGTTAACAGAGATACCAAGTCGTCAGTTGTGTCGCTGATGTATAGATTGTAAAAGTGTATCAGTATGAATTTTATAAATGTCAGAAACTTCTCACAGGAGCTTTAAATGGGATTTATCAGCTCATGATTTAAAACATTTTGTTCATGGTGTTTGTTTTTAATCGTTTGAAAACAGAACACTTTGGCTGACAAATGAAATATTTCAGAACTCAGAAGGGGTTTTATTGCCATTGTCGATAAACAGGATTTAAGGACTAGGATCAGTTTCGGCATGATGGGGCAACATTAAACAGAGAGTAATGTAAAATACTAGAATAAAAACTAACAAGAAATATATAAAGTATAAAAGTACAAAAGGCTAAAAGGCTAAATCCAAAGTACATTAAACTAAAGTGACTAGTGATAAAGTGACAGGGTTAAAGTGACTGAGTTATAACGTGCTAAATGAGAGAAAATATTCAGTGCTTTGAGTTTCATGTATATACTGTTATCACTTCATTTGAGTGGGCGTTGGCTTTTGTCAGGAATAAACATGTCTATATTTGGAGTAACTTTTGATTATGATCCGAGCTTTGAACACTGATCAGCCGGTTGTTTATGTTAGCATGAAAGAAGTACTATAACTTGTTGGGGAACAGAATGTAACATTGACTGTTTGCCTGCAGCTTTTGCCCATAAAGTTCACAAAATGCAATCATTGCTTTCACTGCAGGGCAGCCGCTGATCAGTGTGTAAGACTATAAAGTATTCATGCAGATTGCCTCATTTTTCCAGCTCCATTACTGGTTTTCCTCTGTAGAGGGCGAGTTGTTAAACTAGATGGATATCCTAAGTTTTCATCACTGACCGTGTTACCCAACCTCCGAGTCTGATTCATACAGTAGTAGTCAATTTACACCATCCTCTGTCCTCTTTTCCTGCACTGAGCTCTCTAAGTTTGAATAAATTTTCTTATTACAACATTTATCACACTGTTGTGTAACATTTGTGAACTCCAGTCGAGACCCTCCCTCGGGCTCCTGGAAATATTGCATTTAATTAAATCGTGTTTTTGCAGAGATATTATTTATTTAAATCCTGCACTAAATTGTCTCTAAACCATGTAATGGCTCTCCAGCTGCTCTGAAAGCCTCAGCAGTGCCATTAGAGGCAAATTCGGAAAAACTCCATCTGAGTTATACCCACAAGACAACACTGATCCTCCTCATTTCAGATGCAGTGCATGCTGGGAATCCAAGACATTCATTATGGCCTGTTTGGGTTTGAACACTGATGTGTTTAGAAGAGGGTGACTAACTGAGAGTGTGCGCCTCTTGAACGCTTTATTTTTAAACGCAAACATTGACACAGGGGTCAGGAAGTAAACACAACAGTATGTAAGAGGAAGTGTGAGACTGAATCAGACTGCTGCGGCTCATCACCGAGTCCTGAATAAACCAGGAGGCACAATTATCATGTTTACATCACAAACTCAGAGTTTCATAAAAAGAAAAAACTGTATTTACTGAGCTGTCTAGAGAGTAAAGGAATATCACGTAAAATATTTACTGTATCACCCTCCTTGAAGCTTTACCCTTTCAAACCCAGCTCAGTGCATGAGCTGGTTACTTTATCATGCAGAGAGTGCCATCAAGTGGTCACTCTGTGCTCTACAGCTGTTTTTTCCCCCTTTGTTTCCTTTGTTGTGAGGAGGGTGATTGTGTAACAATCAAAGGTAGATTACGTAATCTCCCGTTTTCTTCATCCTCTGTCCTCTGTCTGTAGGCCACACATGAAACAGATGCTGATGTTGTTCATGTTGAAGCTCCTGTGAGGAGTTATTTCTGTTTTATGAAACAGACTGAAATTCTTAGTGGTGCCTTTTTATGACACACAAAAACAAACAAGACCACCAGCAACCAGACTGATAAATGTTTCTGTTGTAATTGTTAAAGCCTGAAACTAATATGAGGGGGTGGGTATCAACCAAGCAGCTGAAGAAACAGCTCTGTTTTTAGATTTTACACGTAAAATTTTAATAATGCTGTCAAGGGTTAAGAGGATGAGATTTATGTCAAAATACACCACTTAGGCATGTAAAGGAGAAGATAAGCAAAGACTGCTTGGTCTACTCGAGGCACAAAAACCAAAAGCTCCTCACAGGAACTTCAAAGTATCATTTTTATCATATTTTCCTTTATTAAAATAAATACTTTACAAAAATTTCAGACATCTTAATGAGTCATTTAGAGCATAACAATTGATTTAAAGCCAGTATCACTTTTCCTACTGATGATAATATTAAATCAGATTTAGGCTCTAGAGAAGACAAAGATGATGTCAAGTTTTGTCAAGTTCTGAAGATTAACTAAAGAAAAATTATAACTTTTCTATCAAAAAATGCTCAGCAGACTGTAGAAAATAGTTCATTTTTATCTGAAAATGCTTTGGCTCACAACTAAGTCTTGAGATGATAAGGTTTTTAACGCTTTTAAGCCTTAGTTAAATTGGACTGGGATCACCTGGGAGCTTTTATTGTTTGTGATGATCGCATCTGCGTTTCTTCATTCCTGTGTAAATCGGCCATGTCTGTGATTTGAGAAGCAAAAACCTGCTTATTTTGGGACACATAGAGGTCAGTTGATAATATTACTCAAGTTTGAAACAGCATCTGAGTACATAGGGGTTGTAATTTTGAATTTAAAAGGTCTCAGCAGTATTTTCTGCCCCATCCTAAATAACAGAGGCTGCAGTGGACACTGTAAAGAAAGGTCTCGACAGCAGTTTCAGCTGGCTCACTTCTCTACACAGATCCACTCACAGAAATAGCAAACTAAAGCTCGAGATGCAGATAGATGATATGCTTTGCAGCGCGCCGTAAAGTACCGTTTTTAATTTTTCACACAGGTTTGTGTCTCTGTCACGCTGACAGTACGTGTATAATCAGGAACTGTTTGCTGCGAGGTGTGAGGTGCACCACTTTGGCTTCTAGTATGGAAGTAAGAGTGCAGTGCTTTATTTATTCATGTTTGGCAACCACTAAATTACCCACATAGACACTTTCAAATCTATCTCCCAGACTACCAAAATGGACTTCATGAGCGTGACTCCATTATCCAATGCAAATGCGCCAAAACAAACACTGGCGCTAAGGGGTGATTCACAAATTACCAGAGGTCTTCTGGGTAAAACTACTCTCATGTGAATAATGCTGATACACATACAAACTGAGAGCAGACCCTCCTCCTTTGTTTTCACTTGTCTGTCCTTGTGTTTTCTTTTCTATAGGAGATCTCTGTCATGAACTGAAGCTCTGACTCGATGCAGAAGCAGTCCACTCTCTCTCTGATGTGATCCAGGACTCCTCTGATCTCCTCAGCTCTTTGCTCCCTGTGAATCAGAAGGACGGAGCAGCCGGAGGGGCTGAGGAGCTGCTCTGTCTCCAGAGCCAGCAGGTCTGGAAGGTATTGTTAAGGGTCATGGTCCATCAGAACCAGATCAAGCCCAGCACTGGTCTCTTTATCAGGCTCAAGGTGGGAGTGTAATGTTTGAATGGCCTCGGCTGAGCTGGAGGTCAACACCTGGAACTGCAGTGAATCACAAGAGCATAATGAACGGTTAAACTGTGGTTTCTCGTTCTTCCTTTTGATTTGAAAGCAAGAAAGTTGAACTTTCATCTCCTTATGTACCTGGGTGTGTTTAAAACCAGATACAAGTATGATCTCCTCCCCTAGCTCTGCTGTGAGGGGGTCCTGCTCCACTGTGATCAGCCTGCCAGCGGGGGGCAGCAAGCGCAGCAGGCGGACAGAAGTGTAGCCACAGTGCATCCCCAGCTCCAACACTCGAGAGGGACGGACTCGCCTCACCACTTCATCTACGGCTTCAGCTGCAGGTGAGAGAGGAGACGACGACAGTAACTGAAACTATTTGACGAATCACAAGCGCACAGTTTATTACATTAAAGTTTATAATCATTAGTGAACTTATAGCTGATCGATGCACAGTTAGATTTTAAACCATGATGAATAAAAAGAAAATACAAGATTAAAACAAACAGTTGAGTAGAAAACTAAAATCCCAGTCTAATATCAACACTAAGTTTTGAAGCAGTGATTTGTGGAGTTACTTGAGTTTGAGCAGGTTTCATATTTCAGTTTGTAGCTGCAGCTAAAGTCCATTTCAGACCCTCAGAATCACAACAGGAGATCTATATATTTGTGTCCCACACTAGATGTTAGTTTGAATCAATTATAATATGTAAATGGAATACTGCCCATAAAGCATCTTTTAGTGTTTTATTGTCTTTTTTTATTGAAGTGTATTTTTGATATTTTAGTGATTTATTACACTGTTTATCCTCTCCCCAATTTAATTTACTCTTATCATAATTAAAGATCATTAATAATATTTATTTTTGTTGTTTTAACTTTCTAATCTTCCCTTTAGTGTTTCCTCTGTATGATCTTACGATAGTGTTCCCTCAGCTCCCCAGTTTCTGTTTGATTGAATCCTTTTGTTTATGCATTTGTGTTTTGTTTCCCTCTTTTTTTAAGATTTATTTTCAGGCTCTTTTTATGTCTATTTGGGGAGGAAAGGACAGTGGACAGAGAAGGAAATGGGGTGAGAGCGCAGGGAGGGACAAGTTGGAAGCAAACCCAAACTACCCGCTTCAGGCATAACCTCCGTCTATAGAGTGTGTGTGTGTGTAGACGGCTGGGCCAGTGGAGGGGTCACTCCTTGGGGTGAGACATCATTTCCACGTTTTTAACATGAGCTCTATTATTAATGAACTGTGTGCAAAATAAATGAATAAATAAATAACAATAAAGTGAAACAGCTTTTCTTATTTAAACCATAAATGTGATTAAGATAAAAATAAGATAGCACAGGATGCAGACACACACTGGCTGCTGACATGGATGCATGACAGGTTATTTATCATTACGCAGATGTGAGTCAACAGGGCTGATATTTTCTGATACTGATTTTTAATTGATTTCTCTGTGTGTTCCGGCATTACTAAATCCAGATTTAAATGCAGTAACTCTTTAAACCTTTCTAAACTGCAGATTTAAGACAGACTTGTTTTCTTCTAGTAAACATGTCTGTGATTCAGATTTGTTTTACTTTACAGTGTGCGTCTGCTCACCAGATGTGTGAAACACTGAATCAAAACACAGTAAACAGTGCTGGTCCAACTGGCTTCCACAGAATCATTACTGGAACTATAAATGATCAGTTCTCGATAGGAAAGACTGCACATGACTTCAGCTTTACAGAGAAAAGATTATTTGACTTGCTCTCTAAATTTAAGGCGGAGAAAATGTAAGTTATGTCTCATAAACATCTGTCTCCTGCACTGATTTCACACAAACTTTGTCTTACTATCTCATACTAGGTGATCTGGATACTGACCAGTCTGTGGGCTGATGCAGAAGGAGGGGTGTGTCCCAGCATACAGGTCAAAGGTCTCCAGGACGCTGTCAGCTTTTCCATGGGTGCAGTTGGAGAAGACAAAAGCATGAATGCTCCTCACGCACACTTTTCCTCGCACCAGCCTCAGCGCCCAGGCCAGAGCTCGATGGCACAGCGAGGAAACTTTGACGCGAAATCGACTGGACACCATGAGGACGGCAGGAAGCAGTGGGACAGAGGCGACCATGAGCCACATTTTGACGGTTCTGGGGGACAAAGTCAGAAATATAGGTTACGAACCTGTGGATTTAAGAAACAAAAGGAGAGAAAAACATTTTTGGAGCTTCGGGACGTAGTTTGCTCTGAGTTCAAAAGCTGACTAAATCTGAAATTATTTGAAAAATTGAATGGGTAAAACAATTGTGTGTAAACCTTTACATGTGCAACTGATCCTTCAATTGTCTTGGCTTTTTTTTCTTGAAAGAATGTGGATTGAAGATATTTTCAAAATAGCTAAAAAAGTTAAATTTTTTAACAAAGAACACTCAACCGAAGTTGGACTGTTCAGAACAACACATTAGCCATGGAGATGTAATACCTGCCAAACCACCCTGTCGCCTGTCCAGGTTAGGAGTGTCTCCTGTCAAACACAGATGGGACTGTCACTCCTGTAAGTCAAAACTCTGGGCTGCAACATGAAAACAGAAAGTCTCCTGAAAGAAACACACCACAGGTTTCCTCTTAGACTAAGTTGTCATAAGACTTCGCTGTCATAGTAAAAGTTACACCGCTCTGTTTTCAGTATCCAGGAAATAGAAGCTTGGGAGAGAGGGAGACACACGGGGAAGCTGTCTGGTAGCTCCTCCCCCCAGTTTTGAGTGCTGCTGCGTTTATCCACTAGAGGTCAGCAGAGATGCAAAAATATTGTTGAGGCTGTGGACACTATTTGTAATTTCAAACCTCGGTGGCACATGATACAGTTTATAAATTGTTACAACTATTGAGGTTTTGTATCGAGTATCGAGTTTGAGATTTATTCAAGAATTTTTCAAGAAGAATTTTTTTAAGAATTCAAACGTTTTCAAGATTTTTAAATAATCAGCTAAATCCGCTTTCAATATAAGATACACAACTTTTACTCGGCTATACATATAGTATATATATATGTATATATATAATTTTTTTTTTATTTCTTGTTTTTGTATCCTTATTTTATTGTATACATTCAGTACTATTGTGTGTTTTATCTGTACCCCTTTGAGTCGAGCTGTCCTGTAATAGCACTGTTGACCTTGTCTAACATGCACATGACAAATAAACAAATCTTGAATCATGACTCAAATCTTGAATCTTGAATCTTTGTCCAGACGCGGCACTAAAACTGACAAAAACAAAACAAAACAAAACAACAAACTAAGTTTCTTATAGCTTTAAACTTATGCTACATGTCACAGACTACAAAAGAAAGTTTGGGGGATTTAACTGCAAGCTCCTATTAAGCCCATGTTGAAGAGTTGATTATAAATCAATAAACATTATAAAGTACTTAAATCCTTCAAAATAGAAATTAGATTAGCCAATAAAAGATCAAAATATGAGTACATCAAGCGGCTTAGATGTCAACCACGAAGAAAGGAGTTTAGGGTTGTTTGTCAAACAAAGAAATGGGAGAAATGATCACAGGCTGCAAAGTAAAGTGTGTTTGGATACTGTAAAAGATATCATAACAAATATTATCATGCCTCACAATTATCATTGACTACAGTGATACAAGTACCTTTCACTCCTCTGATTAGTAGTCTAAACTCTACTTTCTCCCTCTCTGTTGCTCCATATAGTGAAAGTGGGTGTGAGGTCCCCTGTGTACTGCTGCCCTCATTGGCTGGTGGAGGAGCGGCACCGCTTTGTGTATTTTTGGCCAATGGAGCGGATCATACTGCGGTGTGCAGTTCAGTCCCATCAGTCCAACTGAGTCAAGTCAGACAGCGACAGAGGGAGAACTACCGGATATGCTGCCATTTCTCTACCAAAATAAGAGCTCAAATAAATATCAGCTTGAGTGAAAGATAATTCGCAGTACCAACACTTAAAGTTTAAGTCCACACAAGAAGCTACTTAAGCTAAAAATTCTCACGGTTTTAACAAGAAGAAGGCGTTTGAGTGGGTAAGAAGCTAATTCTGTTATTCTACATTAATATCTATCTATCTATCTATCTATCTATCTATCTATCTATCTATCTATCTATCTATCTAATATTTCTAGGCTCATTGACGCTTAAGTTTTTTGTTCCGCGCAAGCGCACACCTTTGTAGCTCATATCGATAGGTAGCACTTTCCGGTGGAACACCGGCAGGCCTCAACCGCCCCAACTCTCTACTTCCTGTTGCGGTTGGCGCGCATTTCTGTTTGAAGCTACACACCGAGAAGAGGCGGCTAAATCACAACAGTTTCAGTTACATCGGATTTATAAGAAAATTCGTCAAAATACCATTTAAGTTTTGTAGCGCAAGCTTATTTAGTGACTTATGATGTCGGTCGTTTGCTGTTCGAGTTTGAGTGACGCAAAAATCGGTTTCAAAACCAGTTAAAACCGGTTCTGGACCCTTCAAATGTTTATCACTGGGAAATACATCTGGCTTTTAAAATAAAGTTTAATAAGATGGCTCTCTACATCTACAAAGGCATTGCATCGGGTTATCAAAGTTGATTCTTCAAATAAAGCTAAAAAGCAGGTAAGCAATGTAAGCATAACTTTGTATTACATTTCTGTCGATACTTTTAGTTTTGTATACCGCACCGGAAGTTAGTTTGAGTTACATCGGATTCATGAGAAAATTCGTCCAAATATATGTTAATTTATGAGGCACACGCTTCGTTAGTGACTTTAGATGTCGGTCGTTTGCTGTTTGAGTTTGAGTGACGCAAAAATCGGTTTCAAAACCAGATGAAACCGGTTCTTGACCCTTCAAATGTTTATCACTGGAAAATACATCTGGCAGTTAAAGTTAAGTTTAATAAGTTGGCCCTCTACATCTACATAGGCATTGTATTTGATTATCTATGTTAATTCTTCAAATAAAGCTATAAAGCAGGTAAGCAATTTAAGCATAACTTTGTATTACATGCTTGTCGATACTTTTATTTTTGTATACCGCACCGGAAGTCATGCACATACTATTGTGTTGTGTTGACGCTGGTCATCATCTGCCCACAGACTCCCAACAGGAGTGACACCGGAGAGCAGGAACTGGTTCGTTTGCCTCACCGGTGCTGCTGCTGCAACATCTAAAACCGACGGAGGAAAACCGTCTGACCGACACGACCCACTGTTGATTCTGGTGGAATAACGCGCCACAGAGCTGCTTTTACACAACTTGGAAGGCTTTAATACTTGGAGAGCACAGCCTCTTCGCTAATGGCAAGTCCGGCTGCAGACATAGGACCGTCTCATCAGCATCACCACCCTGTGACCGAGTCCGCCGCAGACTCAGCGTTTCAGGAGGCACAGAAATGGATCGAGGTGAGTGCAAAAACCGCGTTTAGACACTGTGACAAATCCCCACTCTGTGTATCACTCTTGCACAGGTGTTTTGTTGTCAGTGTGTAGCCTTAGTAACTGATCTGCAGCTTGTATCTTCTCCCTTAAGTGGCTGTTTTATTTTATTGCTTCGTCACCTGTTGAAAGGTGACACAGACAGGTACTATGTGGCTCACAGTCTTTGGGTAAAATCCTATTTTTGACTAAATGGAAGTGGTGGTAGGCCTGCTTGTCAGTAAAGTGTATTTTTTGTCTTTATTTTTTAGGCTTTTAATCTTATCATCCCTCAGTGGCATTGCTTCATATTTCCTTACCACCCAAAACTTCCTGAATAGGACACTTTCAGTCATACACTTGCTTGTATTATTCACACAATATCTCTCCCTAGGATATCACCCACATTCGTGCTGCAGGCTCCTATAACAGTGTTTTCTCACTTGTTTTTGATGGGTGCCATTGTACAGTAGCTATGGCTGCTGTGGGGCCTGCTGCATGTTTGGCTGAAAACAATGAATGCATCATGTGGAATGGATTTTTGCCTCATTGCGAGCTTGCCGAACAATAATCGCACAAACAAGCTTTTGTTCTGGGAGAATTTCAATCACGACACTTGCCTGCCTCCATTGCATTTGACTTTGTCATCCTGCAGCGGACTGTGCTGCCTGTCAGCTTTTCCAAACACTGATAGTCGGGTGTTATTCTGAATATTAGAGGAATGCTTGTATGAGGACGCTAAAATGTGATGTCAGGTCCACAGTGGTATTAAGTGTTTGGCAAAGTGAGTGATTCAGTCTAGCAGAGGCGTTGGTGGAGATTCTAGGGCCTCTGTGGATCCCCCCACTCTCCCCTATTTACATTTCACTATTCATTGTGACATTGAATGCATAGTTTATGAAGACTGCCTCTGTTATCTTGATTGGCTGTTTACTCATCAGTCATCTCTTCTGTCAAAAAAAAAGGTGTCAATAGCAGTGTGACAGAAAAGTAGTGCATGTTTCAACTAAAACAAGCAGTAATGTTTTATAAACTACTGAAGAAATTTCTTAGAGTTATGGTATGTAGAAATTGTGATATTAAACAATACCTAGCAGTCAGGATCTAGACTAAAACGCCCCCTACTGACAGGGTTTCCCTTACATGCAATTGATCGTGGCGCACCGCCACGGCTAAATAAAAGCCGCCACACATAAAAAAAATTAGTTTTTGTCTCACATTTCTACTTTTCTACTCGCACTGTGTGAGCACAACAACACACGTTATTTTCGACTTGTTTTGAGTCATCAAGGAGCGCATCAAATCCTGTCGGACCCTCCTCCACTAATGTGAAGGGTAACGTTTAAGCTTATACACGGTCTGTATAGCAAGTAGCACGGGTAACGTAACGTGAATGTAACAGCGTAGCTCCTGGAGCGGCAAGGGAGTGGAGGTTACAACAACACCCCCCCCTCCCCCAACACACTCACAGACACTTTTGACTGCTAAACATCAGCAGGATAAGATTTTTATTTTTTCAATGGACACTGTTTAAACATTGACACGAGAAAGATATATATAAAAAAACAATTTAAGGGAAATAAAAACACTAAAAAGAGAAATCTGATCTTATTTTACTTTACTTTTGACCCGTTTTTTCTCAGAAATGGGGTTGCTGGTCTTGCTCTGTTTTTGTAGTTTCTCTCCACCCTTATTGGAAAAAAATAAAAAATATTAGTTTTGAAGTTACATCTGTGTGTCAGCAAGTGATGTCAGTACTACGCACGTCATCTCAGTGAACCTTTGCTGCTGTAATAAAATCAATGTGACACTTGTCGCTGCTGTCTCTCTATTTTGTATTTTCACAGTTCATCTTTTATTCCTAAAGTAGTAGGAGGAATAACATTGAAAGTTTCAGAAGTGTTAAAGATGATGTGTTAAATATTGATGTTATGGATAACCAACAGCTAAGAAGGGTAATAGAAAAGCAGCATGGACTGTACTAACAATGAATTATTCATATTGATGGCATTAGTACAGTTAGATATTTGATAGGGCCTACAGTGTTTGTGTCTTAATTAAACATCAGATTAGCAGTCGAACAGGTTTATTATTCCAGAGCCTGCACTGATGATTGAGAGAAGAGTACCAGAGCCAGTACTGGTCAGCTTGAACAATAGAAGCCTGAGATTCGGTAATAAGACAACAGCAACAATAAATCTAATATATTCAAATAGAGTAAGATAAGACGAGAAATGCTTTTCTGTTCTTTTAGGGAATTTTTTGTGGATGCAAATACAACAATGAAAAGTCATACTCCATGTAGGAGCCATAACGTTGCTTATCGGTTATCCTGTGTTCAATTACTTTTGTCTTGTTGCTGTTGGTTTCGCTGGGTTTGGGTCACGTGGGCACTGAGTTTTAAAGCCGGTAAGTTATATAAGGGGTGGTCTTACCTACACTGTGGTGGAGAGGTGAGCCTAGGTAGCCGTAATTTTGGTTGACCGCACTTTATTTTCTTTTGTTTGCTATGAAACACGTCCCAGAGTGTACACATATTACATCTGATGTGTGCGTGTAATTATTGGTGATAGTGGAAACGTTTTTTTCTGATATCAAACCCCCAAAACTTCGATGAACTGTGGGTGCTTCTTTGGAACAGCAGCAGCATGTCACACAAATATACAGGACCTAGTCTCTGCCTCAAGCGACTTTTTAAAGGTACAAGGAAATCCACAATACTCCATAATACTTAATGGGAAACCCAGCAGCAATTCAGTGTAGCAGTTTAACATTAGTAATTTTAATTCTAGTCTATTGGATTTCATTACTCTATTTACTTGAACAGCAGTATTTTGTGGGCATTCCTTACCAACAACTTCACATGCATCACTGTGTATTTTTTCCAAATTGTGATCATATCTGAAAATGGCAGATCCTCTTTAAAAGTGTCAGGATTCAGTGTAGGCCTATTTAGCAGCACCAAACTCCTCAGAGGCTCCTATCAAGTCTTTAAAAAGCCACTACTGACCTAGAATCTCCGAGGCGGATCAGGGCTGAGAGCTGAAAAGACTGAAGCTGAAAAGAAGAGAGAGAACTGATACCTCTCCTGTATTATTGTTCCTCTATCACCCTCTAGCCTGCAGGGACTGATTTCATTACCCATACACACCTGGTGACAGGCCTTCAGTCACCTTGGGGAACCGGAGACAGGTACCAGGTTCCTGAAGAGGGCAACATAAAACGCCAGTCAGGATCCCAGTGGCCTAGTGTTTGACAGCTTAGATTCAACAGCTGTCATATATGATATCAGGAGGACTTTAGGCTATAATGTTAGAACAGCAGGTTTCCTTTATGTAGAGGTGATTCAAAGCATGCACAGAAACACCAGAAAGCCCCTTAAAGGTTTTATTCACAACGAAAACAAGATTTTTCCCAAAAGTTTAGAATACATTTCCACCTTCGCTCAATACAGCCTTGCCTTCCTCTTCCTCTCGCCCTCTTTTCAGTTCATGACAGTGTTTAGCCTCCTGTGAACTTCAGAGCAGACTTCGCCGGTCCTTGGATGAGGATAGAAACCTTCAGTTGGTTACGTTGATTAAACTGTGTCATCCAGCCACAGGGTGTTTGTATGAATGAAAACCAAATGAAGCTCTCTGATGGGTCTTCTCCCCGGTTCGATAGACTGGCTTTCTTCTGCACGGTTCTGTTGGAATGATTAGCTGCTGGCAAACTCCAATGAAAGCACAACTGTGAGAAAATGAATCTATTAGGAGTCGCATGATTTCATCACTGGAAAACGTTCTTTTTGAAATTAATAGAAAACATTTGGAGAGGAAAAACGTCCAATTATATAACCAGAAACTTGCAAAGAAAGCGAAGCCATGGGGCAAGTCGAGTGCGATGAAGTATTTAGTTAGTTTTTATCAAAGCCAAGTTTGGGAGAAAAGTTTGGTTGTTTGGACAGTCAGTTGTTCTCAGTCAGTCCAAAAAAGTCTTAGTAGACGGACGGTTAAGCCTGCATAGCCAGACAGGCTGACTTGCAAAGCTTAGAGTACAATACATGATTTAAAATCTGCTTAAAAACGAGACATGTCAGCTGAGTCTGCACTGAAGTCTGTAGAAAATGTGCGCAGAGGGACTTAGCGAATGTCGTGTCCTCAGCTGCAGCTTTTATACTTTTAAACCTGCTTTTAAAAGTTATTAAGAAGTATCAAAAAAGCTGCAGATATCTGACCTACATTTCCAGCTGTAGAGAAGTTATATCAGCAGAGTTTTGAAACAGAATCTTCATGGATCATATCAGGTTGGTCCCAACTGCATGATCTCCTTCCTTCACATTAACAAAACCCAGGTGTCAAGTGTGTAATTTTGCCTGAAGGTGGCGCTCAGCCTTTTGTCAGTGCTTCTGATAGCTGCATTATGTGTTAAAAATCTGTGTAAATCATGTGTCGGTTCCAGAGCTTGTTTTAACGTGTTTGGTGTCTCTTCTCTGTTAGCTTTACATTGTCTTGGAATCCCCTCTTTTCTAACCTGGCATGTTCAGGGGGCCGTGAATAACGCAGTTTATTGGGACATGCCTGAAAGAGAAATGATATCACCTACATATTGTTGTTATTCCAGTGATATCATTGCACTGAACAGTCAAATAACAAGACTGATACATGTTATTAGATTGTCTGTGAGGCGTATACACAGGGGTTTGAGGTCCTCCTTCTTGTTTTGACAATTTACGGTACCTGGGCTTGGGACTTGGGCTTGGTATGGTGCACTGCAAGCTGTTACAAAGTGAGAAAACAAAACAGCAGGCATCATGAAGGGAATTCTTTGCACGGGGACAGTGGTGAGACACCGGACAACACTGCTAAACATACACGCTGCAATCATGAACCAGTAGAGCAGCATTCCCTGCAAAAAAGGAAATATTGACCTTGTTGACAAATGTCATCTAAGTGGAAGGAGATATACGAGTTGAGTGTCAAAAAGAAGTCCCTAGTGTTTGCAACAAGAACATAGAGTACTAGAGTCAGGCTGAACAAATGGAGAAAATAGTTTTTTTTAGGTCAGTATTGACATTAGACTAACCTCCTTCAGTGTCCCCATGTCTATTGTTTACATCACACAAATGCAGTAAATGTATATATCACGAATATTTGAATGTTCATACAGTTACTGTCATGATGCAACTGGATGCATACAGGAATGCAAAGCTACAAAGAAAGTGCCATATTTTTTAGGGTTGGGAATCACAAGTGGCCCTACAATACGATATTATCACGATTTTTAACATTTCGCAATATAGTGAGTATTGCGATACAATATATTGTGATTTATACAATCTTTTCAACTGTTTAGGTAATTCAGCATTTGTCTTTCCTTTATGTTTGTCTTATTTACACAGCATTTTGTTTTCATGTAGCACATCTTGCAAACGTTATACTTATTTGTTGTACTAACTTTCTCCTGCTTTATGATGTCACTTCTGCCAACCTCACTGGACAAACAGTTGATTTTATTTTCCCATTATCATAGATTTGACTTTAAATGAGCAATTAATTTGAATAGTCGATACCTGCTAAATGAGACGATTCGATATATCACCAGACAAAATATCGCGATACTATGCTGTATTGATTTTTTTCTCCCACTCCTAGTATATCTTGATATTTGTCTTTCAAATAAATGACACATTCCCCTTAAAAGAAGGATAAGCTTCAAACCTGCACTGTAAGATTTGAATAAAAGTAAATGCTCTTTCCCTCATTGGCTGTCTTGATAGAAAAAAAAATGAAATGCAGCACTGTGTTTGATCTGTGGCTTTTTCTGATTTCTTGCATGATGTCTTTCTCAGTTCGGGGTCACTGTCATTGACGTGCCAAGTGTTCAGATGTCTTATCAGAGTTTTTGCAAGTACACAGGCCCACTGCTGTAACAATAAGAGGAAAGAATGTTGTTCAAGGCAGGAGCATCTGTCAAAGTAGGGTTAAGGCTAGATTGAGGATGTCCCCTTCATCACTCACCTTAATGCTCTGCTGAGCTGAAAATCCGTGGTCGACCACAACCTCCAACCCCCACCTCTCTCACACTGTGCAGCTTGAATGATGAGCTTAGAGTACACAGTTAAGTGCATTATTCCTGGATGAGAATTAAGTAGAAACATGGACATGATTGATATCAGCTGGCCAAACTTCACACTTGTTATCCTGCATTCAAAGCTGAATTAATGAGCTTGTTGCCAGTGTGTGTATAACTGTGGTCATAATTTATAATGAATCACTATAGAGTGAAATAAGATTATGTACTTTTATATACTGGCACGGAAAAGAGTGTAAAAAATTAGATGTTTATCTTTTAGAGATGAAAACTTGTGGATTGTTGAGATTTGGTTAAAATATTAACTAAGGCCACATGTGGATATTTCTGAAAATGTTGTTTTTTTCTCATCATCCTGGTCTTACAGTCCTGTGTTAATGTGAGTTTTAGGACACATGAAGAAGAAGGTTTTGGAAAAACACATTCCAAGATGGAGTTTTTCCAAACCGCTGTTTTGTCTGCGTTTGTGTTGACAGCCAATACAAAAGTTTAGGAGGATTTTTGTTCTCTAAGCTCATCATTCAAGTTGCAAAATGTCACTTTTCATGATCTTGTTGATCAGGATTACAGTAATAAAAATCGGTTTTGTTAACCACAAAGTTGTTGGGAAACCAAAGGCCATGTGTTTATGTTGCTGTGATTGAATAGCTCAAAGAACTGTTGACTGAAAAAAAGCTGAACAAAGTAGTCCACTTTCTTCTCAGATGAGCTGCAGTTCATACACACCCAATAAATAACAGGTTTTACAAATTCATTCTCCTCTGTTGCCACTACTTAAACTAACCAAACACAGCCTCAGTCACTTACATAAATGAGAAATCCCTGAAAGTAAGATGCTAATCACTAATCCTGTAGTTATGATCTTCTTAATCTCAGCAGAAGCCTTCTGTCCTCTCCTGGTGAAGCAGAGAAAAGAGCTGGCGTGTTGACACCGTCGCATTAGTGAAACAGCAAAAACAAGGGATTAGGCATTTAGGAGAAGGTGTTTTTTTTCTACTATTACAAATAAAATTCTTTTATTCATGAATGACAGGATGCATCTTTGGCCACCTAGTGTCAAGTAAGGTTAGAGGCTGTCCGCTATGTGGTCACACCCGTGCAGATTTGGACAGTTTAGAAAGAGGATGTACCAGTAAACAGCCCCAGTGTTAAGACAGTGATGCAGTTCTCAGCAAAAGCCTTTCAGTCCGGGTCCAGATCGGTCTTTATGAGCACACGCACGTTTAGGGTGAGAGGTGATCATGTGGCGGATTACTAAAGTAGATGGGAGATTAGCCCCCCTCCTCCTACGCTATGTGTGCATGTTTGTACATTTGTGTTTGTGCAGCCGCTGAGGCTTAATACATCCACTCGAGGTATTCTCACATTGTGTAGTTTCTTGGTGTTTTTATATAAAGTCAGTGAAACATTCATAATAGTGACCAGGGCTCCCTTGTTTTCACACCTGCTGTTGCTGCTCTTAAACATCACTGATCATAAGCCCTTGTGGCGTTCATGTGTTTCCTGCCTGCAGCTGATTTGTGTAATGCCCTTCATCCCAAGGAGCTTTTATGTAAAGTAGTGGGTTCTCTGGCTGCTGTTCATTTTCAATAAGGACAAATTCTATCTGTCAGTAGAAAGAACGGCTGATGGGACAAATTGAAAATGATGTGCTCTTCAAGTCTGCAGCTACCCAATTTCATAACCAAATAAAGGAAGCTACTTCACAAGGTGACTGCTGTGATTGTCTAAAAAAGGGGGAGAAGGTGCACGATTTCAGAGAAAACAATTCTCTCTTCAAGTTCAGAGTTTGGCTGCTTTTACACAAAGGCTCAATGCAGTGAATACAATTCGGTGAGGGGAAGCAGATTGGGGTCTTTATGGCCCAGATGAGGCTGTTTCTGAGGATGCATGAAACTATTTTTGTGAAGTAAACAGCTTTAAAGAGAAGACCTCTGCCTTGATGTAAAATGATGGATAGCTGGATGAGATTGTCAAAATACTAAGAGCAAAGCAGTCAGACTATCAGCTGCTTGGTCAGGATGTCCCACTGACTTTCTGGCTTTGCTTTTGCGCTCTGTCAGGCTGTCAGTGACAAGGTGAACATATTCATCCTGTTCAACTGTCAGGTCTGTGTGCTCATGCGAAGAGAAAGAAAGAAAGCTGTCAAGGAGGAGAGGGCATGACGGCCTGGCACTCCAAGTGCAATGTGACACACACACACACACACACACACACACACACACACACACACACACACACACAGAATTGCTTATGTGTGGTAGGGTTGACTGTGTGCCAGGGCTGCACAGCCGCTCTGCAGAAAAGCTGCTAACGATTGTTGTTACTTACCACTTAGGCCAGCGCACCAAATAGTCACTTTGGATTATGGCTGGGCGATAAACCAAACATTTACCGGTACCAAAATTTACGACAATAACCAATGTCATTTTGCCTATATTAGTATACTCAGTCAAAAATAAAAAAGATAAAAGTTGGTTTTGGATGTGTGTAGGTTGGCTACAGTCTCATGTCCCTTTTAAGATGCTGTCCTATGTTGGAGATGTGACTCCGCCCCATCCAGTCCGTAACAAAGAGGGAAAGACAGGTGAGGAGATGGAGGACGGTTCAAAAGTTGTTGTGGAGTAGTTATCGTCCATTTATCGTTACCAAGGTGAACTGCTCAATATATCGTGATATTGATTTGAGGCCATATCGCCCAGTCCTACTCTGGATAGAACTACAAATGGCAGACGATGACAGCATGTTACTGTAAGGACTAAACAGGCTTTTCATTTATTTTTAGGAGAGTATCGTTTGTGTTTTGATTGAAGCGAAGGCTTAAATTCCAAAATAAATACTGTTTGTAGACTTAAACCTGGTCTTTGTGCACTGATGAGACATTAAAGGAGAAATTAAAAGCTAATGCATGAGAGAAACTGAATTTTTATTGGTTCTTTATGAGCTGCAGCGGCATCAGTTCGTACTCCTCCATTATTAACCAAAAAATAAACAAAGATCTGAACAGAGAATGTATTGTGAGAACTTTTTGCGCTGTGCTACGCAACGACAGATTTACCCGACCTGTTTAGTGATTGAGATGGCTCAGTCACAAGCCTGTTCTCTAATCTTTGTGCCCATAATTACATGCCGGACCTCCTCTTCCATGTAATCTGCCATCACTCCATTGATTGCCCTTATTAGCTGCCAAAGTGGGTTACTATGCATGTCTCCTAATTTAACTCTGATTTACCAATTATGAAGCTTTTTAAACGAATGGTTGCGGGTTGTCAGAGGACAGCTGGGAGGACTTCTTGCTCTTGTATGACATACTGTGTATGAAACACTGTACTCTGCTCATCTGACATCTGTTGGAGCTTTACAGTTGCAGTTGGTTGATTTCTGGTGTGGGTGTGAAGCTGGAAAAATCACATAAGCAGTCTCAAACACATAGTCTACACAAGGTGTTGCTCACAGTCGCATTAATCAGAGCTGGTTTTAGCAGGCATGTAGGACTCTCAGATGGATAGTTCAGAGACTGACACTTCCCTGTCCAGGGGATGTTTCTAATTGGGTCATGCAGGCTGAGCTGGTTTCCTAGTTTTCGGAGTTGGGGCACTGGGGAGCTGGACTCTTTCTGACTGTCGAGGGAGCAAGTGCAACTTGCACTGGTTGGCAGGCCGAGTGACAGTCTTTTAGCCAGAGAGTAAAACTGCATCATGTGAAGACCATCCTTTTCTTGTTCTTTGGATCTTCTGTCTGTGAAAGGTGAGATGATTTGGCCTCGAAATAAATCTACAATATATTCAGACCACACTTCCAATAATTTGATTGTTTTTTTTTTTTAACATGTTCTAAGTTTGGTTAGCTCTTCATTCTTTCTCCATCACTTGTCACCAGTCAGGTTTGTCATGAATACCAATGATAAAATGGATATCTAGTGATCCCAGGCTTAAACTTAAGCTTGACTCTTTACTCTACAGCCTTCTGAGTTTCTTTGACTTTTAGTTTTTGTATTAAATTTAGCAGATTTTTTTTTTTTATTTTTTTTTTTGCGTGTGTGTGTTTGTGAAATGGTTCCATGTCAGGAAAATATATAAATAATCCCGAGTGGGATCAACACTGATGTAAAAGTCAGTCTTTTGGAAAGAAGGTAATACATTTACAATGAATTCACTCAAATGAAAGCAACTCAAATATTGACTTTAACATCTGTTAATGAATAAATTAAGAGTAGTAGAGTAGACTGGATGTTACGGACTGGATGGGGTGGAGTCACGTCTCTGATGTAGGACAGCATTTTAAAGGGACATGAGACCATAGCCTACCTTCACACACCCAAAATCAACTTTTATTTATTTATTTTTTTGACACGCAATATATTGACATGGGCAAAATGACGTTCTGTAAATTTTTGGTTTATTGCCCAGCCCTATAATATGGTAAAACCCATGCATTATTTGTGAGTATTAATTGACAAGTATTTAGTCTGGCCAAAGACTTCCAGTGATTATCCTGTAAGGCCCAATTGCTGTTAATGCTGAATAATTGACAAAGGCAGCTGTGATTCCTCTTGTTTCATAATCATTAGAAAAGTGACACTATCATGAGTCACAAAGACACATCTGCAGCTCACACAGAACAAGTATCATCTATTATTTTACCAAAACATGTATTTGTTCAAACATGATGTAGTAAAATAACTTTTTTTCCCTCTGCACAGAAGCAGATGACTTGGGTCAGTCATGAATGGAGGCTTTTAGAGCTGAGTGGGATGGCTTTCATTGTCTATCAAACACACAGTCTCATGCACATGACTCTGTTCCCACTTAGCCCAGCATTCCTAAGCCCCCCATCCACATCCCATTCAAAGCCACACACACACACACACACTCACATTCACACTCACATTGCTCCCCAGCTGGTCGCCCCCCATCAACAATGTATGCTGTCACCACACTCTGGAAAGTGACACAATTGTATCTCAGCTGACTGGCATTTGTCTGGTCAGGACTGCATGATGCAGCACTGCTCTCACTATAGGAGTGTTTTTCTCTCATACCAGCAGGGGAGAATCTCTCTGTTTCATTTATTCTGTACAGCAAAGGTCATCAGGATTTCGTTCCATAGTTCTTCAAATTAGTTTTGTAAAGAAAGTGCAGTTTTTTTTCTTTTTGAATATATTTACAAATTGGTTTTACTTTTAAAATTTGGTTGAATGATAACATTTAATTTTACTAAGGGAACCTTCCCAAAAGGATCAATAAAGTTCTATCTAATCTAATCTAATCTGAAAGGATTTACAATTTATATTTGTAAATTACAGGATTCCTTTCTTCCTTCTGTCCATCTACCCTTCCTTGCTTCTGTCTACCTTTCCTTCCTTCCTTCCTGTTCTCCACTTTTCCTTCCTTCCTTAAATTCTTCCTTCCTTCTTTGCTGCCCTCCTCCTGCTACTTCCTTCCTTCCTTCCTTCCTTCCTCTCTTGCTTCCTTCCTTCCTTCCTTCTTACCTGCCCTCTACCTATCCTTCCTTCCTTGCCTTCCTTGCCTTCCTCTCTTCCTTCCTTCCTTCCTTCCTCCTCTCTGCTTCCTTCTTACCTGCCCTCTACCAATCTTTTGTTCCTTCATTCCCTCTTTCCTTCCTCCTCCTCCCTTCCTTCCTTTATTCCGTCCTTCCTTCCTCTCTTCTTTCCTTCCCTTCCTTTCACCTACCTTTGCTTTCTTCCTTCCTTCCTTCCTCTTTTGCTTCCTTCTTTCCTGCCCTCTACCTATCTTTTGTTCCTCCCTTTCTTCCTTACTCCCTTTCCTTCTTCTTTCCTTCCTTCCTTTCTTCATTCCTCTCTTCCTTCCTTTCTTACCTCCTTCCTTCCTTCCTTCCTTCCTTCCTTCCTCTCTTGCTTCCTTCTTACCTGCCCTCTACCTATCTTTTCTTTCTTCCTTTGTTCCTTCCTTCCTTCCTTCCATCTTCTGTATCTGATTCCTCAGGAGCAGTATTAAGATGTTACCATTAACTGTTATATAAACTGTATTATATGAAGCGTCTGTTTATTTCCTTTTTACATTTTTTATGGTTATGCTCGTCTTACACTTCCTGATCCAAGTGCTACTTTTGCACCTAGTTAAAAATAGATGTGGTGAGTTTCAGTCATTTGTGCATATATTAGTTTACTGGAACAAAAAAACACCTACCTCTATTTTCTTGGAAGAACAAGTTTAGCGAGATCATTCTTAGCTGTCACTTACTCCTGGATGCTTACTCAACAAGAATGCATCCTCCAAGTATTACTTAGAGTACAGCCAAGTTAAGAGGAGGTACCTGTTCTGTTTCCTATCATTCACCTGCACTTGTCAAAGATATCACTACTGACCATGAAATGTAGTTGACAGGGTTGGTATGTGTCCTCTTAGTTACAGTTGAAGCAGGTGTTACTCTCTAAACTTGTCTGTTGAGTTATTCTGACTGTGAAACTGGAATCTCCTCCTCCTACTTTTCTGCCTTTTACTGCTTCCCTCTTTTCTTAAACAAACATGAAACAGCTTGTTAACTTTATGGCAAGAACTCTACCAGCTTTGAGAAGTACTGATGCTAAATATGAGCATGAGCGGCGAATGTAGGACACATCTGAGGATTTTTCCACGAAACAATGTTTTAGTGTAATTTTGATGAATTTAGACCCAGGAGAACCAAGGAAAACATTAATAGAACTTGACAATAAGTCAAATACTGATGAAACCACCATAACTGAACCTTTGATAGCCCCACCTGCTGTCCGTGAACTCAACCCACATTGACAGAAACATTGAGGGTGTCACTATATGTTACCAAGAGATTTCCAAGGTGCAATAAGAAGAGGGGAGGTCGCAAATAAGAGATCTTTGAAATTTTTATAGAAATGATTCTGTAGTGATGGTCAGACTTCCCGCTCTCATTGTTGTTCTGAGGCTTTCGTAGCTCATAGTGGATACAGTGACTTAATCTATTAATCTCAACTACTGTTTAAAAACAAACTATAGGATTTGGATTAAACTGATTATTAATCTTGGCCATTTATTGGGACTGTTATTTGTCATTTGGCCTATTATCTGCATCAGCTTTTTATGTTACAGATTGTCCTTAAAATCATTAAATCAAAAAGTACTCTTCATTTGTTTGGCTCTGTTGCAGGTGTGTCTTTCCTTCTGGGTCTGTTTTCACTCTCATTTCTGTCTCATTTCATGCCCCTCCCACAACATTATCTTATTGGATAAATATCTCATGACTGTGCAAGAGATCGGTCAGATGAAATGTAAACGCAAAGGTTTGAGAGACATACCTAAACCTAAAAAACAAAACAGGATTCAACTTCATTTATTAGGTCAGAGCACCATCATGGCAAACGTTTCAAGCAACAGTCTGTCAGCTTTGGCAGTGGCTGATGACTGGGAGCAGGTCTGGCATCATGTTTTAAACCCTCTTTCAGTTGCTGATTGTTTGTAGCTCAGTTCTCCTGCTGCCAGGGTGAAGGGTTCAGATTTCCACTGGGCCGAACCATGCTGAAAATACAAGCACTCACTGTAGTGTAGGGGATAAAAGCGTCCGCTAAATGGCACATGTTTGACTTGTACAGTAGGAGTCCTGTTCTCTGAGCCTGCTGCAGCTCGGCCTCTGTGTCCACAGCAGCATGTAGAGGTTTCTTCAGGCTCCCTCTGGCCTGGACCACTGTCAACTCTGCAAATCAGGGAAGCTTTTTGAATGAAGTTTAGTGGAGATGGTGCTGTGGATAATTCTTGTGTACAAACCTACAACAGATTCCCAAGAGATCACTTAGATATGTGTGGTACATATGAAATGTGGTGTAAAAATCCCTTTTTTAGCTTGTGATTGATTGACAAATCTGTAAAAGAATGAATAAATAAAAACTGTCTGTGACCCTCAAAACATCTTTATGATGAATTTGATTAAAATAATGGATTTTTTTTTGTCAGATCAGCATTTTTTTCTGTTGACTAGTATTTTTGAATGTGTTTTTCACACGATTATAAGACACTGAAATATATAAAGGCAACTTTTTTTGCGTAATATTCAAAAAAGTCTTTTTTTTTGGAAATCCACAATTTTTAGTGACTTAAGCTATAACACGGTAAAAAAAAAGTTGAGGTTATGCAAAATGAAAAAAATATTTTGACATTTAATTGAAGGTTCAAGTCAGCTGTCTTTTCATTCAAAGAAATTTTCAAACATATATTACATTTTATAATAATATTTAAGGTATGGAGACTATTTGCTGTCAGGGATTACTGTTGGTCACAGTTTCTAGATTGCTCTGCTCCCTCTGAGCAGTGAAAAATACTAAAATTCAACATGTAGGGGTGCAGGTGTCTCAAAATGCTCAGGACTTACCCACCATTTTAACTTTGTTTAACCCAGTGTAGAACCAGTGAGCTGTTACATGCCTGACCCATGTCTTCTTCAAACATTAGCACTTCATTGGCTTGAAGTCTCCCCTAGTTAAGAGTGTCAACTGAACACCGGCGACAGCATGGCTTAGTTTACAGTCCTGGCCTTTTGAGTGCTGTTATCCCCATCAGCTTGCTTGTAGCTGGGGATAAACTCTAATCCTGACTAAGCTACTAGGGTGCACCTCCTTCTTTTAGGGGGTGAAGTTAAATGTTTCCCCCAAGTGCAGCTCAGAGTGAGTTCAACTTGCAGGAATTGCTGAACTTTTGCAAAGCTAAATATACTGGACCCATCCCATTTGATTCAGTGCACCTGCACTGACACTGGTTTAAACTGAAACCTCTCACCTATTGGTCCACTATATAAGAAACAGCCAGAAGACTAGCTGCTGCATTGAGAGAGCTGCACCACTTTTCCTACACTCAAAAAGGTCTCTCTAGTTCTCTCATGATTGTAATGCTACTGTTTTCCCCATCTTTACATGCAGCCTCAGAGCTTAAAACATAGAGTTCATGACCTCCTTTGAGAGGGAGGTTATAAAGGCTTTCTAGGAACGTATTTACTTTGAATTGAAAATAATGAAGATAAACTGGAGAATCATAAAAACAAAAGCAAATAAGTGCCTGATACCAAAGGTTAATTACTAAGAATATCACTCAAACTTTATCAGCTGCGGTTAAGGTGACTACATGCATGCATTTAAAGTTATATGCACAGTAATTTCATCATTTTTTACTTGAGTTTAATTTGATCAAATCAAACTTACTTTGATAAATAAGCAGCCATTCTTCTATGCACTTCTAAAAGCAAACGGAAATGTAAGATAGTTGTAAACTTGTTTTTTTAACTCTCACATTCACTTTCATACTGTGCACCCTCTTTGTAATGGACTTTTTGTGTGATCAGGGATATAATCACTTATTCAACCAGCTTCTAAGCAACTTATGTAACGTGGGGAAAGCCTAATCTTCAGTCAACGAACCTTAAGCGTCACAACTGTTGTGAAACTTTTCAGACTTGGATGACAAACTCAAAGACGATAGTTTTTTTTTAAAAAGTGATTCCAACCATGGTATTCCTGCTGGCCCACCTGATCAATCATCAGTTCACCTCTGATTTGTGGTCTTAGTTTGTGAATGAGCGAATAGTTATTGCACCATTGGGCTTTGTGTGAACAAGATCCCGCAGAGGAAATTAGGGCTTAATCTAATAACTAAATTCCTCTTCAAATCTTCTTTTAAAAAGGACTTAATATTATCGCATTTGTACATTTTTAAGGGGTTAGCTCACGATCCTGCACTGTTGTGCACGTTGGTCTTGCATTTTCACATTGATTGGTCACATGGACAGTTGTAGCACATAACCCTGTTCTTAAAATGCGATCCGCTGTTGCATAATCACTTGAGCAAAGGTCTGTGTTTGGTCTTTTCTGCAGGATTCTTCTAGATTCTGGAGAAAGTATTAATATTACAGAATTATTATCTTAGAAATATGATGCCAAAAATAGCTCTATTTCATGACATAATATCCATCAGTTCATGAGTACTCAGGTGTTATGACTTAGAGCTGGATATCAAACACTTGGACCTCATTTTATGTCATGGACAGTGATTTGTGATGTGTTGCGTTCAGCAGAAATACATTACAATGCATATTTAGTCATGGTCTTGTTCTAAAACAACATCTGCATCCTCCCTAAAGGATTTCTGAAATGCAGCCATCCTTGGTTGGTTGATACTGTGTTGGTCCCAGGGGTCTTTCCTAAAATCCCTCGGCCCCTGTGGAGAGGCACAATGGCAGGATTCCTGTGCATTTAGAGTAAAGAAAGCTGGCTCCAGTACTTCCTTTCCTGAAGGGGAGGTCGCTCTTAACTTGGACTGACAGACACCCATGTTTTCAGGAGTGATAGAGGAAAATATCGGAGAACACAATCTCCCAGTTGTATACTTAAGAGATTGAGTCTATTCTGAGACATGGGGACTCAAAGCAAGTTCAGTGAAGTTTTATCTAAAGTTACCAGTCTCTTATCTCATCCTTAGAAATCACACAGCTTAAAAAGAATTCATATTAAATTACTCACACTCTTCTCTTCAAGACTTTTGTTTTATAAATCTGAATGGATTGATCCGATCTGATTGTTTCACAGTTTGGCCTTTTCAGTTAGCTAGCCAGGGAATGTCTATTTAAGTTAGTTATTTTCACCTTTATGCTCCATGTTTCAGATCATCACTGCATGCTCACTGTCCTGATGTGTTTGTATTTTAGGAATGACAGTAGGCTGCTCAAATGAAGATGTAATGGAAACTAGGGCTGGGCGATAAACCGAAAATTTCCCGATGCCAAAAATTTACAACAATAAATTTTGGATGTGTGTTTTGGATGTGTGTAGGTAGGCTATGATTTCATGTCCCTTTAAGACGTTGTCCTACGTCGTCCTACCCCCGCTTCAAAAGTTGTAACAGCTGAAGTAGATGAAGTTAATATGGGAGGGGGTGAGCAGCTTGTGGAGTAGTTATCATCCATTTATCGTAATCGAGGTGAACCGCTCAATGTATCGTGATATTGACTTGAGGCCATATCACCCAGCCCTAATGGAAACTAAGTTGTTTAGTTGCCTGTAAAGGTTATGTTACAACACGAGTTGAACTGCTGGCTAAGACATGTCTGAAACATGCAACAGTTGTGAGAGCAGAAGCCATTGTACACACACTGATTAGCCTCTGTTGTGCTGCTCTGTTGACACAGTTCACCACTGAAGCTCCTGATTAGTTTAACTTCCCTGAGCGCAGAGCTTTGTGATGAGGAGAGGGGGAGCTTGTCTGAACACGTAACCAAAGATGAGCAGAATCTTATCATGGTAGAAGCGTAGAGGGGTCTTGGTTTGCTTGTTTTGGCTTGTATACAGGCCTCCTCTTAAAATGACAACATGAAGATGAATCCAGTTCTTATCATCAGTCTTGTATTTACTCAGATTCAGAGTCTGTTGCCTGGATACTGTACAGAGCGGGGTGCACTTCATCGGCATACTGCTAAATCTTTATATTACTCAGTCTACTAGAAAACAACACTTGAGTTACACTCGACTAATCGTACAAAAAGGAAAAAAAAAACTCCTGGCTTGAAGCTTAACCCTTGTTTCGAGGAGATTGATATTAGCTGGGGACATGTAGAGACTTAAAATAATTGCAGGAACTGTCAGTGATACTAATCTGGTACCGACAGTAATTGGGTGATGACAGGAGGTCTCGTGGTAATACTCATGATTATACCAATCCACACAAACTTCCAGAAACACAAGTTGTGTTTTGACCTTGAAGGTGTTCAAAGGATGTTTCAGTTACAAAGAAAATATCATTGATGAATAAAAGTACACAATGAGAATCAAGGAGAATTTTCCCTGTGTTAATATGGGTGCCCAAAAATATTAAGATATATCACCCATGTTTTGTATGTATTGTGATACTGTGTGAATTCTCCAAGCATTTTTTGCAAACCAATGACAGTTCATGTTGCAATGTTACAGATTGTCTCTCATTACTAAATCCAAAGGAACTTAACTTTTGCCTTTTAGCTCTGGCACGACTTTCAGCTCCGCAACAAAAAACACACACACACAACAAAAAAAAGTTTTCTGTGGATGTGTGTGTGGGACACGATGGCTGATAAATTCCAGGTGGACCCTCTCCCCAGTCCAAGTGTCCTTAAAATCTGGCTGATCCACACCGGGGCTCTGGCGTCAAGATGCCCGTCCCCGCAGGTTAAATTGGGGCGTCTGTCTGTCTGCTGTCTGTGTGTCTGACTGTAGTTCCTAGTTTGGCCAGGGGCTGGATGTTGCTCCTGGCTTCATGGAGTCTTTGACAGGCAGGATATTGGAGACTAGTGGAGGCCCCTGGAAAAGCCCTGCTGCTTAGGAAGCTTAGCTCAGAGAGCCGGTGTCGACACCGAGGCCCTTTGTTTCTGATCTTGCAGAGCTGTGGGGGGTTGTCATTTGAATTCTGGTTAATATGGAATGTGTGATGAGGTAATATACTCCTCCCGTGTCCTGCACGTGTTTGTCGGTGTGTGAAAATGGTCGAGTTTTGATGAACAGAGATGTATACTAGCTATTTGAAAGTCTCCCTTAAACTGCTTTTAACGAGTTGGATGGAATTCTTACCTGCTCTCTTTCCAGACCTTTAATTTCTGCACCTTATTCAGTCTTAGATTTCTTTTCAGTCCTTCAGGAGTTTCTTTTTTGTGTGTGTTTTTATCGACTCTTCCACTTCTTGCATCTTGTGTCATTAAAATGAAAATCAGTACCGAGATGGATGGGTTTGTAAAATTGAAATTTGGAACAGGATAATGGAGAAATTGAAGAGGTGCATCCTGCAGTGTGGACTGATTAAGTGTGTTGGAAGAATCATTACCTCTCTCACACATCAGTAGAAGTTGTTAGATGACAATTCAGTGACAGCCCTGTGTGTCCATAACCTATCAGCATCACCAACAGGCACTAAGCTAATGCATCATGTAGATTTACAGTTAAGAGTTAGTTCTACCAGCACCAAAAATCAAAACAGACCATTTATACACCGGTCTCACTGACGGGTAGGGCTGGGCGATATGACCTCAAATCAATATCACTATATATTGAGCAGTTCACCGCGATAACGATAAATGAACGATAACTACTCCAAAAGCTGCCCACCCCATCCCACATTAACTTCGTCTACTTCTAGAGACAGCAATTCTTTTAAAGGAGACAGATAATTTAATATTTTTATCCCGTTATTGCACCTCTGAAAAAACGTAAATTAGTGTTTTTTTTTTTTAATGTTTTAAGTTTCAGCACATATTTTTCTACCTAATATTAATGAGAGGCCTGAATTCTTTCTACAGGATTGTGTTTCGTTGCAACATAACTAACTGACATTATTCAAACCGGTGACAAACTAAATTTAAGAGTCTGAAACTGCTTCAGCTCCTCTCCTGTCCCTACCCGCTCTCACATGTTGGTGTATTTAATGCTAAATGACTTGGCAGGCAAGTCCCATGTGTCAGCATTAGGCCTGGACGATATAGAAAAAAAGCATATCGATAAAAAATAAATCATATTGATCGATATCGATAATTATCGATATAATTATTATAATTTTTTAACATATATTTTAATTGCAGCCCTGGATGTTTTATGCTATTGCTTAATGACCTACTTTTAATAAAGAACACACAAGCACTGAATTCAAATTCAAACCTTTATTCAACCACCTTTTTTATTTTACCACAACTGAAAGTTTTTTAAAAAAGAACTAAAAAAAAAAAAAAGAAATCAACTTAAGTGGCCTGAGTGACGTCAGTAAATACTGACAAACATAAAGACTAAAGTGACCAGAAAATCTGATAAATAAATATTTAAATAGTCTTTTGATGAAAATAAACAAAACAAACAAATATATAAATAAACAGAATAGCTTTAGGTGGGAATAGCATACTACCAGTTTTAACTGTGTGGGAAACTGCCCACAGCCTGGTGCCCACAGCCTGGTGTCTGAACACTGAAATATAAAAAATATTTATTTTTTTTAATTATCATGTGATTGACTTAATACACAAACTAAGCACGAGAAGCAGGACTTATCCACGCCGGTGTTGTGTCGTAGAATGCACCCCTGCCGAATGCACCCCCTGCTAGTAGCCATGATCCAAATACTCGCGTCTTTGTAAAATATGAGCTCATTTGAACGTATTTCCTCCGCACCCTTCTCACCTTTTCAACCCCTGACCCATTTTCATGCCTGAAGCGCTGTGTTTGAGAAATACTTGCGGCCGGGCACTTCATATCGCGGGTCGAGAGTGGCTAGAAGCTGGTCGAAGCCAGGCTTTTCAGCGGTAGTTATTGGTAGTATGTCCCTCGCTATGGAGCATGTTACTGCATGGGTGATGTCCTTATGCCGCTTGGACGCTTTGTCGAATTTTTGGCAAGAAACGAAGTCCAGTTTGGTCTGCTTCACTTGCTTTGTGCTGGTGCTGGCAGCGGTTCCAGAGGATTCCTCCGACGACGACGTGGAGCCGCGGCGCGGCCGACACAGCTCGTACTCCTGCGGGTGCGATCGGTTTAGATGGTAAAACAAGTTGGTTGTGTTACCAGACTTGGTTTTTACTAATTCTCTGCAAATTTTGCAAACGACCGCTGTTCGCTTTTTGTCAGACTTCTAAAAACCAAAACATTGCCATGCTGGTGAACTACTGAAACCTTTTTTCGGGACAATGTCTTCCGCTTCTCCTTGCTGTATCATTTTTTCTAATACACGTGCTGTCTGTTGTGGTTTGATAGGGGCTGGGCTTGGTGCCGTAGCGTACCTGGGTCTGCGTTTGTGATTGGTTGGGAGGAAGTAATGACTGTAGTAAAAGCTACATGATAGGCTATGATAAAAAGAGAAAGGGAAACTGTGTTTTTCTATCGAACTATTTATCGACCCGTTTATTTTCTATCGCACCACACGTCTATCGATCGATATATATTGTTATCGAATTATCGTCCAGCACTAGTCAGCATCACCTTGCAGATAAAACAGGACAAAGTAATCAACTTCAACCTGCCTCTCACCCTCCACCCTTTTCCACATGCAACCCCAGTCAGCGTGTCCATTGTCCTTTTATCGTAGAGCCCCTCCTGTTCTGCTTTATCCAACAACAGCCAAGCCATCCTCACACCAAATACTCTTTCTTTTCCCCTCACGTGGGCCGAAGGCGCTGCAAAACCTGGAAGAGAATCAGCTAAAGACACGGGAGGGGATGGGGATGGAAGTGAGTAGCAGCATTGGGGGCCAGGAGTGGGGTTAATCCACAACCCAAACATTGTTCCATCATCTAATCAGGGTGGAAATGGGACGGACTGGCTGGAATACTAACATTAGCTTAGGGCCAGGCCATTTTAGATGCAGGAAATTTGGCTTGTTTAATCAGAAGGGCTTATCAAGAGCTGAGGGGAACGGGAGGCATGGAGAAGGAGACTGGGCGTTGGAATCCAGACTGTTTAAGCTTTTAGGAAAACAAATGTGGAAGTGGGCAGTCTTGTCTGTCTGTATGCCAAATTTAAGGTTTCAATGCAAAGCAAAATACCTATTTTTTGGTCGTCTACTCAGGCATGTTTTATTTCATCTATAAAAAGCTTCATTTTTATTTTATTTTTGATTTGAGAGAGTTGAAAAACATCTTGTGCTCTGCTGTGGTGCTTGTGAAGGATTGTTAATGCCCATGTGTCACACTGAAGTGTTTGACTGCTCTGCTGAAGCGAGATGCAAAAGTTGAAAAGCCAACTCTGAAACTTCTAACTCTTCAGGTTCCCTGCATGTCTTTGGGAATTACTGTCCCAGAGTGTTTAGTTCAACATGACAGCCTCTGCCTTTTGTGAGTTACAGTGTGCATGGTCTGCACATTTTCCTGTAATCATGAGCAGATGACGGGCTGTTTGGCTTTCAGGTATGTTTGTCTGCAGGGGTTGATAAGATGAAACGGTTGGTATTTAACTGGAAATAAGCCGAAGTGTTATCTTGATCAGTGTTATGACAGCTTATACTTTCCAAGAACAGAACATATACTAGATCAGCCATGAAGACATGAAACACTGGAGACAAATACAAATACACTTTAATCTAGGGCTGGGCGATATGGGGAAAAGTTTATCACAATTAATTTTTTCCATATCTGTCAATATGGATACACACAGTATAAAAAAAATCACTTATCACAACCTTAAATGTTCTTTGTTTCTCTTAAATGAAATTTAACAGTGCTTATTGGCAGCATGTCTTTTGCAATACAATAAGATACTGCATCTGTGAGGTCTTTGTGGGCTCCTTCCCCCGCTCAGGGTTTGTAACCCTTTGCGTTGTACATGCTCTGCTGTGTGTCACAGCGTCAGGTGGTGAAAAAGATTTGAGGAATTCCCCGACTTTGTGAGAACATGTACTCAACATAATTTGCAGTGCACATTACTCTGCTTCATGTCTGACCCTCAAAAGACCAAAATACCTCCTCACCACCAATGTTTTCGTGATGTCATCATCTGTTAAACCGTTATTTGCATTTCTGCCGGGGGGTAACACTAATTTTCTGTTTTTCTCACTGACAGTGCCGCCAGTTTCATGTGTTAAAGTGCTGTGGTTGCATGTAGCTGCAGTCTGATACTACGTAGTTTTTTGCTACTTTGTTCTTATTCAGCACGATTGGTTCAGCACGAAGCGGACCCGGAGCAACTCTCCTTTTCATTGGCTGTTCATATAGTCTACCAAAACATGGCAGAACACCGACTATTGAAAAGCATATTGACCATGTTTTATGTTTGATACTGAGGGAAATTAATTTTCCATATATATCGTTACTGTTTTTGTCGCCCAGCCGTACTTCAACCTTGAGAACACATCACTGATGAAGCTTTCAAGTTAAGAAATGTGTGTACCTTGAGTTTTAGGACTGTTTTCTGTTCACTAAAAATAAAATCTGATTTTTTTTTCCCTCTCATAAGTTTTATAATTAATTTTGATAATGCCTGTTTTGCAAAACTAGAACATGCCAGAGGAATAGATGTACATTGAAGCCTCCGTTTGGGTCACATCTGCATAAATTATTGTTTATAAAAGAGACATTGACTGCCACCCAGTGACTGACTCATTGTAGTAGGACAGTAGGAGACACACTCTGTGATAGACCAGGTTTTATAAACAGAAAGCAAACTTCATCTTGATCCTGTGGAAATTCAATATTTTTTCTCATCACAGATGAATCTCTTTGAATCAAAGAGACTTGCTTATGCTAACATAGGCTATCAGGGTGGTGCTAAACTGGAAGGAAAGGGAATGCTCAATGATCGGAGTGGGGTAAAGCCCTGCATGATAATAAACAGCATATTTTGAATGAGTCTGGCAACCAGCACTTTGATATGTAATCTTCAAAGTAACATGAGAGAGAGCAGCTCAAAGGGATGGCATTATCTGTGCCTGAACACAGGTGTACCAAAGGATAAAACTGCACTGCAGAGTAATGGTTTCTGAAGGCTTCACTGGTGTTCTATTTTCATATTGGCTCCATGTTGCTCATTTTTTCTGTGATGACATACTGTAACCCAGCCAAGAAAATTCAGCCACATATGGAGCAAGCGTCCAGGTGGTCTCCAGATTTACAGTGTGAATACAAGCAGCAGACAGACATTCATTTACAGCTCATCATTTGACCATGACAGCAGGCCAGTCTCCAGAGATGAAGGTGTGACATTGAAAACAGCTCTGATGTGGGGAAAGGCTGGTTCAGCTGACAGATCATTAGTCCCAAGGGTGCTTTTATTTTCCACTTTCTAATTTAGCAGGTTATTTTTCTGCGGTTTTCAATCAGTCAAAATGTTGGTGACATTGTAGTGCACTTAGTACACTCACTTTGTAGTAGGACTGGGTGATATGGCCTCAAATCAATATCGATATATTGATAATATACAATATATTGATCAGTTCACCTCGGTAATGATAAATGGAGGATAACTACTCCACAAGCTGCTCACCCCTTCCCACATTAACTTTGTCTACTTCGCCTATCTGACTTTCCGAGTTGGAAATCCGACTTTAGGGGGGTGTTCCAGATGAATTTCCGACTCAGAGCTTGAAAATTCTGACTTTGGAGTACAAGTGGAACGCAGCATTAGTTCCATCACCTGCCTGTTTATCCTCTGTTCATCACCAGCCTGGTGTCATATTGTAGTTTGCAGCCCTGGTCAGATAAAACAAGTGCACTTTGCTGAGTTGGAGAAACTCATGAATAATCAGGGGTTGTGAAGTTTCCCACACCCCAAAAGAGTTTATTTGTGTTTTAAATACATACAAATTTCATGTGATAGGAAGCTGAGTTGATTTGTGTATCTGCCCATTCTTTCAGAAGTACTGCTGTAACAGTTAAAAGTGTAAACTTGTCAAACATCTGGTTATCTGTTACTGTACTGCACATGTTCCTGAAGCAATGGAAGGTTGAATAATGGACTGAAGTTCTTCTGATAAGATGCACAGTTTTTTTTCCCTCTTCCTGTAGACCAGCACATTTATTTATGCCTTCCTTTCCTCTCTATTGTGTGCTCTCTGACTACAAATCAGCATAAATCATGGCTGTTGCCTGCAGTGTGTGGTTGGCACATATGCTGAATGGTAAACTTGCGGTTGTCTAGCACAAAGGTCTTTCATAACATCCTTTCCTGCTCAAAATGTTTCACATATTGTTTGCGTTATTTTCTACATTTGATCATTTCGTTGTTGACGCTTTTGCTTTAATGTGTGATCCTTAATTCTGACAGGGATCATTTTTCTTGCTTCTCAGGGTGGTCTTTCAAGATGTAAGTCATTAAAAATTGTACATTATTAAATATCTTTTACAGCAAATCAAGCCTAAATTGTGTGCAGTCATCAAATCAGTCTATAAATCTTTCTCAGAAGCTGCGGTCCAGCTCTGGGATTGGACAGTTGCGGTCCAGTGCTGATTTCGCTGTATAATACTGGACCAATTATGCTCTATTAACTGTCATTACCTGTGATGATCCCTGTATTATAGTACTCGCTTGTTCGTTGTCTCTGGCCTGTGCAGTTGCTCCGCTGTGGCTCCAGTCAGACTAGATTGATGTAGCGTCTTTTCTCGAGCGGCGTATCTCAGTTCCTGCTGAAAAGACAAAAGGAGGTGCTTATTATCAAAAGTCAAACTTCGCTTGAATTTGTTTTTGTTTCTTTATGTTGATTTCTTTTCTGATCATTGCTATTGATTCCTACCACTGCAAAAACTCCTCAGCTTGCGTCACTCTCTTCAGACCGGTCTGACATGCTGATGGTGTGGATCTGCAACTGATTGCTGTGATTTGGTGATCTGCCATGCAGGATTTAAAGGCATGCTCCAAAATTAGCCCAAATCTTATAAAACCTCTTGGAATTCAAGGATAGGACCTCCTGATGCTAAAATTAGGCAAAGAGGAAAAGGATACACAAGCTGTTCTGTTTTCCAGGCACTAAATTGGCCTCAGATACATCGATCATCTCTGTCTACTTTTCATAAGCCGTGATGAGAATCATACAGTATGTTACTGTAAATGTGTAGCTGTGCTTTGTGTGCTCCATACCATTACAGTCCAAATGTTTATATAGAGATACAGTTTAAGCTAAGGATCGAAACTGTCAACAGAGAATATCATCAAGTAACAGTCAGGCTTGAAACGCCGAGCATTACCTGATCCTGATCATACACAAGATGATGGTCACAACTAGGCTAGTTTTACCAGCTAAATTACCATGGCAAAATAATAGGGCTGAAACGGTTCCTCAAGGAATTTTCTCTGCCTTTGGTACTCGTTTATAAGCTCAAATTGTCACTGTTTCGTACAAATCATTTTCAAGGTGACACAACCTGCTTACGTCACCACAGTAGGAGCAGGAGTGAGCGAGGTTTTGCTTTTGCGGAGTGGAAAAAATTTTTCTTCTGCAGAGCTCCAGTAGCTTATTAGCAATTCGCCTCTGAGTCGTAGGCGGAGACAGCGCCGCTCGGCTCACTCCTCTTCAAGCTAGCTTGCAGCCTAACATTGCCGGCGTAGTAGCAGAAGCAGGTAACATAGGAGCTATTCAGCTCTCAGACACCAATGTCTTCAGGGACATGATAAAAGTTAATATCATAATTAGCTTTCTTACGAGCATTGCAATCTGCTAACACACGCGCTTGTTCAGCGTTCCTTGTTTCCAAAACAGGAAAACAGTTAATTGTTCATTTTTAAGTTAAATGTCTTATTTTCTCTTAAATTAATAATTGCACTTTAACTAAAAAAATGATGTCTTATCCGATTACTCGATTAATCTGTGGAATATTCGGTAGAATACTCGATTACTAAAATATTCGTTAGCTGCAGCCCTACAAAATAACCAGGTGTCTTTGTGACACTGAAAACTCAGGTGTTAAAATCAACAGATCCAGTTTTTCCTTCGAATGTTCTTCCAAAAAAACCCCAGCCTTTTATTTATTCCCTTTTACCACATTCGGACTAACTGCTGACTGTACGCTAACATTCATGATGTCATGCATATCCACCAGAGATTAAACATTTACTTACGGAGAGGAGTTTGGACTCACAGGCACACACATAAACAGAGCCAACTCACAGAGAAATGGAAGCTGTTTTTTTTTTTCTTAGCAAAACTGAAAATAGATAAATAAATAAATAAACACAACTCACAAGCAGGCAACCCACACGCCTGTTTACAACACTGTACATTGTAAACAAGCAGGTAATTAGCTGTGGATGCTGTACTGAGCAGTGCAGCGTTGTAGTGAGAGTTGTGGTGTCCCTAGCTGACAAATGATTGTTTGTATTTCAGCTCCGGTTGCTGTGTCACCCTTTTAATGCCAACTTTTGCCTCACTGCTAATGCTAATGCATGTTAGAACTGTTCTTGTATTCATCCTGTATTGTGATACTATCCCACTGCTGTATAAATCATAGTCATTCAGTCCACCAGCATGCCAGCACAGTGAGCACAGAGCAGACTGTCCATGGTCACAAAAGAGGATTCCCTGCTGTGGTGGCAGCTTGTGAAAAGGTCCAGATGATTGACTGCAGGCAGATACCACTCTTGGCCTTTGGCTGAACTTGTTAAAGCTCAGAGTGGAGGGGACCCCCAGCCAGATGGTCCCCTCCTCAAAAGAAGAGTTAGATGTTACCAATTTCTACACAGTTGTTTGACTTTGGGACATTTTATTCGATCAAATCCTTTCCTCCCAAACCACAGCAACAAATTTTATCTTTTCCATCAAGGCCTAAACTTTGACTCAGTCGTGAACTGGATGATACAGTTCTCTAATACTAAGTAAATGAACTGATTTTGACTTCAACAGCCACTAGACTACACACGTCCTGCATCAGTAGTTGTTTGTTTTTCAGATTGTAGAGTTTGCCTAACTAGATGTCTGTGCCCGGTTGTTTTTGTACTGTTAATCAGCACATGGAGCATTTACAGGTTAAGCTCTTGCCAAATTGAATTAACTAGATAAAAGGTTAAAGGTCAGAAGACGTGTTTATACGTGTTCTTGGATCTAGACACAGTGTCGGATTCAGTGAGGATTACGCAACACACTTAAGACGACATCCTGTAACGCTGTGAATGCCTTTGACTACAAAGCAGGGGTGTGACTATAAAGTAAAGCAGGCGTGTAGGTCAGGAGCACATGTCTCTGTTTATGTTTCACCAGCCCTTGAGCTCACAGCTGTCAAGTCTGATCGCACTTCACCTCAGGGCCTTGAAGTAAGTGGTGTTTTACTTTTCCAAGTCACGGAAACCAAGCTGTCTCAAGCCTTGAGTTATTGGTCATTAATTTAGGACAGGTAGCTGTCCGGTGAGAGGCCTCTGAGATAACTGCAGCGCCGCGATAGATCTGTTTTCATTGGATGGCCTTCAGGGTGGATGGATTGCAGCAAGCTAGTTCAGACAGAGAGATAAAGAAGAAGTACGTGATCGTAGATTTATCTCGTTTGACAGAAAGTTCTTGATTCGGCTGTTGTGTTTGATGAATTTGCAGCATCAGTTTTTCTTCCTGTCATTCCAAAAAATAAGGTGTTGTTGTTTCGCTAAAATATCTGTGATTCACTGCCAGACATAATATAAGGGAGTCTTTTCTCATTACAATGTTGATTTATTTCCCAAAATATGAAAAGCAATGTCCTTTCTCTTCATCAAAGCATAAAATAGATTTACACACCACTGCACCTGCAGGCAGAACGTTTTGGCGAAAGCTGAATTTGCCTTTGCAAAAGTCCATTCATGCATTTCTAAACTAACAAAGTTGTGCTGTCTTTGTGTTGAGCAAAGTAACGCAGGGCAACTGCTTTGAACATGAATCCATGAGCATGACTTTGGTTTGCACATGAAGGCTTTCCAAAAGGGAAGGAAATGAAAAGGGCAAAAAAAAAGGCTTACCATGATTGTTTGATTGTTTGAGAAACAATGAAGGCAACATTCCTCTGAAAATAACAGAGGCGACACATTCCTCCTCTTAATTGAGACGCCTCACATGACCCCGGTCAGAGACGCTTTCAAAACACTCCTGAGATCCAGCAGTTTCCAGCGAGCATCTTTCACTTGTTTGTTTTGAGTCCAAAGATGGAATGACTTTTTTGAGAAAGAATCGCAAATCACAAAGTTTAAGAACATTTTCACCAAGCTATCTCTTAGTTTACCACGATTTTGACAGAATATAGTGATGTTATTTAGATTTTCAAAATCCTACACACAGCATCGTCTAATAGCTCAGCTTCCCTGCATGATCCCGTCTTATGTAACCCACAAACATGAACAAACATGTGGTCATGCATAGCAGTGTAGAGCTGTACTCTGCTAGTCAGTTTGTTGGATATATAACTAATTACCTACTCAGCCACAGCACATTAAACAGCATGTAAGCCTATTTGGAAACGTCCCCTAGGTTTTATGAGATTCCAGTGTTTGACTCTGTTTATAAGACACTGACTTTATTTTTACTACGAAAAGGATTATTCGGTTTAATTATATTCAGATTCTTTTTGTTCTACAAAACCATCATTTTTTATCATGTTGCGTAAGACTGTTTCCCTCTGTTTGTTGTGTTTTTGTGAACAGGAATTGTAGTCCATGAGGTTGGGTGGTCGTCTGCATGAAATTTATAACTTCCTTAACTAGATCAGATGCAGATGGGGTTTCTGATATTGCATTTAACAGCCACTTTTAAGCGACATTTAATGTTTTTCTGCCTAACATGCCTCTAACCTGCAGTAAGCAACACTTCCATGCCAAAGGAAAATAGCACTTAAACTTTTACTGCTGTGTTACAGTAGCTGTAACTCAGGGGGTGTTTTACTAGCCAGGAAGGTTATGCTTTCCACCCAGACTCCGAGCCCACCGGCAGACCTTCTCATTATGCTTTCCGTTGCAGTCTGGTATGTCTAGTTCACGTTTTTGTAACCTCTTCATGAAACATATAGTAAGGGAAAAAAATGTGCTTATTGTTTGTTAAATGTTGCCCAAATGTGCATTGTGTTAAAGTAAGTGTTCCCTTGGGTCTGTCTCAGAGTTCCTCGTACACTCCTCAGCTCAGGGCGACACTTATGGGAGCAGCAGATGTACATGAATCAAGGTCCTGAGCAGCTTTGCACTTACTGCCAGCTGAGCAGAGGATAATGAGAAAACCTGAATCCCTGCAGTTTGCTGCAGTTCAGACCTTTACTGTAGCCAGGAGAGAAATGTGTAATTTATATTAATGTGCATGAACCCTTAGGGATAGAGTATTAATTGACCTAACCTTTCAGACATCAACTTAGAGTTTTAACCCCACCAGAGACCCATTAAATTATTTTTGGGAGGAGGTTGCACGGATTTTAAAATACCTCTTCTGTCCCAGATGAAATAGTATGAATGAATCAGCTCTATGTTTCTAATGTATCTGTAATTGATATCAGCTTTATGCAACACAATTCCTCATTAATCTGCATGTGTATATTTCCCTCTGTTTTTAACTGCAGCAGAACTAGCAAGTGTTGAAGTGAATTTTTATTGAAGTGGTGATAGTGTAATCTGTCCTGATGAAGGTGCTGCGACACTTTAAGGTCTCAGTGCACCTACGCTCTGGTAAGGTTAGTGTCGAGCTGACCCAGTTATTATACACACTGTTCTGTAACCCAGGACACAAGTTCTTTAAGGGACTCAGGAATCTTCACGTCAAACGGTAAAAAGTGGATTAATTTTTAGCAAGCGGAGTACAGATAAGCATGTGACACGGTTGTTAAGAAGCTCCCAAATCAAGGTCATTTACCCAGCTGCAGATATAAAAGTATCTAGGCCATGTCATCTTAAATGAGATTGGTACATGAAATCTTTGAACAAAACCAGGGATTCAGCTCTCTAACATGAAACACCAAGGACTTCTATAGGTGCACAATATGACCTGCACTGTATGCAATGCAAGAGAGCATTGTCCCAAAGGTATGTACGCTGGGACACAAGTGCTATGTACTGACAGGAACCTAGCTATAAAATACATCTAAAATACAAAGTTTATGATTGAAAATGACAGATTATGTCCCAATACTTGAATTCAAATGAATATCAATATTTTTATTTTATAAGAACACAAGGATCTGCAAAGTCTTGACTAAGGCTGTATAGTCCAGGTCGACTGGCCGACTTATTGGTCGATATGTGCTGGGTCGACCTAAATTCTCATTGGTCGACTAGATTTTTTACATGTCAATTTACAGTCAATGGTAAATTTCTTCAGGTGGAACGTACCAAGTGCTAATGTGCTAATGGGGGTGTTTTCAGAGCACTTCAGTTTCACAGGTAACAGCCTGTCTTAGAACACGCCCCCTTGTTTTCACAATTTAGGATTCACCCAACCCACTGGAGATAGGAAGATTGAAGAACGTCTACGTTATTCAACGTCCGATGGTTTGCTGAATATTCAATTTTATTTTGAGCCTTTCAACTTTTACAGCTCTCGTCTTGACAAATCCTAAAACATGACACACAAGGCAAGATGGCAAATGCAACAAGAGTGACAACTCTTCTTAAAAAACAACCTGATGCCTGCAGGGTTTGTTTACATGATTCAACAGACCTGCATATCCAAAGGAATCCCTGTAGACTGTGACTGTCACATGTTATGAGATGTGGCATTAACATTAGGACACTCTGTTACTTTAAAGTTCAGGAAGTTATTCAATTAATGTTCAAGACTACAGAAGTTTTCTGTAAGATATTTTAAAGTCATTGAAAGGTTTCTCACCATTAGAGGGATCGATGGTGTATTCTCATTGTATTGATTAAAAAGATTACATGTGTTTGATTCACATTTCTCGCAGCCTGATCTGTAGAGTTAATTAATCTCATTGATTAAGTTGAACCTCAATGAGCGGGTCCAAAGAGGTTTGTCTGGCCAAGTAACTTCAGTCTGCAGCACAATGAGAAGAAAGGCTTTCTCTGTTAACTGAGGACATGCAGTACAGCAACATGAGGCTGTCTGTGTTAACAAACTTGTTTCACAATCAGGTTACGCTGGCTTCAGATGCCCTGAAAGAATAGACAGCATTTTAGGAAACATGCTCACTACTTTTTGATGGGACTGTGTTTTTTAGACTGTGTGAAAATAGACTGTATATTGAATGGTTAACAAACCTATTTGCAACTTATAAAGCCAAATTTAACATGCAAATATAACTTTTTTAGGTCTAATCAATAATCAATTTTTGTGAGGACTAGGGGCGGGACAAAAGAATCGATACAGCATAGTATTGCGATATTTTGTCCGCTGATATATCATATCGTCTCATTTACCAAGTATCAATTTTTCAAATTAATTGCTAATATGAAGTCAGATCTATGATAATGGAAAAATAACATCGGCTGTTTGTTCACTGAGGTTGGCAGAGGTGACATCATAGAGCAGGAGAAAGTTAGTGCAACAACATGAAAATACATGAAAATAAAATACAGCATAAATAAGACAAACATAAAGGAAAGCCAAATGCTAAATTAGCTAAACAGTTGAAAATGTTGTATAAATCACAATAACATTGTATCGTGGCCCAAGTATCGTGATAATATTGTATCGTGGGGCCTCTAGTGATTCCCACCCCTAATGAAGACTGTGTTTTTTAGACTGTATGAACATAGACAGTATATAGAATAGACGCCGTCTGCCTCCTTGCTAGGTGAAGCCACTCCGAGAACAGCACCTTCTTTTGGCGGGCTGCAGTATAGGTCATAAATCCCACAGCCTCTGCCAGCAAAGCTCATGGAGCTGTGGACAAACTTTAGAAATTTATTACACAGAACTTTTTTTAAGCTGCTTGCGATGTTGACATGCTGTTATTGTAAGACTGGTTTGTGCCCAAGTCCTCTTTTTTTCTGTGAAGCTCCGTTTTTAAAAGTTATTAGGGGGTTCAAGTTTTCTATGATTGACACGTAATACAGCCTATGGGCGTGCAAAGATTGCGTAGCTCACCTGAGGGATACGCTGTTTGGTTGGTTTTCAGAAAATGGAGAAAAAAACGCGGAATTACAGAGAGCTTTTCAGCTTCAAATCCGTATACAGGAAGAAGGCAGAACTAAGTTGTCCATAGTTTATACAGTCTTTTGTGTATGAGTCAAAAGTCAGACTGACCAGCTCTGATCAAGCCCTGCCCTCACAGTCTGAAAAGTGACTGTGAAGCTAAAAGTGAGCACTCAGGAGGTAAAACTCTTCTCCTTCTTTCTTCTGTTTGTTTGTTTTCTGAAGTGTAACTCGCTAGTATCAAACTCAATGAGGCCTAGAAATGAGGCCTACTGTCGTCCTTTGCTGAGATTCAGCAGCCCGCTGCTTTTGTAACTGGTCCAGGCTCCCAGACAAGCCAAGAAGCTGACACTAACACACACCCGGGCCAGACAACCTACATCTCCACACTTTTTTTCCCCACAGCTGTGCAAATAAATGAGAAGGAAACTCTAACGAAATTTAATCTTGTAATTGTTTTGGCTTCCAGACTAGCAGTCCGTCGGGGTCCCTTCCTTTCTTTTGCCAAATACTGCCAGTTTGTGTGAGAGTAAATTGATTTTAAGTAAGTCTGGTTCTAAAAAAAGGCCTGCAACTAGAGATATTCTGGAAGGGGGTCTTTATTTCACAGTTTGAACTTCAGCTGTTTAAGTATGTTTTTCCTTTAGAGCTTTAAATTCATCCAGAAGGTGTCCTGTCAGCTTGGATAACTAAGGTGTAAGATTTAAGTTCAGTGTAAAGTCAGAAGTAGAAAACAGCTGTTTCAGCAACATTGGCTTCATAAAGTTTACTGCATGTGAATGTTCAATGCTGGAATACATACAAGTTTGCAGCCCCTGGGATTTCGTGCAGCTCCATGCCATGCAACAAAAAGGCATTTACATGTTTTCAAAAATAGCATGCATGCCTGATGATGCACCGTAGTCATGCAGATTCATGCAAAGAGGCAGCGTCTCCTCCTCAGAGGGTCTGAGCAACTATTACCCAATAAATCCCCTGTCACAACACATTAGCCTGCCAGAGCCATTCGGTCGGGATGATTGCGGCTTATGTCAAGCTTGTTAGTGTTTAGCGCTGCTAACCAGAGAGTGACTTGATGTACGGCCGGCAGCTCTTTGTGCACCGCGCCACACCATTCCCAGGATTTACTGTGAAGAAAAGACGTGAAAAGAGTGCTGATAGAAGTTGTAAGGCTTGTTTCTTGGTGTCCAAGTGATCTTGTGTGTCAGGACTTTAAATTCAAAGGCTGGCTTTATTGTTTGATGTTATTTTTTTCCTTTTTTTCCTTCATGTTTTGCTAACCTGCTGCTTTTTTTTTCACCACTCTGCAGGCTGTGACAGGAAGATGCTTTGGTGACAAGGATTTTAGAGGAGGTTTGGAGAACGGGATCCTCTTGTGCGAGTAAGTTCTGATGACGTTTCCATCCTCTTCTAACTTGTAATGAAGTGGTCCAGTAGATGCCCCTCAAACTTTTATCACTGTTGCTGTCTTTACTTCCCAGAGAAGACGCTGTCTTATTATTCGAGTAAATATGAAGAATTTGTTTTTGACATTCTCAGGTTGTAATTTTATTTAAAGCCCACGTACGAGATTATACGCTACAGGAACCTAAAATAGATGCTGGAAGCTTCTGTTCTGAGCGTAGGAATGCAGCTGTCACAGTCTTGGTTCACACAGCGGTCAAAGGAGCTAACATGATTTTCCTTTCAACTATTTTTTGATCTAAACTGATAACATTTATTAGTGCATAGAGTCTTTAGATTATCTTTCCAAATTTTTTGTCTATCTGTGGTAAATAATGTTAAAAAACACAACAACATAAAACTAGAATAACAGCTTATAATTAACAGGTAAATTACCAAATATTGAAGCTTTCTTTTTTAAGACTAAATGAACTTATTTCTACAATTCTGTGGTCCAATGATCAGAGAGATTGAAGTCCTGTTGAGTTTTCCTCCAGTGTGATACTTGAACTCCTGGCCGCCCGCCCATAATGAGCTGAAGTGCTGAAAGAGACTGAAAACACAAACAGACACTTGCTCTTTCACATTCCTCAGTGCCAAGTTCATTTACACAAAGTCCAATGTTTACACCCTCTTTATTGTGAATACAGACATCATGTCCAATTTAACAGGGTCCCTGCTGGGTTTGGAATGCCTTGAATATCATGATGCGACATCTAGAGATGTTGGAGCACTCCAGGCCCTGAAAATTAAGGTCATAGTGCTGCTTTAAAAATGAGCGAATGGCAAAACTAAGGAAACACATTGATCAGCATCATGTCAAGGATGTTAAATTTATATCACACTCTAGGGCTGCACCATTTTGGCCAAAAATAACATCCAGATGTTTTTCTTTAAAAACTTGATTTTCATTTTAGATTTTGATTTTTTTATTCCGTGACAACTTCACCAAACTTCCCCTAGCCAGTAAGTGGCGCTGTAACGCTGCAGAGGAAATGCACAAAAGACAGAAGAAGAGTACAGAGCATGCGTATAAAAGTTGTTTTGTGCGGGACCACATCTACAAAAGTTAGTTTAGCGCTTACCTTGTCCAAATATAAGGCAAGCCAAAAAAATAACTTTCGTAGATGTAGCCATCTTGTTCAGGCCTCTGATTTTGCTTTCTTCAAAATTGGTAACTGTAACGTTGGTAACTCGGGTGTGACGTCATTTTGAGCTTTGACATTTGACTTCGGAGATAACTCGAATGCAGCAGCAAGAAAGTTGGATATAAGAATAATGAAAAACGTGTTATTTGCAGCCTCATCATGAACTTCTACTGACATATAAAAAATGCTGAACCCTGGAGGAACTTACTGTTCTGCTCATTGTTTTATTTTATTGTTCAGTAATAGGACGTGAGTAACCTTTCAAAGTCTGCATGTAGATCTGCCTCTTTCTCATGAGCTGAAACATTTGCCATGGCAACAGAATGATAAAAGATTGAACTGTGTGTGCAGCTTCTTTTTACTTGATAATTTCCCAAGTGAAACACTCTCTACCCGTCTTCTTCCTTTCCTGATACACGAAGCTTCAGGAAGCTTATTTGTCTCTGTAAATACTCCTCTAGATGATGTATGAATGTTGATTTTTCTTTGTTTGTTTTTTATTGTGTCTGTGTTCCAAATCCTTGGAAACACTTTCCCCTCTGAACTTATTCCAACTTCCTCTTCATGTTGAAATAAATTTGATCTGCAGCAGTCTCCGGGGGACACAAATGGACCACATCCCTGCTGAACACTGGCAAACAAATCATTGAAATGCTTTCAATCATTGGCCCTGTGGAGTTATTGGCAATTTTTCTAACAAGAAAACATGAGGGTAAACAAACTCTTGGAGAGGGAACAATGTCTGAGTCAAAATAATCAGGAGAAAGAAAAAAAAAAAAAAGCAGCCTGTGACATTTTTCCCATCCAGGCAGCTATTTAAGAGTGGAAATCTTCACTGTGTCCACTGCTCGCTGTCCGCACCTACGCTTATTGTGTGCACTGAGAACATCTTTCTCCGGGGGTTGTTGTTGAAAGTTATTCTGGGAAACATTCAGCGCAGCAGGAAATCTCAAACAGAAGTTGGAGCAGACAAGGGAGAGTGAGGGAGAGAGAGAGCTTAAAAGGTTAAGTTACAGCATCTCGGCGCAAAATACCTGCTGGAATGCCATCAACACAACAGGGCCGCCTATATCCCAAACTGTAATCGTATCTAAGGGTGGGTTTTCCCTTTACAAACCATTACAGTGCTTCCTCTGATGAAAACACTCACAAAAGATGAAACTGGAGACAGACAGACAGAGAGAAAGAAAGGGGGAGATGTGGGGATTCCAACACTTCTTGCTTGTGACTGATGAATGTTTCCTGTCGCAGGGCTGCACAGTAACTTTCTTTTTTGTATGTAGGCAATGAACATAAACAGCAGCAGCACTTAAAAGTGTGCTGGATCTAGTTTACAGCTCCCGGTGGGATGGAAGCAGATGCACTGATTCTCAGCTCTGATTTAAGACCTGTCTTGTCAGAAACCTTCCAGGCATCACTTTGGGACCCTCTTTTTCCCCCTTTCACACACGCTTTTTCACCCATGTTTGATCTCTTTAGCCTGCAGGTATTTCGCTCTCTGCCGGGTTTGGATGTATGAAATATTCAGATAGTCGTAGAGATATGCCTCAGAGGGACGACTCAGCTTTTTGTTTGTGGATAAATCCAGGTTGTGATGTCTTCCTCCCTCTGTGTCTTTTGTTAGGTTGCTGAGCTCCATCAAACCCAGCCTGGTGAAGAAAATTAACAGACTTCCAACGCCAATAGCTGGCCTGGTGAGTCTCCCACCCTCACTCATCTTTTATATCTAACTTCACAGCATTTCCACCAGAGACAACCATTAGTCATCCTGGATCTATTTCCCATGCTTTCTCTCACTGTTTTTCTTCCTTATCCTATTACTTTATATCTGTGCTCCGTTTTTTTTTTCTGTTCCCTCTCAAGGGATTCTTAAGACAGTTGCTGTACAATGTCGAAGGCCTGTTGTAACCTTTTCTTTTCAATTGAATGAAATCCAAGACACCATATGTCACACGGCATAATGCTGTTGTAAAGGTTGTACTATACAGCAGCCGCAAGATTGATGTGATTCCAGATATTGAGATAATAGATTGTTGCATGTTAACACTGTGTAAGCGGCGTTTTGGTTGAGGTTTGCACGTGGATCCATAGACCGCCATGTATTGCTATCGTGCGGCCGTTACTAAAGTTGGTAACTAGAGAAGCAAGCGGTTGCCAACATTCATTTCTCGAAGGGGTGTCTAACTCGGTGTTACAGTGTGTTTGACCATAACTTAATTTTACACTGGAATATCCCTTTAATTTATCAATCGTTATTGTAATTGTCCAGCAGCTGTGTTACTGCATCTGTTATCGTCACTTTACTTCTACTGGTGTGATGAGTCAGGCAGCTGTTTGATCCAGTTTCTTGGTTGATGGCGTTCCCACTACGAATGAACTCCTCCAGGGTTCGAAAGGGTGTTGTGACCACCTTTTCTAGGTAATGGTATTTTTTAAAAATTTGACATCAAGGTGATGGCTGAGGGAGAAAACAGACCCTATTTTGCAACAACTCCTCTAAACTATGTGAAAACAGCCTCATGCCTGTGAAACTGGTGTGTCTTGTGTTGTCTCGGTTTAATTACAGATTACCTGTACGTAAAAAAATCTCAATTACAGTCTTGACAAGTAAAGTGTCAATCATCAGCCTCTGTGACACCGGGTCCCTAAAGGGTCACTGGCTCTAAAGTCAGACCGTGACTCACATTATCAGAGATTTACCCCTTTTTATGAACATTACTGACCCCAACAGCAAACAGACTGTATATTTTAATATCATTCCATGTAACTTGATTATATCTCTTTGACAAACTGCATCTGTCCAGTTCCCCTCAATCCTGAAAGAGCATTTTGTCTGGGTCCCACATCCTGCAATGAAAACTGTACATTGTATGGTTGGTTTCCATTTAAGCATCGTACCACCACGACCGGATCCTACTTTGACTTGAAGCCGGTGAAATCCAGTAGACCTGAACAGTGATACATTTCAGCAGAGTACAGTGCACCACAGTGAGGCCCTTTCATGGTCACCTAAGACCTTGATCTGGATGAATTTACTTATTAGGACCAGGACTGAGGTGTAAACAGAAGCATGCTGAAAGTTGATAGCATTTGAGCTCAAGCTAAATCTACTTTCATCTCCTACTCCTCTTCCTTCTCCTCCAAACTCTGTTGCATTTTTCACTGCCTCCTTGAGCTGCTCATGATAAAACACTGAAGAACCTATTTGAGCATCTATTTTAAATACATCTGCCAGTTAAGTTTGCATTTTATTTCGTTGTCGTGCTGTGGGTTTTTTTTTTTTTAAATAATCCTTAAATTGACGGATGAAGAGAACCAGAGGTGAGATGAGAAGCTCATTACTTCGACCGTAGCTTAACAGAGGAGCAGGAAGTCTGAGCTTCGCTGGAATGGCTTTTCTTATCTCTCATCTCTTGCTACTAATGGATGCCAATGAGCCTTTTACAAGCGGTGGATCATTTCTCTGCCACATTCTTTACACGCCTTTTTCCCCTCCTCCTTAAAAATCACTGCTGGAATAACAATTGACAAGGCTTTTGAACAAAGAGCTTCTGTTTCCACTCGATCATTAGTAAATATTTCAGCCCTGTGATTTGCCCATAAACATAAAAATACTGTTTTATTACAGCTCTGTTCTTGTCTTGTTTAGATTTCAGGTCCCTTTTTTTCACCTGTTGTAGACTCTAGCTTGTGATCAATTTTTCTACCACACTACAAATAACTAGACTTAAACATTGACCTGTAAGTTGGTCATGACATGTCAAGAAGATGTCAGATGTTGAAAGACAAATATATCTGTGACTCAAACCTTGATTTCAATTTGCTGATAGTTGTTGATTCAACTTGGGTCACTATTTTGTGATTTCATTGCTGATGATGTCTTAGAGAGTGTGATTGAACAGGTTGTACAGGTCACTTGTTTGTTTGATCTGTTGTTTTGAATCTGGTTGGTAAAACTGAACAAGAAATCCTCTGTTTTGTGTGAAGCTAACTGTCCATGTAAAAGGGTAAAGAGAAATCTGACCAGCAGGCTTCATCCCAGACCCAAAAGTTTGACCCTGCGAAAGTTTCATAACTTTGTCTCTGAAGCTTCCTCTTGCTCTGCAGGGATTTTTGTGCTCTGTGCTGTGATTATGGAGGTGAGAAGCACATAAACAAGGACTCGGCTGTTATCTGGCCCATCGTAATAAAACACAGGCTACACCCCCTTCCTCTTCCTGTTTGGGGGCTAATGGGAAAATGAGTCTCTGAGGAGCTTTGGCTGTTTTGTAATTAGAGCAGCTACCTCAGTGCTTGGGCAGCTCGGCCTGTATGGCTCAGTGTTGGTCTGAACAGGTCGGTTGTTGGGTGCTCTGTTCCTGGTCGTCTCTGGGTCGACTGGTATGCTCGTGTTTTACACTGTGTAAACAGACACGCAGTGCTGATCGGCATGCAGGTTGAATGGTGGTTATTCACAAGTTTTAAAAAAAAATGTGTTGTTTTCTCGACGTCAAGTTTAGAGTGGCAGGCGTTTGTGCTATTTTTCAGTGGCGCACTGCTAAAAACATCCCTTGAGTTAGTTACGTAAAACTGCCTAATCAGGCTATTAGATTTTCAGCTCCGATGCTCTTTAAAGGGCTTGACTTTTACACTTCAGTGGTAACTTGAAGTAAGTTGGAGCTTCCCATAGGGCTGGGCGATAAACCCCAAACTTACCGATACTGAAATTTACAACAATAACCTACGTCATTTTGCCCGTATTGGTAAATTTGGTGGCAAAACAAATAAATAAATAAAAGTTGGTAGGCTATGGTCTCATGTCCCTTTAAGATGCTGTCCTACATCAGAGATGTGACTCCGCCCCATCCAGTCTGTAACAAAGGGGGAAAGACAGGTGAGGAGATGGAGGACGGTTCAAAAGTTGTAGCGAAACCCTCTCTGCAGCCCTGATTCCTTTGATAAAAGTTAGAAATATAGCAGGGATGCCCCAGAGGTAAAGGAGCTTAACAATAATAATAACCAGTCTTTGAGTTGTCGAAGTTACAAGCTTCCACAGGCCAGTGATGCACTCAGAGCCCCACCAAACCATGCCTAGCAGGCGCTACTTCTCACGTAGCCTCACCTGAACTTCAAAGCCTCGTCTTAAGTCATGAAGAGGAGCTCCCCACTAATGCTAATCAAATTAGCTTCACTATGGACCTCTGAACATCGTGAGTAAGTCCTGTCAACATGTTAACCCTCACTGCCTCGTGGATCGATGACGTAACCAACAAAAATAATTTTGTTTTGCTGTTTTCCTTTAACTTTAGTTCGTCATTTGAAAATTTTTAACTTATCAGTTGCATAGGAATCAAAGTAATTCATTTTATATTATGTGAGTTTTCTAAAACAAAACATTGTCACTACAAGAAGAACAGGTGTACTATAGCAAAACTTACAGCAAGACTAGGTGATCTCTAAACTAAAAAAAAAAGTTACCAGCCTAAGTGAGTTTGTCAAAAATCCAGTATCTTCCATCCGTATTAAAAACTCAATTTTCTGAAACAACACAAGCATCATACTGTATGTATGTAAGTGTAGATATCCACATGTAGCGAACATACTTGTCTTCCTTGAGTTGCTGCTTTGTGATTGGCTGATTAGCTATTTGTGTTTGTAAGCAGTTGGTGAACAAGTGTACCTAATAAAGTGGCCAGTGAGTGTATTTATTGACCTATTATCAGAGCAAGTTTTCAGAATGGACTGGTAGTGCAAAAACAAAAGCTGCTCAGCTCATTGTCACTCAACTTGCATCACTTTTTACGCCCCACCTTTTGCTCCGACCAGTCTCTCTAAACAGTATTGTTACTGTCTTGTATATTTTGGGTGTGGTCCTTGACAGTGAGAAAAAAAACACCCATCTTGCAGGGACACGAGTAAGTGTCTTGTATCCTTATCCTGAGCAGCTTTCCTCTGGACTCTGTCAAGGACCAGAATCAGGGCGTCAGCACTAAACCCCTCCCATGAGACTCTCTAGAAGTCTAATCTAATCATAGCAGTCAGATATTGATTACAATGAGGTTTTGTTCACAGCAGCCCTCAAACACACTCATACAAATGTAGATTCGTTACGGCTGAGACAAATGATTGGCATCGTTACAAAGCTGGAAGTGGCTCTGAGGTTTTGTAAACTTTTGTTGACTGCTAATTCTGGGTAATCCTTAACTCATTAGTTACCCAAAACTGAAAGCACATTTCTGTTTAATTGTTAATGCCTTTTTATCGGCTGTTAGAGATTTTTGCGTTTTGCAAAACACTAATGGGCTCTCTGCTGGAGTGTCTTTTCTTCTCTCAATCCTTCTGCTAACACATTCAGCTATCCGTCGTTTCATTGCAATTTCATCCCAGGTTTCTGTGGTAGTGACCTGCAAATCACCACAAAGTTATGTTCACTTCTTAAGGTAAACACCTAACACCTAACACCTTGTAAATTAACTGGTTTTCCATTACGCAGGTAGCCACTGAATGAGCTGGTTTAAAGTTTTATTACCTTGTTTGTTTCCGTGTTTGTAATGTCGGACTGTTTGAAAAAATTAGTTAATAGGGAATCTGGGAAATGCTCGACAATATTTACCCGCAAAAGATGAAGAGTTTAATATCTCTGCCACTTCTGTAGTTATTTTCAGCACTTGAAAGTTAAGATTTAGGCTACGACACTGCAGGTCACATATCTGATTTTTTCATGGAAGTGTGAACAGAGCCATTCTGATTTTTTCAAATCCGGGCCTCTTTTATATGTAGATATAAATCGGATATGTATCTGATGTGACTGCAGTGTGGATGTTCAGGCGTGTTCATCTGACCTATACGTCATCAATATGCGACAAAAGTCACCATTGTTCGACAACACAAACAGCAATGGCGGACGAGGGAACCGAGAACAGCCAGCCAACATGCTTTGTGCGCATGCGGGTCACTGCACGGACTCATTCGGTTCACATTAGATGCCGCATTCGTTGTTGTAATGTGAATGACTGCACAAAAAGATCAGAGTTCACAAAAAAATCAGAATTGTGCATCATAACCTGCTGTGTGAATATAGATTTAGTCCCTGTCTCCTTTTCAATAACGTTTAATTTATGCAGTTCTTTTTTGCACAGCTTGCGAGTCCCCATCTCTTTGCTTTAGCCTCGCTAATAGAGCAAAGCTAAAGATTCCACATTATTGTTACACTGTTGATAAAGCTTAGCTGTACACAGTTATGACTGTGCAAGTTAGTCATCTTGTTTCTATAGTTTGACCTGCATTAAAGGTGAAAATTCCTGATACTGAATAACTACATTTTGCGTCCATTTTTTCTCTTCACCCCAGAAGAGTCCCAGGAATTCTGACTTTTTCCTTTTTTTTTTTTGCATGAAAAATTTACTCATACTGTTTGCACATAAAATATGCAATCTGTTCAGACCATCCCCAACCATCAGGTCTGCAGGTGAACCACACATCAATTGGAAATTGATTAGAACTTCAAATCTGTGTGGCCAGCTTTTGTCGAAGCACTGGCCTCTGCTTCAAACCAGTACGAGTATGAGAAAGATGCCCGTATGTCTGTTCGTGTTTGTCCTGTCCTCTTGTCATATAGGGCGGACATACATTTATATGCATGATCCTTTCACATTTTCCAGTACCCTGATATAATAAAAAAAACAATGCAATATTAATTTTACATCAGGTCGCCCACTCTCAAGGCAGTCTGAAGTTCTTCAAATGCACCATACAGACATTTACGGATAAAGGATAGAATCTTTATTTCATGAGAATTTTGTTGAATAAGTGTGAAGAGTGTTTGTGGAAAGCCCTGTTACTCACATGAATAGAGATGCGTTGTGATTTGCTGCGCCTTGACATGCACAGTTAGTCATGGCTAAGCGAGGAGTGTAAAAGTTAAATAAATATCTTTTTTTTTCTATTTATTGAATGTTTTAATTGATTTGAAAACTGAACCAAACCATGACATTTGTGATCTGTTGCATCTCTGATATTCAGCACTCGAGAGGAGACTTGGCCCTAAGCTGTGTTTACATGTGGGCGTGTGTCCATGTTCAACAAGAAAGGTCCCAGAGGGAGTCCCATATTGTTCCAACAGGCTGTTGATTTCTTATATCAGAGAGATACTCTTAGATAAGCAAACGCTGATACAGATGAACTGCAGCTGAATTTGAAGCCTTTGATTTTGGAGGTCAAACGTAACCTTGATCTGCAGCGAGTTTGTGAGAGAGACCCAGTTGGTCCCACAGTAGGTGTGTCTTCCCTGGAGTAAAACTGTCAAAAGGAGAGATAGCTGTGTCCTCTTTCAAAGAGTAACCCCTGTGTGTATTTGTGTGTGTGTGTGTGTGTGTGTGTATGTGTCGGGTGGGGTCACCTCACCAGGAGTGCAGAGACGGCTCTGTCTCAAAAACACAGGAAGCTGCTGGGTGGGTTCAGGGGGGTGTTTTGCTTCAAATGGGAAAGGATCGTGAGAACAAGTGTTTCCCAGTGGTTTGTGTTTACGTGTTGATATTCATGCATGTGCACGTCCAGCAGCAGGTGTGTTCATATAAATATATCCCTCAGACATGTTTATCTGAACAACAAGGGTGAGTTTGCAAAAAAAGCAGCTTGTCAACGCATGTGCATGTTGATCGCTTACATAAATGAATCGTATTTGGTGTGTAAGAGAGAGAGTTCCTGGGACAATTAGGGTGGAGAGGAAATGTTGACACCCAGAGGGAGGGAGAGAGAGAGAGAGAGAGAGAGAGAGAGAGAGAGAGAGAGAGAGAGAGAGAGAGAGAGAGAGAGAGAGAGAGAGAGAGAGAGAGAGAGAGAGAGAGAGAGAGAGAGAGAGAGAGAGAGAGAGAGAGAGAGAGAGAGAGAGAGAGAGAGAGAGAGAGAGAGAGAGAGAGAGAGAGAGAGAGAGAGAGAGAGAGAGAGAGAGAGAGAGAGAGAGAGAGAGAGAGAGAGAGAGAGAGAGAGAGAGAGAGAGAGAGAGAGAGAGAGAGAGAGAGAGAGAGAGGAGAGAGAGAGAGAGGAGCTGTGGCCCTCTGAGGCACCTAGAGACGTAGTAACAAAGGGAGAGAGAGGACCTGGGAACAGGAGCAGAGCACTAAGCTCAGGTTGCATCCAACAAAGAGGTCGTCTGAGAGAACCAGGGAGAGAAGGAGCAAGACTGAGAAGATAGGGAGGGAGTGAAAAGTTTGGAAGAGGGGAAGAACGAAAATTGAAGGAAAACAGGTGCAGGAGAAGGAGTAAAAAGGGAAGGAGGAGACACTTGAGGAAGGAAAAAGAGGAGAGTGAAAGCTGGAGTAAGGAAGGCGACGTACAAGAGAGACAACAACCTGCTGGTGTCACATTGCGGTCAAGCAGGTATCCTGATTTTCATTAAGTGTGTGTGTGTTTGTGTGTGTATGTGCTGCATGTCTGTGATTGTACATCGAAAAAAAGTATTTCCAATATTTAGTATCTGCCTTATGTTTACAATAAATTATTTGGATGTCTGTTCTTGCTGGTAGTTTTAAAGGTATTTGCACAGACTGGTAGAAGTGTCATTCAGTCTTCAGAGGTTTGGCTGTTGTGACCAATCAAGATTTTGTCAGCACTTCTGAGACATCGGCTGTCAAAGGTTTTTGAGTTAAAATTCTGTGTCGGTAAAATGTCAATATCATCCTAAGCCTAAAACCACAATATGATATGGTTGCACCTTCAAAATGGTTCATGGGATCTTTTTCATGTTATCTTTGTATGTATATAAATATACAGAAGATGAGACAGGGTACTTTAGAAAAGTACTTGGGGTTAATGGGTTAATGAGAATAAACACAGGCTTTTCCTCGGTATAGATGACCATCATATGAGCACCATATGAACAATACGCAGCGCATTAGCATCAGTATTTGATTTCTAGTGTCCCTTTCTACTGTCTGCACTGATGCAGATGTTTGTGGGCTGCAGAAGTCTTATGCATCTTTTAGAGAGACACATTTCTTCCATGCCTGTTATTTATGATGAAGAAATAAATCAGTTGAGCTGCTCCTTTATTGCTCAATTACTGCTTTTGAATTTTGCTACACAACAGACTCAAAACTGGCAACATCATGATAGAAAGCATGAAGATAAGGCAGTTTCACTACAGGGAGATGTCATGGGCTCTAATATCAAGGGGATGAACTGTTGTCATGTGTCAGCAGTCAGTCAAGTAAACTGGAATAAATTGGCACATAGAATAGAAACAAAAGTCTAAAAAAATTTCATTTTATTTTGGGATTGAGATTGTGTTAAAATAGGTTTACTATTAAGATTAGGGCTGGCCGATAAACCAAAAATGTTTAGATACCGAAATTTACGACAATAACCGACGTCATTTTGCCCATGTCAATATATTCAGTGTCAAAAAAGAATAAGTCAATCAAAGTTGGTTTTGGATGTGTGTAGGTAGGCTACGGTCTCATGTACCTTTAAGATGCTGTCCTACGTTGGCCACATGTCTCCACCCCATCCAGTCCGTAACAAAGAGGGAAAGACAAGTGAGGAGATGGAGGACGGTTCAAAAGTTGTAGCGGCAGAAGTAGATGAAGTTAATGTGGGAGGGGGTGAGCTTGTGGAGAAGTTATCGTCCTTTTATCGTTATCGAGGTAAACTGCTCAATATATCGTGATATTGATTTTAGGCCATACCGCCCAGCCCTAATTTAGTGTTGATATGAAGTGTTAGAGCAGAGAGTTAACTCTTAGACCTTCTTGTGTGAATGTGTATTTAAATAAATGTGTTGTGAATACTAAATGTACCAGCCTTTACTGTACACTCTGCTGCTGTAGTAGTGTTGTTGTTGTTGTTGTTGTTGTTGTTGTTGTTGTTGTAAGGGAAGTGGTTCATTTCTGATAATGCACATGTGATTCAGAGAGAAACCAGGATGAAGTGTGTGTGTGTGTGTGTCTTTGCAGGGTTTGAGCTAAGACCTTGAGCAGCACTTACACGACCTGGCCTCACACTACCTTGCATCGCTGCCAACATCCATATATCCTGATGAAAATGTGTGTTTGTGTGTGTGTGTTTTTCTGTGCAGGACAACCTCAGTGTGTTTCTGCGAGGCTGTGAAGAGTTAGGACTGAAGGGCTCCCAGCTGTTTGATCCTGGAGACCTGCAGGACACGTCGACGCGCCCCACTGCCAAGTAAGACTCAGTGCCTTAGGGTCCTGTAGCTGTTCACTGATTTTGTCTTTACTTTGTGTACATTGATGTATTTCCATCTCACTGTATTTATTTTTACCTTTGGTTTTCACAAAAATCTTAGAAGGGAGTAATTGTATAGGCAGCTACACTGAATGTATTAATTTATTCTATTTGTATGAAACCATGTAAGCTTAAAAGCTCATAATACTTCTTGAGTCACTGCACATGTGTTAGTTTGAAGCTAACTTTAAGTTTAGTGCTTTCTTAAAAAAATAATAATACTTATAATAATAACTATCATTATTTTAATCAATTGTATTTATATTGATAAAATAGATCAAAAAGTGAATACAGTGAAAGGCAATAGTAAAAACAACAAATAAAAAAATAACATTCTTAGGTCACAATGACAGAACACTGCCTTACAAATAAAACACAAAGAAAATACATAATGTTACACACAGCATTACAAACATGTACAATATGTCAGCAAGTGTTAGTTAGGCTTGAAATATACTGGATGCCCTGTTGGTGAATTAAATCTATCAAAGGTTGGGTTAGGGCTGGACGATAAAACAGAAATTTTACTGATACCAAAATTTATGACAGTAACCAACGTCATTTTACTCATATCAATATATTCTATGTAAATAAATAAAAGTTGGTTTTGGATGTGTGTAGGTAGGCTATGGTCTAATGTCCCTTTAAGATACTGTCCTACGTTGTAGACGTGACTCCACCACATCCAGGAGATAGAGGACGGTTCAAAAGTTGTAGCGGCTGAAGTAGAGGAAGTTAATGTGGGAGGGTGTGAGCAGCTTGCAGAGTAGTTATCATCCATTTATCGTTATCGAGGTGAACTGCACAATAAATCGTGACATTGAATTGAGGCTATAACACCCAGCCCTAGCTTGGGTTTGCTGTGTGCTCTTTGCTATTCAACATAAGGACTATCTTTTTTTTATCTCTGCAGCTGGATTATCTTGAAGCTCCTGTGCTTTGTGTGACAAACTACTCCTCTTGTTCATATAATCAGTATAGTCATAACAGCGTTTTATGCTGCCTTCTTATCCGTCTTCTCAGATAGCGGCTGATTTATACTCGAACTAAAGTTGACTTTTATCAGACAGAACAAACATTTCAGGCCTCTCTTTTCTATTGCACCTAAAAAGAAAAACAGCAAAAAGAAACGCAAACCTTCTTGACCTTTAATAGTAAATTGATCTGTTAAAATGTCAACAATTACTTATTACTCGTTAGGAAAACAAAAATATTTAAAGATATCTAAAATATAAAGACATGAAGGTTTATTGCTCTTTTTAAGTCTGTTTATTAGCTGCTCTTGAGCTTTATATGTATCTTAAAAATCTTGGCCATGAATAAGGTCTTGTGTTTTATTAAGTGGAGGGGCCGATTGTTCAGGATGAACCCTTGAATTGTGCGTTAATAGATAGTCTGTCTGTGGGCTTCTTTAAGTGTCACTCTCTGTCAGTCACTCTGTCTGTCATCCTCTGCATTGAACAATCAGCCCCTTTACTGCCAACATAAATAAACAACTGCAAGTCAATGGTAGTCGATGGAGCCCGTGTCAGTGAGGCAACAATAGCTTATCTGTTAGACACAACTGGTCCCTGTCCAAACAAAACACAACACTTTACATCACTGACTGAACCATGACTCTTTCTTTGTTGCTTAGTAACAAAGCCAAGTGCATGTTTGTTAACATACAGTACAGTATGTGTTTGTTTCGGTGTGTGGGTGTGTCTGTGTGTGCTGTCCACATGCGAGCTGTGCATCAACAAGGTTACATTGTTGCTGAGCGAGGTTTGAGAAAGGTGCTGCAGGAGATGAGGACAGAGAAAGAGGGGACAGGGCTAAACTTAGCCGGTCTCAGGAGGAGCAGTAAGACTGGTTCTGTCAGGACAAAGATTCTTTGAAAGCACTGAATGTGTGTGTGCTCTTGTGTCCTGAGTACTTATTTACACACTTTTGTTTCGGAGAATGTTGTAACTTTACTTTAGAAAACATCCGGCTGTTGTAGTGTTTTATCCATAGCCAACGCTGAGACCAAAAAGTTCAATGTTTCCTGTTGTTTTAGTTTGGTTCTCTGCCATTTCTCTAGCCTTAAGGTCCTCTGACCACATACTTTTGAGCGTCCCGAAAACCAGACTCAAGTCTAGAGGTGACAGGGCTTTTTCAGCGGTTGTCCCTAGACTCTGGAACAGTCTACCTGGCCTTATTAAAGCCTCACAGACCCTCGAGACTTTTAAATCATCCTTAAAGACCCACCTTTTCTCGCTTGCGTTTAATAAATGAGAAAGCATGAATCATAGGCACTGTAGCTTTTATTCTTTTACTGTCTGTATTTTATTCCACTGTTTTTAATTTTACTGCTTTATTGTTATCTATTTATTTGTCCTATGTACAGCACTTTGTTTGACTGCTGTCTTTATTGATAAACTTGACTTGACTTGACCAGGTGGATGTGACTCTTAAAATCTCTCAGTGATCATAAACATAAAACCACAGCAACATGAAGTCTGTTAAAGCTAAAGCTTGTGTGTTGTTTGAGGGGAAAAAAAACAACAACAATGAAAGTAAATTTTTTTTTGTAAGTGAATTTACAAGTAGACCATGGGATTGACCTTGAGTATCAGAGTGTTAATTCTTGATTATACAGCCTCACAGGACAATGAAAGCAGCAGAAAAGGATATATGCTGCTTAGCTTCAGAGCATGCAGGGACAATGAGAAGTGTTAGCTGAAAAGGTGTGTGATTAATTAGCTGTGGACTGCTGTTTCTGTCCAGGTAACCTGCACAGTTGTTTCCATTTTTCTTCCCCTCCTCTGCTGACTTTTCATTGCAGTAAATTTTGTAATCTGAAATCGTCTGGATTAAGGTCATTCATGACATCTCAACAGCTGGGGGTGCTGCTGGCCTGGCACTTAAGGTGTGCCTCATATATGAAGGTTATGCCTCAAACTGACATGTTCATGGTTTGGTTCCTCTCCCACATTTCATTTCCTTTTTCTCTTCCCATTCCCTGATCGATCTACTGTCCAGACACAAAAGCACCCCAAAAAATTACATTTGGTAGAAGACTTGTCTATACTTGAACATTGACTCTGCTCTACGCCATCGTGGCCCACACTGGCAAGTAGGGCAGGGCGATATGGCCTCAAATCAATATCTCGATATATTGAGCAGTTCACCTCAATAACGATAAATGGAAGATAACTTCTCCACAAGCTGCTCACCCCATCCCACATTAACTTCCTCTACTTCCCCCGTTTGAGTCTCAGAGATTCACAAGGATTTGAATGTAGAAATACTCAGTAATGCAAATTCACTCTTAGTTTTCTCACGACATGTCCTGTAGCATCAGAAAAATGCCATTTGAGCATATAACAAACAAGAAAAACATGATTTTCATCGGAGTGGGTCTTTAATAACAATACCAATTCTTTTTTCTTTAAAAAAAAATTTAAATAAAAAATAAAATCATTTTTACAATTTATGCAAGTTGTTCCCAGTTATTGGTTATGGTTCCTAAAATGGGAAAAGTTGATACTGGCCCTGAAAAAACATCCTTGGTCAGCCCCTAGTTAGCACAATACCTGTTTTGGTAGCTGGTAGCTGAAGCCTTATCTCAGGCCTACATCAACTTGTTATTATTCATGTGAGTAATTCAGTGTTTTGCAATGTGTTCATTGGAAATACTCATGTTATGATAATGATAACAAAGTGGCTGTTCTCATATTTGTTATTTGAAACTATCATTAATAAGAGACCAATAAAAGCTGCAAAGGACCACCCTTTCCTTTTGAAGATTCCTCTCACATTCATCAAATATGACTGTGCTGCCCCTGGAGATATCATTCCTCTGAAAGCTGAAAAGGAAACTTCAGTGTCATTGTCTTGGCAGCCCCCTGCTCTTTCCAGTGGTTATGTAACCCTCTGTCGTACAGGATGCTATTTCCTTGCAGCTTGTACCCATGGCAGGAAGCCGTGTCAGGACTTTTCTTTTCCCCCCTGAGTCTCTGGACAGGTGTTTACTCATCTAGGAAACAGCTTTTGACAGGGAGACGTAAAGACAAGCAGGTTCAGGTACACTATGAGCTCAGGCCTGAAATATCTCCTGTTCATCAGTGTGTTGATGGAAACAGATTGATCCTGAGATGAGTTACAGTTTGCCAAGCAGAGTCATTGAAAGGAGAAAAACTGTGTTTACATTCGACTGTCAGGCAAATGTCACGCCTTGGTGAGAAATTAAATGCTGAAAAAATCAAAAGTAAAGTAAAGTCACGTAGAAGTAAATATTATGAGAAAGAGAAGTGCTTGATAAACAGAGGGTCATTGGTAATGATAATGTATGGAGGTGCTAATCCTCTTTTCGGTCTGTAGGAACTGAGAAATCTATCATGCTTTCATCTCAAATCAAATAACAGGGATATGAGTAATCACTTCTATAATATGCAGCCTGTCTGGAACATTTGCAGTAGGTCTCTCTCAGTCATACTTGAGTTTTTGTCTTATTGACACAGACGGGTTGTGCGGAGCCTGCATCATAGTTCAAACAGCAAATGCATTTAATATATGAGGCATAACACTGCAGTTTGAAAACGTTCTTTGACATGTATGTCAGACAGTTACTGATACTGTCTGATTGAATGTGAGGTTCTGAGTGTCAGAAAGATGTGGAGAGGAAGACAAAAAAGGAAAATATGTGCCCGTCATTATGACGTGATAGTGAGTGGAATCTTTTGCATTTTTCCCCTCAGGTTTGTTTCTACAAGGTAACGGTAGACAAAAGAAACCTGTTCGTCTGTTTATTCAGTCAGCTCAGAGAAAGGGAGGATGATGAGGAGGAGGAGGAGGAAGAGAGGGGGGTTAACAGATCATCCCCTCCAGCTACTTTTACCTTGTTCTTCTCTTCTTTCACTTCCCTCTTTGTCAGGTCAGCACTGTCATGGAAAACTCACTAGACTGTAATTTGGGGCGTCACTGTGTGTTGATTGAGTTGAGCTTAGGGACCCTCAAGCTTTTGAAATTTGCTATCAACAGTCTGATACTGAATATGTTGGAAAACCAAATAAGACAATACTCAATATTTTCTCAGTAAGACCCATGAACTGTCATAGAAACTTTTACCACTGAAAGTTTCTACAAGTTTTGTTTTGCACAATTCAACTTACACACAAAGTTTTCCTGCACTGTTTCTGTATCCGGGGGTGATCCAACATATATATGTGCTTTTTTCTTGGATCTGCAGTAAATATAGAAACACTGCAGTATAAATAGAAAGGACCTGTTAAGCTGGAATTATGCTTCTCTTAATACAACCTACACAGAAAAAGGTGTTATGAATACTTGTGTGCTTCAGACAGCAGTTTTTGACTCTTATAATCCAGTATGCTTTCCCCAGGTAATTGGTTCAATATAAAAGGTGGTGTATAATGTAGACGTAACATCCAATGAGCCGTTTTCCTGCCAACAGAAGCTTGAAATTTATCACCCAAAAGAGACAAGACACTCTGGGCTCTATCCATCATTTCCTGTAAAACCAGCATGAACTCTGTGGGGTTGTTTTATCTCCTGTAAGGCTGGTATTGAGTGGGCACAAAGTTACATTTCTTGCATTCAATGTAGATAGGTTGGGTACAGATTTAGGGCCTTTTGGAAGCTGTCCAGACTTAACAATAGGATGACCACCAGACTTCTCCATCAGATTGCTTTCACTCGCGCAGGGAGACCTTTGAGAAAAACTAAAATATATATATATATATATATATTAGAACTTTAAACTTTAAGAACAACAAAAAAATGTATTGTGATATTGATTTGAGGCCATATCGCCCAGCCCTATACGATCGGCAGTAAAATTTCAGTTTTTTCATACTGTTTGTGTTGGTACATCTTTAAATGATTTAATGTGTTTATAGCAAGTGTGATCGAACTGCTACTATCCTCTGCTGCTTCAAGTGCTAGGCTCTTTTCCTCTTGGCAGCCAGAGCCACATTTTCATACTGCTGCTTTAAGTTTTCCCACATTTTATATAAACTTAAGATGGGAGAGTGGTTTGCTTTAGGTCAGACGCAGCAAAACAAAAACACTCCCAGACCACTATGGGATATTTTTTTCAAACATTTTGTCTGAGTCTGAGGAGATGTTTGATGTTTTGTTGTGTTTTAAACTCTATCCCTGAGCATAAATCATATTCCATTTAAAAAGGTGTATGCTTTAGTGTATTCAATTCCTCATTTAGTGAATTTCTTAGCCTGTATTGTGCTAGTGAGGCCTGTTACTTCATTATATATTGAAAAGAGTTTGACAGTTACGCTGCTGCTTTTTATAACCTCTCCCTGTGGCTGCACCGATCTTTGTGCTCACAGTCACTTTGTAGGAAAAGAGAGGTGATTGTATTTCTTCATGTTCAGCCTAACACAGGTGTACAGGTAGAAAGGCTGGTTTTACCTCTTGGCCTGAGTATCTGTTCCTGTGGTGTTGCCATACCTCTCTCTCTCTTTTTCAACCCAGTCAGTTTTTGGAAGTTTTACAAGCGCTCAATTCCACTCCACATTTATAGCTTCAGTCGGTGATCCACAAGATCCACATCTTTCATTTTGGCAACATCTGCGGCGCTAAGTGGCTGCCGCTGTGGCGTTCCTGCACACTCCACCTCCCAGACATCTCTCGGCAGTCATGTGACCACAACTGTGACTTATGTCTCCTCTGACGCGTGTCTCTCTGTTGAGGAAAATCCTAAGATTTGCTGTGATAGGGACTTGATATTTTAGATCACAAACTGCAGCCTGTGAAGGTAACGGTTGGAAACACTGAGTATAATACAACAAAATAAACTGTTGGTCATCCAATCTGCTTCAACCAGTTCAGATGCATCTGTGTATTCAGTAACTCTTGTTTTGGCTGCATGGGTGTGTGGGAGTCACTTAGTCTAAAGACATCTGCTGATGTATTTATGTAACATGTTTCATTAAATAACACCGTAGGTCGGTGTCTCACCCCCACTGTCTTCTGTTTCTCTTTCAGGGGAAGTGACTGCAGCCGAAGGCTCAAGAATGTAAGTGATACTTGTGAATTACAGAGGGATAATTTGTTTGTGTGCTAAATGTGTGTTTCGATAGAAACTTGCTATTATGGTTTGGTGTTTCTGTTTTTGTTTAGCTTGTAACTCTTTTCCTTGTCACACTTGTTTCTTTCTATTCCTCTTATCATGACTTTTGCTGCTCTCCCAGATCTGTTAACCTGCTCCAGGGTGTAAAAATTGCAAAGAGTATCAGGAATTCATCATCCGTAGTAAATGATCTGGAGAAATCGCTGCACAAAAAGGGTCAAGACAGGTTCCTTATAGGGCTGCACAATTAATCCATTTTAAATCATAATCAGATTATTTGATTATGACGATGTTGTAAAAATTAAAATCGTCAAATCGATTGTCTGCTCTATCATGTTTGCCACTGTAGGCTCGCCCCATCCTGCAGGAGTGCTCCCCAGTTCCCAAAAGAAGGCGATAATTTCGTGGCTAAATAGAGCAAGAGCAAGTCAGTCGTGTGAAATTGGTACAGCTTTGCACTTTCGGACGAAGAGCAAACAACTCCCTGTTGCAAGGTCTGTCTGAAGGTGGTATCAACCCGTTAACACAGAAACATATTCAGGAGTAAACGCAAACGTTTTTTGTCGTATCGGCATTTCATCCACACAGAAATGTTGTTTCGGGTGACTGTAGGCGGTACTTTTTGAAAATAGGTCAGAGAGTGCATAAATCTGTAAATGACGACCATTTCATCTCCGTGTGGATGTCTATCTGCATTACACAGCGTAATTCTTTTATGGCGCCTGCACGTGTCCGGCCAAAACAACCTTTATACACATGCTCTGTACTCTTCTTCTGTCTTTTGTGCATTTCCTCGGCGGCGTTACAGCGCCACTTACTGGCTTGGCATATGCACTACGTCGTTTTCAGTGGTTTCGTTTTGAGAGATGATAGAAAAACTTATTAAAGTGAAGTTTGGTGAAGTTGTCACTGAATAAAAAATTGAAGATTTGAAAAAAAATCTGGATTTTATTTTTGGTCAAAATCGTGCAGCCCTGGTTCCTTATATGAGGTGGCCATAATCTTTGGGCCCTCAGGCAGCACGTCATTAAAACCATATGTTGCTCTGTGGTGGAAATTACTGCATCGGCTTAAAACATATCCAAAGCCATTGTATGTTCATAATTTGTCACTGCATCCACAAATGTAAATTAAAGCTGAACCATACAAAGAGGAAACCACACATAAACATGATTCAAGAATGCCTGCAACATCTGTGGCTCCAAGCCTGTTTAATATGGACACATTTCAAATCAAAACATACAAGCATGGATGAGAAACTATCAGACGATGGCAAAACTGAGAACTAAAATAGTGGAGCATTTCAGGTTTTTGCAAAAACTAGGAATTTGGCTGTTAGACATGCAATGCTTAAACAAATTTTGTTACTGCTGAAACGTGTCTAACCTGTCTACATATGACAGGACGCCATTGTGATAAGCAAAAAACAAACGGTGGACTAATGACGGAGTTTACTTCTCAAGTCTTCAGGGGTATACTTGGGAAGTTTCAGGGTCCTTGTCCAGCAATAAAAAAGAGCTGTTGTATATAATTCTGTGATGGCATGATCATAGACTAAGATCAGTACTTTATGGTGATTCAAATTTTATCATGAATTTATCATAGGAGTTTATTCATTCTAAAACTGTGAACATTATTAGCCTTTTGTGCTCTCTTCTCTGCCCTTTTTTTTCTCCTGCTTAGTTTAGCTCTCTCTATTCTCTCTGGTTTAGTCCTCTGTGTATTTGTTGTTCTGTCTCCTTATTATTATTCATTTTGAAAGGTCTCAGTTTGGTCTATTTTTGCACAAAATACCTCAACATCCTCCCCTCCTTTTCTAATAAAGGCTGCTTTAAGAAGTAGAGCACACAATGCTAGCCCTGCCCACTCTGCAGTCAAAGCTCTTTCTCTCTCTCTCTCTCTCTCTCTCCCCCTCTCTCCACTCTAACTCTCTCTTTCTCACTCACTCTCTGATGCCGTTGTGCACTGTGCAAGTTATCCCATCGAGCCGCAGAGCCGGCCCGGGCTGCTAGCTCATTTAGCTGACTGCACACAGGGACTCTCAGTCGTATGAGCCAGCATTTGCAGCAACAGCAAACTACCCACAAACTCCCAGCAGCCTGTGCTTCAGCCTGGACCTGCTGCCAGGATTTGCTACCTCACTATGGATTTGACCCGCAGACTCTCAGGCTGATGACTAGGATTTGAAAGCAGCTGTCTCTGCAGCACATCACAAACTGAGAGGTGAAGGAACTGCGGTGCAATTTGCTGATCTGTAGATTGAGACATTAGACAGTTTGAATGTTGAAGTGGAAAGGTGTTGCATGGAGGGTTTGAGATGAGCTGAGTTACTAAGATGATTTTATGGCAGGTGCTGAAATTAACAGTGTGTGAATCTTAATGACTACAGCAAGGAGCTTACACTAAATGAGCCCCTACATGTCTGCAGATTGTGACATTTGCTGAAACCTGTGCTTGTATGGGCTTGTTTGTGTCTTTTTTAACAGTCGTCACATTTTTGTGCTTCTTCATACCTTTGTTTATGCATCACTGAAGAGTGTTGGCACATAAAACAAAGAGATGTTTCTCCATGAGAGGTCTTTCAACATCTGCCCGATCAGACTGCTGCTGAACCTGAAAACTGCAAAGACAGTGTCACACCGTGCATTACTTATTTGTAAGGCCCCGCTGATTGTAACTCAGCCGATTTGAACTCCTCTGACACATCTTGTTTGAACAACTTAAGTTATTTGCTGCTGTCCAAGTTTCTGTTTTTGCAGGCTTGTTTGCTGTAGGTTTGGTTCTGCATATCTGAATCATGCAGGCACAGTTGTGGCTCATATTCCCATAGCACTGTGCAGTTGGGATCAATACGGCTCTGTTTAAAGCGCACTAGTAAGCGAGTGAGACACACCGGGTGATGACCCACTTCCAATGGGAGCTGGCACGAGTAGTTGTGATTTAATCAGTGGCACAGAAACGATCCACACAGCTGATCAGGGTGCTAAAGTTTGCAGATAATGACTCGTGAATACAGCTGCTGCAATGTTATTTCACTACAGTAACGGTGTGGCAATGACATTTTGAGTTCAGGATCCCCTTTATTTAAAGAAGATTTAAGGTTTGACTGGTTGCAGAGTCAGGACAATGGCTCAGTCTTGTCGTGTTTGTGCAGCATGTTTAAGCTAGCATGCAACTTCACAGAAAGGAGGCTGAACTGATTTGTAGGAAGAAATTGTTCAAAGGCAGAAGGGAGAAATATTTTCTTTATGCACCTTTGTCTCCTGCCTTTCTAAGAGTGAGCTGATAAATTTTACCATTTTACCTCCTGAGAGGGCCACATTTACAGCCTACATGTGTATATGCCTAGATGAATTGTCTCCCCCCGCAATAATAATCCCTGCTCTTACATTCTGTGAGAATGATTGTTGCTGAATGGTGCATTTAAACTGACTCAGAGCACCTGGAATGATCCGGTTTGTCTCGACACTGTCAGAGTGATTAGATCAAAGTTAGCATCATGAAGATATCTAAGTACTGCCAGAGAGCTGATCGCTGTATGACCCTGATGATACTTTTTACAAGCCCAGCCAGTTGTCTTTTTCTAAAGTGCTACATGGATTTGGCAACATTTAAGCAGACCTTGTGTACTTATTTTCACCTCTCATTATGTCAGTAGAGTAGCTTTGCATGATTTCCAAAGCTTTAAGGTAAAACTTCATATTCATCTGAAATTGGCAGTAGGGCTGGGCGATAAACCGAAAATTTACCGATACCGACGTTTACGACAATAACCAACGTCATTTTGTCCATGTCAATATATTCAGTGCCAAAAAATAAATAAATCAAAGTTAGTTTTAGATGTGTGTAGGTAGGCTATGATCTCATGTCCCTTTTCAAGACGCTGCCCTACGTCGGCCACGTGACTCCACCTCATCCAGTCCGTAACAAAGAGGGAAAGACAGGTGAGGAGATAGAGGACGGTTCAAAAGTCGGAGCGGCTGAAGTAGACGAAGTTATTGTGGGAGGGTGTGAGCAGCTTGTGGAGTAGTTATCGTCCACTTATCGTTATCGAGGTGGACTGCTCAATATATCATGATATTGATTTGAGGCCATCTCGTCCAGCCCTAATTAGCAGTCATGAAAACCCTTGTACCAGCACTATTCAGCTGCTGCCTGAAACACTCTGTTTTGGCTGCTTCTCTAGTAATTTAAAGTTAGACACAGCTTGGGGGTGTTATTTTTCACACAGCTGAGCATTACCTGCTGTAAAATCACTAGCCGCTATTATGTTACTTAAAGTTTGTACTGTTGAGCCTTCATGGAAGCTCTTTACAGGTCCAGGTTTTAGGAACTGCTGAGATGCAAATCCAGCTTTTATTGACCTTTGTCTACAAAGGAATTACGAAAAAGCGGCAAGCACAAACAGCTTTGTTGTGGCTGTTGTTGTCCTGAAAACATAACAACTTCCCACTGTTTGCTTGAGCATTCATCCTTAGGGAGAGAAAGTGACTCCAACTTTCTTCTACAATCAAAGGAAACGCACAAGAAACTTACTGAAACACACCGAATCAACAAAGTGAGAAGAAAAGCTGAGCCGTGAAATCCACCTGGAAACAGCTTCTAAGTAGACACATGGGACATTGACCAAGGGAATATCCCACTATTTGTACATCTCGTGGTTTAAGTTTTCATTTGATATGTATTGAAATGCAAATCAGCACAATGGGCCTTTTTAGAGCTTTAGTTGATTGATATTCAAATCTGGAGAGTTGGAATCAAAATTCAAATTTATAGCCAGTTCATTCAAGCTTTTTCCAAATGGACTCGCTCAGTGCTGATTAAACCTTTCAACATCAGGTCTATCTGGAAATGTTACTTAACATAAACCTCCATGGACTAGTTTGCCAGATCTGGAGGGGGGAGCAGCCATATCCACAGAGCGAGCTGCAGCAACAACAAATCAGGCGGTAAAAAACACAAGAAGCATTGAAAGAAAGAGTTTTATGATCCAGATTAAAAGGAAACTCTGTGTTCAGAGGAAAAAGTCAGTCAAAAGTAGAAAGCGATTGATGCCTGAATACAATGAGCTGCTTTTCTTTGTTGCAGGAATTATATAATAAGCAAGGGTTTGTCTCACTGCTGGAAAGGAGAGTCAGAAACTTTCCCCTGTCAGTTTCAGAGCTACAGCATTATTATCTTGTATTATTTACACACTGGGTTACTGAACCTTTCAAAGTTTAGTCTGTCTGGAAGATTTAAAAATGGATGAAGTGACTTTAAAAATTAAAATTGTGACATTTTTACTGTCAAGTCAAGTTTTTTAAGACAAATCTTTACCTCGCAATGTCTGACTGAATCGACTTTTTCTCTGCTTTAGGTTCTAATCACCATCTACTGGTTGGGTCGAGCTGCCAACGGATGTACCTCCTACAACGGGCCCACGCTGGACCTGAAAGAGTTTGAGGGCCTGCTGTCACAGATGCGAAAGGTTTGCTAAGTTATGTAAAGTTGTTTCCAGGGTGCTAAAAATATCATGAAAATCTTAATCTCAAGTCCAGGGACAATGCAGTCAGTAGTTTCTGCTGCAGATCTCTTAGCAACCACAGCTGCTGAAGGACAAAGTAGAGAAGAGGAGGAGTAGAAAGAAGCCGTCACTTCCAATGAGCAGAAATTTACAGACTTTATCCTGGTAGTGTCTGAATGTCCTGACAAAACACTTACAAGGGCATCATGCTGAATCATTTATTCCGGGGTGCTATGAAGCAGCATTTATTCAGCATGAACACCAGCTGGATAGGAATCATCCTGAGCTGTGCGTAACTCCCCACTCCTGGACGGTGGATGAATACACAACTGATTCTGTGTGTCAATCAACTCAACCTAGCTCCACCCCAGAGAGAGAAGTTCGCACCAGCAAGCCCTCAGGACACACAAACACGCTCATGACATTCACTCTTAACAATGATGTCATCCCCGTGCAATTTTTTCCGCTATGTGATGTTCCTTTTCTGTTCAATAAAACGGCGAAATCGCTGCCAGCTCAGCAGAGGTGCTTTAACAGATGTTCACACGTTGCAGCTGACCAAAACAAAACCACGATTCCAGGGCACAAAGGAGATTAATAACAACAAAATGAGATTATGATGTACCTAAAAAAAACATCAAGTGCTTATATTTCAAATTAAAATGCTGTTGAGTGACTCACTTGTGTTCAGAAAATGAAAACTGGACCCTAAAGAGTGATGACTGAAAAGAAAGCTGCAGGTGAATATAGGATTAACAGACAGTTCTCTAAAATAAGGAAAAATATGCTTCCTCACATAAGACTGCTCATATTTAGACATCTGAAAGTTTGTGACCAGATAAAATATTATTCTGTTGGAATTACCACAGACATTTAAATTAAGCTCAGATACTACAAATACTGTGAACTCTTAACCCCAATTCCATAGGAGTTGAGACACTGTGTAAAATGTTGATAAAATCTGAATTTGATGTTTTTTAATTCATTTAAAGCTGAAAATTATTGACGTTTAAGGTAATAATGGTGCAAAAACAATTGATCAAATGTTAAAACTGAAAAATGTTTGAGTATGATACTATACCCTCATTGTGAATTTGATGCAGGTAACAGATTTGGATACGTGTGAGTCAGGTATAGTGAGAACAAAACACTAAAAATGTTGAAGAATGGCTTTGTAACACTTTTTAAACTGAACTTTTTTAGTGGTCAAAGTATCTGCTTCTATGACCTTCCCTGCAGCAACACACAGCTTCACTTTTGTGTAGAAGCTCCAGTAGCTGTCCTGGCTGTTATCTTCTATGTTTAGTCACCTAACAATTGATTAGTACCTCAGTCGTCCCCATTTAAAAATCAAACAAGATAAAAACCCTCTAGAGCCAACCTTCCCTCTATTCTCCTCACACCTTTACTTCGCAGTTCCACGCTTTCACTGAAGAAAGTTGAACATGCTCAAGAAAGGAAATAGCTCCAGCAGAACTTCTTCAGAATATTCCGTTTTTCAGGGGTTTGGTTGTTGCATAATAGACGGTCCAAGGGTCAAGAACAGGAAGTCTTTTGGTAGACAGGAAAGGCCTTTCCCCACCTTTCATTAGCTACAGAGACGTTTTTCATCTGTGCACAGACAGAGGACGGGACACTGAGGTGAAGAGAGACTTATTCAGTGGGATCGAAGTGGAATGAAGGGGAGACCATTAAAGGGATACATTTATGTAGGATTTAAGAGGCCTGTTTGTATGAGACAGTTCATGGGTTCATAAATTTCTTTTTAAATATGTATTTGACACCAGTCTGTGTGTCTCATCTAACCTGTCCATGTGTTCATGTCCAGGAGGCGGAGGAGGCAGAGAGCCCTAAACGTAACATCCGAGACAGCGGCTACATCGACTGCTGGGACTCTGAGCGCAGTGACTCTCTCTCTCCGCCACGGCACGGCCGCGAGGACTCGTTCGACAGTCTGGACTCCTTCGGCTCTCGCTCACGACAGACCCCGTCACCGGACGTCTTGGTCCCCCGCGGCAGCAGTGATGGTAGGAAATGGTCTAAACTTTTCACACTTTCTTGAGAGCACAATGTTGTTGACAGAATGATCAACCTCTCAAAGTTCATGGATTGAATCTGAGTGATCCCACGTGTCATTTGAGCCTTCACCTTACTGCGTGTCTCCTGAAAGGGGATATTCAATGCTTGTTGTTCTGTGTCGATTTATGATGGTGAACAGATAAAGTTTGTTGAAGTTTTAAGTGCATTTTCCTCCTTGAGCTACTATAGTGGAGCCTGTTGTCCTCCTCCCTGTGTTTCTGCAGGACAACACCCTGTGTTTGTCAAAGGCTATTAGAAAGAATACAGTGAACGGTCACAGCGCGATGCCTGTTTTGAAGTCAAAATACAGCCTGGGTTTCATTTAAACTGCCGCCATACGTTTAGTGAAAGAAAGGATATTTAGTGTAAACAGTGTTAGCGTGCAGACACAGTGAACTCTTGGAGTTAGTAAGAAAGTCAGTGGGGTTTTTTGTTGTTGCCTGTGTATGTCTGCAGTTAGAAATACTAAAGAAATACTAAGAATAAAACAGTAAAATCAATCAAGTTTATATCTGTAATGATTTCTCAGATCCTCCGACTCTGAGGTGATTCTACAATGTCAAATATGAATATGCACAAACTTGACTAAAAATTTTTGAAACCCAGTAACATCTGTTTTTATTTTCAATTGTGTTATATCACTATGAGCTCCACCAACACGGCCTCCAAGGACAGTTACGTGTATCAAGTAATATAAAACAAAAGACGTTAAAGTGAGCGAGCCTCTGAGAAATATTCAGGTTTGGTTGATTTGATAAAAGCAGCAGTAAAGTTAAGTAAAAGGGTGTGATCCAAAGCAAAGAGTCCACCCCTCATGTTGTAATCTGCTGTTTACACATCTGATCTCTCTGTGTAACCTTGTAAAAAAACAAATCACTCTGAGACACCAAACCCCTGCTTTGTTCTGAAGAGCACAAAAGCATGTTAAAAATCAAAATATAGTGTTTTTTAGTAATGATGAATAAAAATACTGTCATAGAAATGAGTTTTCGACTTTGATGAGCTCTCTCCCAAATTGACCTGTTTGCTTAATTCAACTACTGTCAAATATTTCTCTGCTTAAAAATGAAAAACTATTACAAATAGAGATTTTTATTAAAACCCTTATTTTCTTTTTAGTTTCGACCCATCACTCTTTCAGCTCATTTTCTCTCCTTCATTCTTAATTACCCCTAAAAATATTGCCTGCAGCAGCAATTTGGTGTGCACCAGCTCCTTATACAGTATCGATTCACAGTATTAGCAGAGCTTTTGTGCTTGTCCATGCTTGAAGTCTTGTGACACCTTTCAGTGAGGATTTCCAGCTCTGTCATTGACATCCGCACAAAGGTGGTTCTGTGCTGAGTGTTGGAGCCTGTTGTCCTGGACTACAGCTGTTTGGATGACTCTGTCTGAGTGTACAATAAGATGAGTGACAGCGCTAGAGAGAGGAAGCGATTTAAATCCCTGTCAAAGTGAAACAAAGGAAAGGAGAAGGTGTGGTTTGGCTTTTGGTGGTTTCTAATGTGGCACTTTGCTGATCCGTCAGGTATCAAAACAGAAGACACAATGTAATCATGCCGTGCGCCCTCATCTTCAGGAAGCTTGTAGCTGATACTTGTTGGGCTCACCCATGAAGCAAACCAGCTGTGTATTTCAGGGGGTTAAAACTTCTTGACTCCCTACATATTTTTTTTCTTTGTTGAGTACCACAGAAGACAATCGATCATTTTCGATTTGATATCTCAATTCCCTATTGTTTTATGAAGAAAAATTGAATCTGACTCATAGTTGTCATAGAAACAAGCGTATGCTGACATGATCCTCCTGACAGCTGTTGTTAATTCTCTCATCCTGCTCATTCAGTAGTCATAAAAAAATCTTCTCACTAAAACTCTGTCAAATATGGTTTTGATTGGTGAAAAACTAACAGACAAACAACTTATGAAGACTTCTCGACAAGGTAGTTCATCAAGATCTGTCTCTTGGCATAACTATAAGTCTAAAATATTTATTTAGATAACTTATTAAGGAGTAACTCAATGAATCAGTCTCCAGTTAAACCACTTTTTAACAGATACTACAGAGACCCTTAACAAAACAGTCAGGCTAGGGCTGGGCGATAAACCGAAATTTTAAAGTTTACGAAGTTTATGACAATAACCGACGTCATTTTCCCCATATTGGTAAATTTGGTGTCAAAAAAAGGAATGAATAAAAGTTGGTTTTGGATGTGTGTAGGTAGGCTATAGTCTCATGTCCCTTTAAGACATTGTCCTACGTTGACATGACTCCACCCCATCCAGTCTGTAACAAAGAAGGAAAGACAGGTGAGGAGATGGAGGACAGTTCAAAAGTTGTAGTGGCTGGAAAGACGGCTGAAGTAGATGAAGTTAATGTGGGAGGGGGTGAGCAGCTGTAATCGTCCATTTATCGTTATTGAGGTGAACTGCTCAATATATCCTGACATTGATTTGAGGCCATCTCGCCCAGCCCTACTCAGGCCTAGACTCTACGCTTGATTGTATTTTTTCCATAAAAAACAACATCAAGATAAGATCAGATTCAGTCTCTCCTTAATCCAATATGAGCAGAGCACTTTGCAAGTAACAGTGGCAAGGCAAAGAGGAATGTAATGCACCCACCTCAGTGGCCATAAAAAATACATAAAGTTAGGTTTCCCAGAACGAACAAACTTCAAAGAGCTGCAGACTCGCTTCATATATTGTGCTGGAGTCAAAAACATAGAATTTGGCCTCATAGAAGTTCTTTATTATGCCAAGCTGACCATATGGTGTCAATGAAAGCTGTAGATTGGTGCTCTTTATATGAATTTGTCCCTTTTTAAATGTTAATGACAACCTATAAACTGTTACAGCACCCATCAAAACCGTTTATGTAAGCGTCATCTCTGAAGTGCATGTGGGAAAACGGAGCGAGGCCAGGCTTCCTGTCAGACTGTTTTTGTTTTGAAGGAAGTGTCAGAGGAAGCTGCCGTCTCCAAAGCCTGAGTTGCTTGTCACTAGAAGTCAAATGGACTGAAAACCTTGTTGGATGTTTGTTTTTCAGACAGGAGGGAAATAAATCAATTTAGTAAATGTATAAATAAAGACGGCGTGTTAAGACTTGAAACCCTCAGATAAAGCCATAAAAAAAACTTGGCACTACAGCACGGGCGCACCAAAGAATTCATCATCCAAAACAATGCAAATGTAACAGCCTCATTTTTTTTAACTCAATAATCATATATCAGATAACGTAATGCTGTCGCTGGCATCACTTTGAACCATCTATCTTTTACTACACAAGCCTTACCACAATCAATCTGTCCACCAGCACTTTCAACCCACAGCTGATTAGTCATGCTGCTTTTATTCCAACACACACGGTCAGATTCAAAGCAGCATGCTCTGTTGTTTGGGAGAATTAATGGTTTTAACAGAAAAAATTAACAAGCAGGCATTCTGGAGAAGTCAAAGAAATCATGTCGACACATTATCAAACTTATAGAGTTAATTCTGATGGCTCGTGGCTAACTGTATCCTGACATAATCTAAAAATCCTTGCTGGTTAGCGGGTCTTTACATGGCTGAGATTTGCATAGTGACCCATCTATACAAATTACCAACTACAAATGTAAAGGCAGGTTTTCTAAGTCCACAAAACCAAAACAAGATGGCACCTTCACTTTGTGGGAGGCCCTTAATTAAAATATTTGTCAAACATAAAAAAAAAAAATTCAAATTTTCATTGATTTAAATGTCAGGATTTTGGAGGTTGGCCCACGCTGCACAGATTGTTTTGGGGTTAGTATAGGGCTGAGCAACAAACCAAAATTCTACCAATACCAAAATTTACAACAATAACCAACGTCATTTTGCCCATAAAGGGTATATTCGGTGTCAAAAAAAAAATAAATAAAAGTTGGTTTTGGATGTGTGTAGGTAGGCTATGGTCTTATGTCCCTTAAAGACACTGTCTGACATTGGAGATGTGACTCCACCCCATCCAGTCCGTAACGAAGAGGGAAAGACAGGTGAGGAGATGGAGGACGGTTCAAAAGTTGTAGCGGCTGAAGTAGACAAAGTTAATGTGGGAGGGGGTGAGCAGCTTGTGGAGTAGTTATCATCGATTTATCGTTATCGAGATGAACTGCTCAATATATTGTGATATTGATTTTAGGCCATATTGCCCAGCCCTAGGTTGTTATCCCTGAACCCATCAGATGACTGTGATAATTTAACTCTGGCCTAGTTGATACCGAAAAGATTACTCCTTCTCTCAGAGAGCCAAAAAAAGAACTGTTTTCCTCTGGCAGCTTCACCTCTTACTGGAAATGCATCATCATAATATTTATAAGCCCCTGCTATTATTTCAGGTGTCATAAGAGGTCAGTTTTCACATCAGACCCAAGAGGCACAGACAAGTAGAGTGGGAACAATAACAGTCATCATCCAATCACATGGAGCTTTCTGTACACTCATTACACAAGAGCATCATTTATCAACATGCTCACTAACCCGGCTCAGCCAGGTTTCCTCTGCCCTGACCTTTAGACAAAGCCCTCTCTCTATTCAGCTCTGTTCGCTGACTTCACCCTGACAGTAATTAGACGACAGGGAGAGCAGTTTAATTCACTATCTGAAAGAGATTCAATAATCTCTTTTGTTAAGGCCAAGTTTTGTAGATAGATACAGCATTGATAAATGAGACACTCTATGTTTGTGGTATTGCAAAGGGAAGCCTACCCTCTGCATATTTCTGCCCCCCCTTTTTATTGCAAGACAACATCCACTGTGAGCTGTTTGAAAAAAAAAAACAGATTTTGTTGGGATGGTTTAGAGGGTTTTACATCATTTCTGTCTCCCGGGACATGATTTACATCCAACTTAATGACAGCACAGTTGAAATTGCAAGATCACAACATTTAGAATACATTTTACACCATATTAGTTCTAGACTTCAGGAAATCGAACAAAACCAGAATTCAAAACCATGTCCTGAACTTTTCCATGTGGTCAGGATCAAAATTAAGAATGTGGTCCGACTCGTAAGACATGGACTATGCCAGGCATTGGATGTCTCCTCTTTTTTTAGCTTTTCTCATGGTACCATAGTCAAAATCAAATAAGAAGTGATTAGTTTGTGACGCAGTCAGACAGAGCTTCTTGGTTCTTTTGACATTTGGTGATAAAGCAGACTCAAAGCTGGTGGATGAAGGCTTCCACACACTCTGCACGGTCTTAAACATCAATAACCAACTCCAGAGAAAGTTTGAGCGTATCCTCCGTGGTCGCTATGTTTTGAAGGACCTCCAGGCTTCAGACCAAAGCACATTAGATCATTATTAGTCCCACCCACTGACTTTGATGGATGAGTTTGACAGTTAAAATAAATTCATGAAGCACTGCAACACAGGTCCATGAAATAATTAGATATGTTTTACATTGAATGAACTGGTATTTAAAAAAAATTAATGACACATTTAAGTATTTATTTAAAGATGTATATATTTCATTCTGTCTCTTTTCGTCCTCCATAGTAAAGAACATATCAGTGACACTTAATTTTTCATGGCAGGCTTCACCCACCAACTTACAAAAAATCCTAGAGAGTAAAAACCTCAGTTCACTCTGAATACTTTCTTTCAATGGTTTGTTTAAAGATGTAGATAATTTTTATAGTGTGAAGCTGTCATTTCTAACGTGGAGATAAAAAGAACATGGCTCCTCCTCGCAGACTTAGTTCTGCTTTGATAGATGTGTTTCATAATATCGGAGCTTTGGAAAAGCACGAATACCATCCCAGAAAATGTCATCATTAATTTTCCTCCAATGCTATTACAAGCAGTGAGGTTATCTCCATCACTCTTCATTTGTATTCTTGTCCTGCTTCTCAAAAACTGAAGCGGACTCTACGCATTCCCTGTCGTGTTAGTGCATGTTTGATTATTGATGTAAATAAGTTTGGTGAAGCTCTGCTACAGCATGGCACTGACCCATGATCATCATTCCCTCAGGCTTCAATGTTTCCATATGTTCAGATAGAGCGCATCGCCCTATGAAGACACATGTTGTTCCTTAAGGATAGATAGACTCAGATGGTAGAGTCACTTATGTTTCCAATTGATGGGTTAAGAGACGTAATTTAACCATTCATTGTTGGGAAGAGCAGATACCTCAAGGCCTCTTTTGGACCTTGATCTGTCAATCTTTCAGACCACATCAAAACGGAGACGTCTATTGATAGAAAAGGAGGTTTTCACAAGTTCAAAAATGACGTTTGTTTCCACTCTGAGCTCTGGTGGAGTCTCACATGTATCTGTTTAGAGCTAAGAGGAGATTTAACGGTTCAGATCTGGTTGAAGTTGCGGCTTTCTGCTTGGGGAAACATATACATTGAGTCATCAGATTTAGTGTGCATGTATCCAAAGGGAGGGGAATTCCAGTAGCACATGTGCTGAACATCTTGAGGAGGAATTTTGAGAGACCTTGAGCAAAGTAGGGCTACAGGTATCAAGTTCCTGCTATTTCCAAATGTTAGGATTAGAATTAAGGGGAAAAAAACTGTTTAATGAAGGTGAAATGGACTGTTGTACTCAGTATAAATCAGTCACTCTTGTCCTCATTTCCCTTTTTTAAGGATTGCTCAATAACATCTTGCAAAGGAATTTAAGGCGCTGAGTGGGGAAAGTCCTTGAGCGATGCACTTCTGCGAGGCCAGGTGTTGCAGCTGACATAAAAGGACTAACTGTGTGTTTAAAACGTGATAACAGACAGACATAGAGGCATCCTAAGTGAATTCTTCCGAACTGTAGGTTAGAATTTAGTCCGCTGAAAATGCACAATACAAACTTAGTGCTGATTTATGATACTTGCTTTTGTTTCATGAAAACAGGCCTTCAACCTGCTGGAGGTTTGATTTATGTTCAGCAGCTGGAGTGCAGCACGTATAATAACACTGTAGCAGCACTTGTGTGTTTTGCGTATATGATGTAACAGCTGGTGAAGAAAGTCTGTTGGTTATTTGTAGCTTATTTTATATGGTCAGGCTTACAGGTGCAACAAATCACAAATGTCCAGGATAGAGATATGAGGTTCCCCCATTGAGATTCCTCTATTATATATTTGTTTATTTATTTTTTGTTCTCTCTCTCTCTCTCTCTCTCTCTCTCTCTCTCTCTCTCTCTCTCTCTCTCTCTCTCTCGCTGTTTTAATCTGCAAAATATTTGTGAAAAAAAATTGATTACCATATTTTTAAAATTTGTTTTGCTGCAATTTGAATCTCATTTATTACACGAGTCATGTTTTTAAGAAATAATTGCTTGTTCTTCCAAGTATGGAGGTAATGGAAAAAGTTGAAGAACAGTTCAGCTACAGGGTCTGTGTTTGCACGCTAAATTGCCTCCTCAATATTTTTAAAGTAATTTCAGATTTATTGACTTTGCTTTTAGTCACTGACCTTCATCAGAGAATGGGGAGTTTAAGTTTACTTAATTGGAATAGTTTCTTCACCTCTACTGTGTTAGAAAAATTTACCAAAATGAGGCTGTTTTTATTTCACAACCTCCATCAAATAATAATTTAATTGTTTCACAAGAAGAGCTCTTCAGCAGAACAAAATGCACTGTAACTGTGCAATTATTCTGCTCTCAACAATAACATCTGTAAACCTGAACTTTCAAGTAAGTACCTGCAGAATTCATCCCCCTGTCTCTTCCTCTTATCAGGCCGCGGCAGCGACTCAGAGTCCGACGGCGCCCCTCACAGGAAGATGCCAGATGTCCGCAAGGACGACATGTTGGCGAGGCGGACATCTATCAGCGAGCCCAAAACCGCCATGCCCTTCAACCAATACCTGCCTAACAAGAGCAACCAGAGTGGATATGTGCCCACGCCACTCCGCAAGAAAAGAAACGATAAGGAGGAGGGAGGACGCAAGAGCTGGAGCACTGCAACCTCACCTGTAGGAGGGGAAAGACCGCTCAGGTGAGTCTGACTTTTAGGAGCAACAGCAAGAAATGGCAAAAACAGTGTCACATAGAGGTTGTCTCAATGTAAGTAAGTCACCTTTCTAAGAAATGAAAACTATTTCTATAACAGATTCACTTTGAAATTCAGGTACAGATAAGAGAATTGATTTTGAACATGTACACAGTATTATTGACTGATGTATGAAACCATGAAAATGAACTTTACAATGTGATTTGATTGATGGCGCCGCAGAGTTTCAGTTTGTGATCATGGATTTGAAGATTAGCAGGACGATCATTGTGCTGAGCTAATTAACATTGTGAATGCTGCTGGTGAAGGTTCATGACCATATTAAACTGGTCATGTGAGGGCAAGTCCACAACTGTGACCTCGTTTTAGCCTGAAAAGATTGATTAAAGCTATTGATATGTACAGACAGATGTACAGAGTGACTGCAGAGATTGGGGAAATTATCATATGTTGCTCGTTCAGCCTTTTATATACCCTCTTACATCCTTTTGAGATGATTAAATTCCATCAAGTACTCCTCACATGGTGCAGAAAAAATGGAGCAAATTAAAACATGGAGGTGGAATTTGAAATGTTAGGCATATTAAAATCCCAGAGGGTTGAGATCACAAGTTTTAGTCTGTGGAGCATTTTATCCCCAGTGTAGAAGTTTCAAATTTATGCACACTAAGAGGAAGCAATATCGTACTTTGAGGTCAGGGTGGATTTTTATGGACAGAAGCTGAAAATCAAACATATAAAGCTGAAGATCTGTGAGTTTATTAGTTTGGTCTAAGTGGGTTTACATTTTTGGCGTGCTGCAAGTGTGTGTGGGTTGTTTCAGCCAGTGTGTTCCTCATCTGTCCTCCATTCCCCTCACCTGCTAACTTTCTCCATTGTGTTATGAGTTGCATCAAATAGCATGCACTGATCAAATCTGCACTTTTTTTTCCCTCCATCTCCATCCATTTCACCTGTGCTGACCTCTCCCCTCCTGTTTCCTGTCATCTCATGTGCTCCATCATATTTCTCGTATTTGTGTATTTTGTGTCTCATGATCACCGTTCCACGTTTGGTCGTCCCTAATTTTGCTCGGCTTTGATTCTGTTCTCCCCCCTGCCCTGTGTGTGTTGTATAAATGGGTCGTATAACAGTCTAAATGTTGTCCTTAGCCCAGGCGCCCTACCTGGAGAATCCCCCATCCCGTCCCCTTCCTTACCTCTAAAACCCAAAATACAGATTCAGAAGGAAAACCAGACAAAAAAGGACGTTGAGGGAGGGGATCCACCGGCCCCCCCACCTTGTATTGAGATCCATGCTGCAGGCGTGAGGAGAAGCAGTGAGCCTCTGTCCTATAGCCTCCCCCAGCCCCATGCAGAGCCCCCAAAGGAGACTCACCTGATGGTCACCTCTGAGCAAAGGTCTTTACCTTGTTTGTGTTTTTCACCTAACAGCCGACCAATTCTCACTTTTTCAGTGACCCTGATTCAAAATTTCTCTTGATCAAATGTGAATATAATAATTCGTTCCAGATTATGAGATTTTTATTTTGTACTATTTTTGGGAAATTCCACTTATCTTACAGATCCATGAATGTGGAAAAAGTTCCATCAAACTTTTTGTGGATCCAGAGAGGGCTGTGGTGAGCTGCTTTGTGTCATGTCACTTGGGGTTACATGGTTTGTGATCAGTGGCCCACTACCACCTTTGTTTGAGGTTAGCTGGATGAGGCTTTGCGTCTGCTAGCTAGCTTTACATTGTCTCTAAACTATTGTAAGGTCAGTTGCATTTTGGGTAACGTCAAGAGACATGTTCAAATGTAAGAAATGAATGTCTGGTTCTGCTGTAATGCTTAATTGCTACCGAGAGATGAAATAGAGAATCAAATCTACTTGGATTCCCATTAGCTGTGGTCAGAGCAACAATTGCTCTCAATGACTGGTAACAAGCATTAATGAGCTAATAGTTGCATGGCTATACATTGAGCAACTCAAAGGTTTGTATTATATTGAACCACAAATCTTCCCATATTAAAGATAGGAGCCAAAAGACTGTAAGTTAGAGTTCTTTGTTCTGATTTGTGCTGTGTGTGATCAAATATTTAGGGGAAAGTGTGAGCCAAAAATGTCCTGCTTTGTTCCAGTTTTGGCTGCAGAAAAGAAGAATCGAGTATTTGTGCTTGTTTAAAACGAACCATGACTAAGGAAAGCTCAATAAATAACGGTATCCTGATCTCAATGTTAGTCAAAATAATCCTCATAGCCATAATCCTGCAGCTCTACTTTGCAGTGTCATTAAATCTTGCTGAGTTTTCTCCCTCTACCATCATAGAGAGAATGTAAATGATACTTTATATGTTGCAATACAACTCAGAAAATACTCTTGAAAGTCTCATTAGTAACATATTTCTCCAAAAACAGCTTAGCAGTTTGGAGTAATCCTTAAACTTGTAAACACCCAGTTTTATCAGGGCTTGTTTATTTGAAAGGGGGGGAAAAAAAGTTCTAGTTATCACAACTGGTATTTCCATCCTTCCAGCCAGCTCTTTTTGGCACTGCTGCTTCTTCTAATTCTGTTCTCATCCCGAGCAACGTAAGAGTGAGTCAGCAGAAGGTTCAGTGCTGAATTTAACCGAGCTGCATGCAGATCAAACTGTTGTTCCACAGATTCTTTACTCAGAAGGCCATCCAGGTGTCACTCTGTGTAAGGTAGCAAGGTTAGCATTATCTACCACAACACCGTACTGATGTATATTTATCTGAGCAGACATCAGATGTCAAGTCTGACCGCAGCGAAAAAAAACAACAACAATCCAGGTCTTTGTTGTTATTTCACAATCCAGCCTTATGTGGTGTTTTTTGTTTTTTTTCTCCTGGTCTAGCAGACGTCTCATTCACAGAACTGCTGGAGAGTTATTACAGTCACACCCCCAGTTTCCAGCTCTGTCTGGCTCCAATATTATTGCATTGATTGGACTGTCAGCATTTCGAGGGAGTGAAAAGAATCCTCAGCAGACATCTGACTTGTTTATATTTGAGCTCCAAGGAAAAGGGGATTTTTGGGATGTTTGTGCAAGCCTTTAAAAGGGGCAGTTTGTCTGTAACAACTTGGATTTTCCTGGAAGAATACTCTGGCTGTACTGAGAGCATTTCAGTTTTTCCAGGAGTTGATACTTTCACTTTTACTGCATAAAACTGACAGAAAAGTTTTTGAAAACGCCTTTTACAGTTAAGTCTGTCGAGGTTTGTGTCCATCAGTACACCTCTCAGTAGCCATATGGTGGAGTTTTTTAACTTTGAAGTGTTTCTTAGCCTCAGCAGCAAATTAAATATTAAATTTGAAAGGCCTGGTGTAGTTCATAAATTATTCACCTGCATGTCAAAACAGCCCAAATAACGTATTATGAACTGGAAAAACCGAATCCTCGAAAAAACAAGAGGGCGTGTGTTGGGAGTTGGCCAGTTTCCACTCATATCCTAACAAACCTGCACACACCTTTGAACACAAAGCCATACAGAGAGCAGGTACACACAAAAACATACTGTGTGTCCACATGCAAACACACTCGCAGGGAACAAGAACATTCGACCCACCCTCAGGATGTAAGGAAATGAGGCTTTCTTCCTTCCCTGACCCTGAGCAGACCGGTCTTTTCACCGCCGTCCCCTCCCTGCAATGCTATCTGAGAATTTACAGTCCAATAATAAGACTCCCAGAAAGTAGCCATTCATCTCAGGATGACAAATAACAGAACGCTCAGCGACTGCAGTTTGTTTGTTTTCTATATTCAGTCTGCTCGGAGAGGATTTGTGACCTTGCTTTACTATTTTCTCAGATTGATGTCTTGAAAAGAACCCGATTTTGGCTCCTTCAGAGGAATGCTGTCTGATGGTGTAGGATGATAATCAGGCAGCACTGTTAGCATTTTAGTTTGCTTTGCTTTCTGCAGTACTCCACCTCGCTCCTGCTCGGAGGAACTCTTTCAACAATCGACGACTCTGTCAGCAAACCTAATGGCAACAAGCCCGGTCACCACATCCAGGAAACAGCCACCTGTGAAGGAAGACGACACTGACCTGTCAGGTGCAGATGTTGAGACGCAGATGCTAACACTGACCTCTTCTAAAAACATCACCACCCTCAGCCCTTCAGACTTCCTTCCTGTGCCTGCTGCCATGGCAACCACTCCAACAGCAACAACAGATGCAGGCAGACGGAAGGGGAGGGCACTGGGTGAAAGTGAGGACCTGCAAGGATCTTGGGCAGACAGTGATCCTCCAGCAACGTGAGCCACGTCCAGCAATTACACTTCATATTGTGAATGTCTGCATCGTTGATCTACAGCCGCATTATTCAGCTTTAATAATGAAGAGATATATTTTTGCATTGATGCTTTTAAGCGCTCAATCAGCATGTCACGCTGACTTCAGACGCCTAGATGAATGACTTAACTTCTGTACAGCTGCATGACCTTTTTTTTAATGAATGCACATCTTCCTTTCCCCAAAAGAGGGGGATTTCTGTTTAGAAATCTGAAGATGAGAAAATGTTGGATGGTGAGGTCTTTCATTATCGTTGCATGACTCAAGTTGGCAACATTTGATCTATTCAGGAAAGACCCAATTAAGGGATTAAGGGAACTAAATTGAATTTGAGTTCATACAATTTGATATAATCCCTCAATTCTTCAATGCATGAACATCGTTAAATTTGTGGATTAGTCCAGCTTTCAAACCATAAATACTTTAATTAATCAATCATTGACTCTAATGTGTACGCCAGAGAACATTGGCGTTTACTCTAATGGAGGCCCAGCTGTATCAGAGGCTGTCATCTTCAAAAATATATATATATTTATGGCCAAAAGACAATTTACTCCAACATCCCATATGGCAAATAGCCATCAAAGACAACAATCTCTCTGGACGTCATCCCAGGAGGCATTTCTTAATTTGGTCTCCTTGTTCTCTTGTGGCGAGAACCACACTGTCTCTCTCAACCCTCCAACTTCACAGAGGAGGCTCCACAAAAAGAAGACCAAGAAGACCTTTGTGGTTAAGGCCGAACCTTCAACCAGTGGTTACAGACAGAAGAGAGCCACATCCTTCACGCTACTCTTGTCTAATAAAACATGCATGTGCTTTCTGTATTATTAAAGTGTCAGCTGCCTTCTAGGATCATTGCCAAATGCATCTGTTAAATGCTGGCAGTGTTTCAGTTATGCAGTGATGCAGTGTACTTGTCTTCTGCTCTGTTCTGGCTGTGTTATGGATAAGACTGCCCCCTTGTGCTTGGTTTGAGAACTATCACAGAACTGAGAAACTAACAGATGCATCTGTGCACAGACAAAAACATCCAGGCAAGCATGTTTGAAGCATTATAAGCTAACTTTAGCTGGTACATACTCAGTATTCTGTCATAGATAACTCATTGTTTGTGATAACAACACACTATCTTGAGAGTGTGCAAACCATCTCTGTGTTTTAATAGTCCCATGACTGACGTGTTTCTCTGCTGAGTGAACTCATTTGTGATTGCGCTCTCTCTTCATGCTCTCTGCCTTCTGTAGATTCAGCAGCACACATAGTGTGTCAGATGACCCACAGTAAGTTGTCTTTTATCGTTCATAGGCTCAGCTATCTGCCTTGGCACTGCTCCGCACTGCAAAGCACAAGTCATTTAATCACTCTTAAGAATCGAACTTATTATTCACCGCAGAGGAATCCACCAGTCATTATAATATTATGAGGAACTTCTTTAAGATGCATTGAACTCACTTTAACAATCTGATGGTAATTTTTTTTATTAAAAATTATAAATATGTGGTGGAAATTTAAAGTTTCTTTAATGTTTCTCACAATAAATACTACAGTGAGTGCAGAAACTATTTTAAATTTAGCCCGGCATGTGATACTGTAATTGTCTGCTGAAGGTCTTCAATTAGAGCTGAATTTTTTCCACACAATGAAAACTTGTAGAAGATAGAGTTATGTTTAAAACGTTTTGAGTTGTGGAAATAAAAAAAAATAACTTGTTTAGAAATTAGTATTTTTTGCAGTTTTCTTAACTGACTCAGCAGAGGGGATAGTTTTGATAGTTTCCTGTACAAGTGTCAAACAATATCCCTTCCCCTGACATATTAGGTATCATGTACATACAGTATGTTTTAAAAAATCTGATTTAATGCTTGTGCCAGCTGCATGTTTCATATAAAACAGCTGTTTAAATCACCACTCCACCATTTCATCCTTTTACCTAACAAATATATATCACCTTTTTATCCCAGTAAGTGTCATTTGCAGCTACAAGCCTGCGCAAAAATGGCGATTTTTGTTCACAAATCCCTGTTTAGAGAAGTGGATTGGGCAAGAAGTGACATAAAACACCTGCACTTGAACCTGTTTTAGTTTACACCGAATAAAGTGGCACTTCACTCAGCCTTTACACTGCTATACCTCCTGCTATGTTCCCTTAAATCTGCAATAAGTGATTGACACAACAGCATGCTCGTAACACACTCGTAAGACTTCACTTTACTCGCTTCTATACTGTCCAATAATCATTACTTCAACTTGACAGAAAAATAAAACTTACATGTATGTTCCTTCACTGATTGAAGAACACGTGTGTCATTTAACTGCATCTGAAGTGACAAATGCATCTGTCATACGTATAATTTATGCCCTGTAGGAGCAAATGTTGGAATGTGACATGACATGATACTGAAGAGTAAGGGCCAAAAAAGAGCATGCATGATTATTTGGTTGGAGTCTTTAAAAACATGCTTGTTGTTTGGTGCACAGATTTCCATTGACTGGATCTTTAAAATCTGTTTTGTTGGGTTGGCCACTTTTCAGTTGATTTTGATACCCTTTTATGATTGACTGGTACAGACTTCATTTTGTAGTTGAGTTTTTCTTTGAGTTTAGGAGGGCTGGAGGTTTTATTATGTCTTTTACATGAACTTCATAACTACTGCAAAGTCTTGGAAGTCTTGTAAAAGTTGAGTATCACAGTGTTTCCATCTTTTCACATGACCTCAACTTACTCTGCATCGCACAGAAGGAACTTTATGGAGTTATTTGAACATAACTCAATCATGTCTAGTGTGTAAGTGATGATTATCTGATTTCACCATCTTGTTTTTATCCTCTCCATCTTTCTTTCTCTTTCTTTTCCTGCAGGAGCATGAGTATGACCGACATGCGTGTCGACGAAGAGGCCATGTTACATCCTCACAGCCAGGTCCGTCATGAGCTGATGCACAACCAGTACAACCAGTTGAAGGAAGAGGAGGACCACTGGCAGGATGTGAGTGCCACAGCTTTTTCTCTTCGAACTTATTTTGACTGGATTATGATCATTTCAAGATAAATATTGTCTCATCTATACAGTTAGTATTTTTTGTTTCTGTTGTGTTGGTTTATTGGTGACTTTAGTGCCTTCCAATCGAAGCTCTAACCTCAATAACTTTTATCTTCTCTGCCCCAGTTACCATATCTAAATCAGTTTTCTAGGGCCGCAGCAGGTCTCACAGTGCCGCTGTGCCCCGTTATACTTAGAACTGAAGCACCTCCAATATGTTTGTGTGTCAGGACCTGGCCCGGTGGAAAAATCGGAGGAGGAGTATTTCCCAAGACCTCATCAAGAAGGAGGAGGAGAGGAAAATGATGGAGCAGTTGATGTCAGGAGAAGTCTGTATCTCAGGGAGGAGGAAGAGCATCAAGACCTACAGAGAGATAGTGGAGGACAAGTAGGTTATACACACAAACAGGGAATTGAATCATTTCTATCAAGCTGAAATTCCAGATAACAGGAAACAAGGGCCTGTTATTTCGAGCAGAGCATGAAAATGACTCATCCAAAGTTCATTTAGGTTGCTAACCCCAGAGAATACTCAGAGAAAGAGTTCATGTTATCGTTTAATAGTACGGTAAAAGAAAGAGAGATTTCTGTTTTGTTATGATGAGTTTACATGGTTATAGTTGTCTTACTTGATCATATCCACTGATGCCTTGTGAGTCTCTGAGCTTTCACAGATGTTGTTGCAGTATTTAGTTTTCAATCAAAACTTGCACAGCTGTTTTTCATCAATACTTTCTTCCCACTTCCACAGGGAGCGACGTGAGGAGGATCTTCGTATTGCCTACAGAAAAGCCAGAACCCCCGAGGAGGCGTCCGCCATCCTCCAGCGTTACGCCCAGCGTTTCTCCATCAGTGAAGCGGTGCTGGAACGCCTACAGCTGCCAAAGCTCCTGGACCGCAGCATATCTGCTGACCCTTCCTATCCCTGCTCGCCCTTCCCTCTCTCCCTGTCCCCTTCTCCAACGACCCCAGACCCTTTTGATATGGACCCCAACGGGCCTCTGAAATATCTGCGCCAGCAGTCCGCTCCAGTTCCCAAGTTCACGTCTACACTGGAGGCACGAATCGAAGAGTACCCCAAAGACCCCCCACACCAGCGGCCTCAGATCCGTTCTCGCTCTTCTGAGCCGCCATCCACCCGAGGCCTGTCGCCAAAACCGGTGCCTTTACTGACACCTAAGCCTTACTTCCAATCCCGACCTCCAGCAGCTGAACCGTGGCCCAACAAGGTGAGACTGACTGCACTGCCTGAGATGCATAATTATGACTGAAAATGTATATCACACATCCTTCAAACGCCAAATTACCTTTCAAAGTGTCTATTAGTGAGACTCAAATCTCCCCGCTTGACTTCAGCTCACAGTATTTCCTCGATTTCGATCGTGAGGGTCTGTTCTCTAACACATACACTGATTGAAATTTGGGAAGTGTCGCCCAGCAGTTCCGCAGAGGCCACGGTTTAGGTCTTGACCACTTTACATGGTGTTACTTCCCACTGTTGGCCGCTCTCCTCACACGCTGGTGGGTAAATTCCCTCCAGGCTTTCTTGGCAGATACATGAGCATGCCACAGATCCGCCATGGTGATGAGCCTCATGGTTTCTAGGAAAACACAAGACTTCCCCTCCTAGAACAAGCATGAAATGTTTCAATTTAACTCAAAGTACTCTCAACATGATCCATTTCCTTCTGCAAAAAAAAAAAAAAAATGGCCAAATGGGAATGCTCAAAATGAGGTCTTATGTTTTGGTGTGGTGGAGAGGGAGGGGCCAGTTATTACTAGATCTAATGGAGCAAAGCGCTTTTCTGGAATGTCTTGTCAGGAGTCTGAGCGGAGACCGGCTTTCAATGGAGCCCTCTGTTCCCTATTGACTTAAGAAGTTGACAAGTAGGGTCCTCTCAATGTGAAGTGGGCTCCCAGCAGACAAAGACGGCCCACACAGACCGCTCTGAGAGGGATGAGAAGGTGGAGGCTGCAGGGGGGGCAGACTGAGAGCCTGCATTCACCCAACTCCAGCACAGTGTCTTAAGTTACCGCTTACTAGGAGCTCCTCACACATACATTATGGCCTCTTTGTCAGAGTGCCAGCATGGTGTTGTGAGCAGGATGAATAGCTAATAACGAACAGAGATGAGAGGCTGATAATGACCACCAAATGAGGGCACTGGGTTTATAGGCACGGAGTTTATTCTCATTTTTTGGTTCGTCAACCATGAAAATGACGATTTAAAGAAACTGTGAGCTACAGCAGAACTTCAGCATTTTTTCTTCCAGGTTTAATACGAACACATTACAATTGTTCTTTACCCAGTGGTTGTTTAAGGACTTCACCCGATAAAAGACCTGCATTAAATTCATGATTGTAAAGAAAACATACAGCAAGCATTCAAATCTTCTCCTCTGGTTTAGGGAGATGGTTTGCTTCGAGTCAACGGCGACCTAGGAAGTGCTCCAACCTCACCAGAGAGTCAAGGAAGGGAGTCTCCTCCTCAGTTCCAGGCGTCGACTTCTGAGACCGTCGACAGCAGCGTGGACGCTCCCTCGTCAGCTTTAACAAAGCACAGTCCACCTGCCTCAACTGTAGGAGAAACCAAGGGGTCAACGAAGGCACAGGAGGTACCAAGTGAGACGGAGACAGCCTCCAAGGACGTCCGAGAAGAAAAAGTCACCGAGCATTCATCGCCCAGCCGGCCCACCTCACTCCCATCGGTCAGGATTTCAATCTGTTATCGTTTTATTTTCATAGCTAAGCCCGTAAAAAATGTTTTGTCTGTCAAAATTGAGAGAGAGAAATTAACTACATTCACAGAACCTTCGATTTGTGAGGTGAAATCAAGCGATCACATCCAAACTTTGTATTTTTGCTCAGAATCAAACGCTGTTTTCACAGCATACTCTCAGCCATCAAAATAAAAGCACTACACAGCAGCTGTGACACAGTAAAGTAAAAACCATAGACTGTATATGGAGTGGCAAAAACTGAAAACTCAAGGTCAGGAATCACTTGAGATATTTTTTCCCTTTTATTTTATTGTAAACGAGAAGTAAAATTTGTAATAAAACATAAATTACAAATTACTAAAAATACTCAAAGAACTCAAAGTTTGTCACACTTAGATGCACAGGCGAGAGAAAGATTCCTGCACACAGTTTACGGTTGCAGTTTCGAGATTTATGTCGTCTGCTAATAGTAACATAGCAGTGGTCTCTGTGTCCTTAACTGTCGGATCACACTCATCCGGTGCCCTGCAAAGATGGTAAATCTAGACACAGAGTAGGGTTGTTAACGAATATCCTAAATTTAAATATATACTCAAATATTTAAAAAAAAAATCTAATGTGAAAATGAATACTCAAATATTAAATAAACCACGGTAAAAAACTGAGAGGGGAAAAAAACAGCGTCTGCTTTGAGAGTGAGCGCACTGTAACAACAGGTCAGGGACAGGTCACAGGAGCTGCACCTGCAGTGAGACTCCACAAAAACCGTCAGTGGCACATGCAGAAAGAGATAAAGGGATGTTCAGAGCCAAACTTGGAGAGAGTGGTCTGGACTCCAACGAACTTTAGAAGCTCTGTTTGGAAATTCTTCAGGATATTTGAATATGTTCAAACCTATGTGTTATTTTTGGAACGAATATTCAAACGTCATTTTGGAGCAATTTTGACAGCCCTAACACAGAGTCTTACTCTGGTCTTGGTCTTGTTTCTCCCTCCTCTTTCTCTGCCTCTCTTTTTGTCTCCATCTATCTTTAATATCAATTGTGAAGCTGTTTCATGTTTAAGTCATGGTAGGTAAACTGTGCCACCTGTGCTAGAATTATTTCACTTCTCCCACCAGTGGTTTGTAAGTGGTCAATTCAGTGAGTGGGTTTAGACTCTGTGAACCAATCCTAACCAAGACCTTCCAGTTACTGGAAGGTCTTGGTTAGGATTGGTTCACAAACAGAATACAGTCTCCTTGAGATGATTCTCAACGTTTGTAATCAGGTTAAAATCAAATGTTAATTCTTTAGAGTAGTCCTAGTTTTGCTTTTTTTCCCCCTTTTCTAATTATCTTTGTTAATTAAATTAGGTTTTCAGGACTCAGAGTTTATAAGTTTCTCCATGTGGTTATTTGATTTTAAACACTTGAGCCAGATCTCTCTGTCTTTAAATGTTTTTTTTAATATCACTCTTGTTTACTCCATGATCCAACTGTTATATTTGTAGGAGCTGCAGAAGCCAGAAGAGAGCTTTGGGAAGGCCGGAAAACCGTCTGTAGCTGCCCAGGAAAAGTCCAACCCTGCAGCACAGCAGAGGACTACTGCAGGTCTGAACAGCATGCTGCTACACTGCCACCTTGTGGTCGCTCTTGGAGTTGTTGTTGAACTTGAAGAAGAAAAGTTTAAGGAAAAATGTAAAAAAAAAAAAAAAAATTTATTTATTTTGTGATCTTTGTGTTTTTTCAGAAGCCAAACAAGATCAAACAAAAACTGAACCATCAGGTCAGAAAATCCCAAACCTGGTCCAGTCAGGAGGAAACAAACAGTCAAGTCAGCCAGTCTCAATACAGGTGAGGCCACTAACCACAATTTGATCAACTTCTTGCACAAAAATAATAAACATTTATCTAAAAGTGTTTGGATCTCATTGCAGACAAGCATCTCAAGTTCTCAAGAGTCGCCAAAGAGGAAGGAGGACTTACCAAGCTTGGCTGCACCGGGATCTTTTGGACATCACCCACCGAGGCAACCAACAGCAGGTCAGTGAAATCCCAACGCCTGAAAACCAGATGAGCAGTTTCCTCTGCGTACATCTCCTGGTTTTCGGACTTTTGTTAGCACTTCCTCCTGTCCTGCTTTGTTTTACTTTTGCCTGTACATGAACCTTTTTTGCAACCTGCACAAACTCCTGCTGACCTTTTATGCAAATTATCCCTGAAAGTCTTTTTCCCTTTTTCAAAGTTACCAAATAATCAAGCTAATGAGACCTGTGAGCCAACAACGAGCACATGTAAAAAAGAGGCGAACTGTTGGCTTTTTTATAGAGTAGTAAGCTGTGCTTTAAAGCTATTTTCACTTCTGCTACATTCCTGCTCTTTGGCCTTTAAAAAAAAAAAAGAATTATTGTCACTCAAAAAGTGTCTTTTTTTTTGGTACAGTTAATATTTCCCTCACCGTCTCAGGAGCAGACCTAGAAAATCCCTCCCCTGTTATCTTGATGTCCATACCAACCCCCCGGGGTTTTGACATCTGTCTATCCTTTATCATTTCTCTCCCTCCTTTCCTTCCTTCCTTCCCTTATTCCCTCCTCTCCTTCCACCTGCATATTTTTTATTTCACTTTAGAGTTTGAAAACAGTGTCAGGTCTCCTCTGGCAACCAGCAACCCTAAGTTACGCTGGGAGTTCTTCGCTTCGCCAGGTAAACCCTTTTCTTTCATGGCTGGAGATCATGTTTCCACCCCCCTGGCGCTGAATGCACGGGGTTTCCCTGCTGTCTCTACAGGGGCTTCACATCAGGCCTCGAGTCTTTTTGTGTCTTTTTTACTCATCTCCAGATTCCTGTATTATAAATGATCCTCACAGTGAAGCAGTGTCTGTGTGTTGAACTCATCTGTTTGTTTTCATTAAGAATTCTACGTTATTATGCATTTCAGAATCCAAATTTTAATAAAAGAGTTACAAAGGTATAAAGCTTCACATTGAGCTAGTGACAGTTTTACTGCTGAATGGAGAATCCCAACAATAAGAAGTTTCAACAGCAGCTTCTTTTCAACCATGATGCACCCACAGGCTTTTATGAAATGTTGATCCTAGAGCTGTGATCAACAAGAATCGCAGACAAAACTGCAGTATTAACAGAAAACAATGTAAGGGTATGTGTCGTGATATCAGAGGCTGCATGATCTCTAAAGGTAATATTTAAACTAGCTACAGCAGGCCAGTAAAACATGCTGTCACCTGGCCTGGAGTCTGTCGATGATGCATCCCAGCCAACGGTTGGGTGACCATATTCTGAATTCCCAAAAAGAGGACGCTACAGGGTCGGGCGTAGTTAATCTTGAGAGTTTTTCGGGGTCAGGTGGGGTGTCATTTACGCGCTTCTAACTCAGTTAGTCCACACAAACTCAAAACTTCCAAACCGAACCCCAGACATTTGAAGGAATTAAAAGCCCCCCCTGGACAAAGCCGGACAGCCCTAAAAAAAGAGGACATGTCCAGGTAAAAAGAGGACGTATGGTCACCCTAGCCAACAGGGAAGTTATAATTTTGCTCAAAGTGTGTAGCATGCAGTCCCATTTAGATCACTGGTTCTCTTTTCAGTGATCCTGAAAAATCTATCTGGATCCAGATAGATCCAGTTCAGTTTTTCCCTAAAAAAGGTAGACGTATGTAAGATGATATAATGTGAGTTTCAATTCTTGGATTAATTTTTTGAACAACCAGACGTGTTGCTCTCAGTGGACTGGTTTTCCGTCTTTGTTTTGTGTCTCTTCACGCTCCTTAGGTTTTAAACAATTCTTGGTACACCCTTAAATGTCCCCCCGCTAAGGAGTCATGTGATTTTCATCACATGTAAGCCAAACATACATTGAAACAGCATTAAACTCTCATTTTCTTTCTCTTTTTCTCCACAGAAGGGACAGAGAAGGATTGCCGTGGAAACGTGAGTAAACAGCATCACCTGACTGTATAAAAACTGTAAACAGACTCTTAGAAACCCTTTTACTGCTTCTCATCTGGCTCATCATGTCATGGCTTACAGTATTTTACAGTATTTTAGTTTTATTAACTGTATGAAGATGGTGAAGCTGAAAACTACTGTTTATTTAACCTACAGTAATTTGCTGATTTCAAAACATCCCTGAACCAGGAGTAGCTCAAGCCTGCACCTTGTTTTATCTTGCAGAATCTCACATGTAACGTCCTTAACACATAAAATGCATTCAGAGACATTCAGTATTTCAGCTAAAAGGCAGCTAATGTCTCGTAATCCTATAAAAAAGGTTTTCAAACACCATTTTTGGAGTTCAGAGACTTGTTTAAATGCAGCTTCTTTTTACCTGTGAACTCAGTGGTCATTCTGCAGCGCTCTCCTACATACCATAGGACCCTCAGAGCTGTTTGTGTAGCATGCCAGATGAGAATGCTGTAGAAAACGGCCGAGACTGCTTCTGTTTTCCTTTGAGCTCATCTGTCTCTCTCTCTGTCTCCTCTCTTCGTAGTAGGAGTCCTTTGGCTAGCATTGGAGTAGTGCTGTTGTGGTAGACCAACTATTTCTGTCTCCTCCCTTCCCTTCTTCTTTTCCTGTGGATGTGGGTGTGTGTGCGGGCGTGCGTGTGGGCGGGGCCACCTCGGCTCCACGGTTGAATGAGACCGTGTTCGCTGTGGATGGCCGTTGTTTCGTCTGTGCGTGGTTGTGTGCATGAATATTTGCGTGCCATGTGTATTTGTGCATGTCGATGTGCGTGTCTGTCTGTGTGTGTTGGGGTCTATCAGGTGTCAGTTCCGGTGTTGCCCCAGGCCAAGCGGGCTGACCGCTGGTCTTGGGACCCGGATGAGGAGCGAAAGCGTCAGGAAAGGTGGCAGCAAGAGCAGGAGCGCATGCTGCAGGTACACAGTTTACCTCAAAGGGGAAAGCATGACGCATGAGTCTGCAAGGTGACTGGTTCAGTTTCTTATGCAGCCCAGAGGTTAGAGCTCTGCTCCACATCTGTGAGGATTAGGTAAAGGTAACACTTCGAGCATTTTAAACATTTGAGAAAGAGTGTGGAGTTCATTTTAGGAGAATTTCTGGCTGGGTTAAAGCTCTGCCCTCGGCATGGCACTTGTAGCAAGCTTGAAATGTTTGAATTCCTCTCTGTGCTAATGAACACATAGCTGAGCTCCGAGTTCAGCTATGGATTTTTGCAACTAGCAACTTTATCTTCAGTTACCTTTTTGCACAATAAATTGAGATACACTGTTAAAACGTAGTTTGGCACTGATCAGATACACTTTTTATGAGGCTATAAAACCTTAAGCAGGTTAGAGAGGATTTAGCTTTTGTTTAAGGTTAATGTTTATAACCCTCCTATTATCCTCAAGTATTGCTAACACATTTTACCTTTGGGGTCAGTCTGACCCCAGGTATATTTGCCTTCAGAAATTATTCACATGCAATTGTTGACCAAGATTTTTGTCAGGCGCTTTGTTCATTTGTTGAGTACATAAATAACTCCTAAGAATGAAACCTGTCAACAATTTGATCTGTTCTCTAGCGCCACCAACAAGCCAAACTTTTAAAATAGAATTAATGTATCTTGAGGAGTTTTCATACAAATCTTCTCAAATTTACTCACAATCTTTATGACACAAGAAGATGAACCCTTCTGCTTTTTGTGATGATATGACCTTTCCTGGAGGGAATAGTTGTTATTTCCCACCTCCCTGTTTTGACATCAACTCAAAAGTATCAGCTTTGCACCTGTAGGTATGGGGATGTTTGGTCACACACACAGACAAGCAAGTTTTACACAGCCCGGGGTTAAATTGACCCCAAGGATAATAGGAGGGTTAAGCTTTACTTGTTAAAGCAGTGATAGGCAAATGTGAGTGCTTTGAAAATAACAGGATAATCAGTGAAGAGCAGGAGCTCTGTGAGGGTTATGATGCAAATTAGTATTCAGACATTGTTGTCTCTAAATTTCCTCTGCAGCAGCAACATGCAGCTGCAGCAAGTCAGCACATCATGCACGGATTAATGATGAAGTTGTCTTAATGTCGACCTTCAGATTTATGGTTTTTGCACATAGAGGTAACTATGTAACTGACATTAAAACAGCTTTCCACTAATGTTCTTTTTAAAATGAAGCAGGTCTTCACTGAAAATGTAATTATTAAACTCTAATGTTTGAAAATCTTTTGACTTTCTCGTCAACATCCTCCAGTTTTATCCAGATGTTAAACCCTGATGTTGTTACTTTCCCTTAGATTTCATTCGAACCATGCAGGAGGAAAACAAGCTGCTCTCTGAGAGCCTTTGCCCAGCTTAGAATCAGACCAATCATCTGAGTTTCATTGCTATTTGCAAAGCTTGCCTCTATGTTTGTTTTTTTATATGTAGCATACCCACTACAGAGACACACACTCACGCCTCTATTCACACTCTGACCACTGGAGGGCAGTTTTGCGCAGTGGAAGAACCTCTAGTTTGGCGCTCTCTCCCCTCAAAGTCTACATCTCATTCTCTTACACACACACACAAGGACTCTGTCCAAGGTTGCTGCTGTTGCTGCTGCCCAGTTCACCCTCTCCCTCCTCAGCCAATCAGAGGTTCATCTCAGGTCCTCGTAGTTTGAAACATTAGAAGCATTTGTTGGTATCCGTGATGCACTGTGCTCATCTGCAGTGTAACCTCCATGAATAAATCTTAAAAAACAACAGTAATGAGAACGGATTTCTCTGCTTGCTGGTTGTTTCAGGACTGTTTGAGATGAGATGCGCTAAAATGGATGAATGTCTGGTGCATCGATGTGCTTGTTGCTTCCCTGGTTGATTCGGTGTCGTCTCTTTGTTTCGACCTCAGTCTGTAATATATCCTGCTTTAGTTGCTTTCTCTCCAGATATTTAGTCTTTTCTGGGGTTCCTCCACAATTCAGACAAAACAGGGAAAAAGTGAGTAGGGCTGGGTGATATGGCCTCAAATCAATATCACAATATATTGAGCAGTTCATCTCGATAACGATAAATGGACGATAACTACACCACAAGCTGCTCACCCCCTCCCACATTAACTTTATCTACTTCAGCCACTACAACTTTTGAACCGTCCTCCATCTCCTCACCTGTCTTTTCCTCTTTGTTACGGACTGGATGGGGTGGAGTCACGTCTCTGACATAGGACAGCGTCTTAAAGGGACATGAGACCATAGCCTACCTACACACATCCAAAACCAACTTTTATTTATTTATTTATTTATATTGACACAGATTATACCGATATGGGCAAAATGACATTGGTTATTGCCGTAAATTTCGGTATCTGAGTTTGTTTTTCTGGAATAATCTTAAATGACAGGAGGAGATCATCTTTTTTCACAGTCACTGTCAGAACACACTAAAAAAAGTAAAATTATTCAACAATTCAAGCAGCTTTTCACCTAAAATTGTGGAGGAATCCTGAGTTCAACAGATTCAGCATGCTCTGCTTTATCCTTCTGTTCATAGTGCCTGCTTTTGTTTGCTTCTGCTTGCTTTTTACCCCTTACACACAAACCGAAGCAAAAGAGTGAATTCACAACAGATAAAGAAACCCCCTCATGTATTTATCTGCAGTATGTCTCTTAGTTAAAGCTTAAGTTTCCTCCTGAGGACTTGTAATATGAAAATATCTCAGAGTTGACCAATAGTTAGAATTTAGAGTCCCTCTTTGGGCAGACAGAAGCCTGTTGAAACCCTCTTAGAGTCCAGTCGACGCCGGATCCATCTCTGCGTTTTCTCTGTTTTCCTGCCTGAACGTCCACCTGCGGGCAGCATAGTCTTTTTCTGTAGTTTGAGGCTCTCTGCTGTATGTCATGTGTCTGTTGCTATGGTGACAGGAGAAGTACCGGCGCGAGCAGGAGAAGCTGAAGGAGGAGTGGGAGAAAGCACAGAGGGAGGTGGCAGAGGAGGAGCGGAAGTATCACGAGGAGGTGTGTGTGTTTGTGTGTGTACGCTTGAGGGCAAATGTTGTAATTTGTTTCTTTGGTTTCTTTTGTTCAGGGTCCAACTTAGACACAGAATTATGGTTTACTAAAAGTTTGAATTACATGTTTTTACATCATTGACAGATTTATTCCCGGTCTGATAATCTTACCTATGTTTATACCCGTGTGTTATCGGTAACTCATGTAGCTTTCCCCTCACAACAGGAGCGCAGAATACTGGAGGAAACTGTGGCCCCTCTGACTCCCCGCTCCTCAGCCCTGCCCTCCCCCAGTCGAGGAGAGCTCTCCTCAACCTCAGCACCCCAGGACACCATCGTACGCTCGCTGGCTGACTGGGAACGCAAGCAGGAACTTCTGGAGAGGCAGTCGGTGAATGGCTCATTGAATATTTGTTTGGTGCATGAAGCTGGAAAACTTGCTGAAAAATAGTTAGAATTCTAAAAGAGGGGGCCCAGTGTTATCTGGGTGTATTAATTGTTCCTGCTTTTTAATTGTGCACAGAAGGGCAGCGCAGAGAGTGTGGAGTGGAGAAAGAGAGAAAACGACAGGACCAGTGACATCAGCACTGCAGACGACAGCATGAAAACAGCCAGAAGGTTTGTGAGCCATCTCCAAGAGGATCTGTTCCACATCGTAGCTGATATTTTGAGCAACACTGGTCTAAAAATATATCTTATTTGGCTTTTATGTAACATGGTTTCACCAATTACTGAAAATCCTCAAATATAACCTCACATAAACCCGCATCTGTGAAGGCCTTTATACAGGGCAGGCTTGTATTAGAGGCACATATTTATATCAAACTCTTTCTAACTGAAATGTATGATTATTCATACTTTAAAACAAAGCGACGGCCTGATTCACAAAAGGACAGCTCAGCTTTAACATCAACTAATCATGTGCATAAAGCTCGAGCCAAAGGTGAAACACTTCTACAATACACTGTCAAGCAAACAGCATCACTGTGTTTGCAAACATTTAAATAAGCCATTATGAATTTGGAGCAAAATTTCCTCGTTTTTTTATTTATTTCTCATATCTGACCGAGCTGCAAGTAAATTGATTATGAACTGTACAATTTTTGTCACACCTGACTCCAAAGTAAAATAAAAATAAATGTGTTTCTCCTCTCAGTCATTGTATATGTAAATCGAGTTTGGCACATCAGGAAGAGAGTGCACAGTGCAGCTCTTTGCAGCAAAGTGGAGATACATTAAGCTAATCTTAGACCATAATAAAAGGCACATTTTCATTGGCGCAATTAACTTTGTGAATGAGAGATTGAGGTGGAGCAGAAAACTTCGAGGCTGTCCTTTATTGATTCGTAAAGACGGGTTTAAAGGTGGTTGACTGCTAATTAAAAACTGGTTGGTATTTGAGGATTTAGAGTGATGTTACATACCAGTGGAAACACTGTAGAAAATGAAAACATCTTGAAAATCAAAAAAAGTTGTCTTGTCCTGAATTTTATTATCACCTGCATCCACAGGATCAACTGTTAAAGTAGAACTAGTTCATATTTGATTGATGACTGTTCATTTATAGCTAACACAAACAGAGCTTCATCTGTTTTACACTCTTCTTTGTTCAAATTATTATGGGCAACTTTTATCTCGGCTCAGTTTTCGTATAAGAATATCATCAAAATACAACACTGTCTGTATAAGCGAGATACTTATAGTTAGGACTCAGTAATTGTAAAAATAGCACACATGCCGTAAATACTTGGTGCATCACAAGATCTCAAAATGTTTCTAATCTTCAGCTCGGTGACTCAGAGCATCAGCCAACCGGAAACAGTCAGTCACAATCTGCAGAACGGCCAAAAACTTCACCAGGTGTCTGCCAAATCCTCAACCCCCGTGAAGAAACAACAACAGCCCACAGCTGACAGCAGCAAGCCAGGGCGGCCTGCAGGAGACAGAAGGTGTGTGTGTGTGAGTGTGTGTGTGAGTGTGTGTGGGAGAGGGTTTGATCCAGTGTTCAGTCAGTGTCGATTTCGAACAGCTATCAGTTGTTGTACAGGGATTTAAGAGCACATTGGTTGCACTTAAACACTGACAAAGGACACTGATAGCTTTCAGGCATCACAGCACATCTTGTTTCAACTCCATATGAACTGCGTCAACATTTTTAGCCATCTTTAAATTTGTGTAAAAAAGAAAACAGGTTTTTGTTGAAGACTTTAAGAAAGACCTTCACTTCACCTGTTTGACCAGCAGGTGGCATCTTGTACTTTTCCATCGTCTTCCCTCCACGTGAAGGAAGAGTGATCAGTTGAGAGAGATCTATTAGTAGCTCCATACATGTTGGAGACATATTACACTGCATTTTCAAAAGAAAAAGTAAACATGGATTTCGTCCTGAGGATAATCGAGAGGATTTGCGTCGTTCCCACTCCGATTGGTTCCAGACTCTCTTTGGCAGCCAATAGGAAGTCTCTGTAGCTGTGAGTCATCATCATGTTGCATGTTGCTGTCCATTTTCAGGATCGGTCCCATTGATAATAACAAGGGACGCAGCTCATCAAAACCCCCCACAGCATGTCCACCACCTCCAGACACACTGCCTCCAGCACCCAACAGGTACCGCATCCCAAACAGCCCACATGGAGGGGGAGGGAAGGAAGGAAGAGGGGCGCTGTTCATTTCTGCATTGTCATTTTTGCTGCCTACATTAGTCCACTCATCTCATGACATGTATCACTGCAGCAAAGAGCCTTTGAATGCAGTCTGAATCGTAATGCACTTTAAAGATCTTTTCATTTGATTGTTGATTCTTTCTTACAGTTTAAAAGCACATTAGCAAATGTTGCTGCAAATGTGCCAGAAATTCAAATCCTTGTCTGCAGCCCGGAGACACTGACATTTTATAAAAAAATGATCATAAAAAATATGGTTTTAGATGAGCACACAAGGAGGCTTGTAGATGTTTTGCACGTCGGTGTCAAACCATCGTTCTCAAAACAAGCCTGATGAGATTACAGGTCGCAAGGTCCTTTTTAAACAAAAGGGACAAAGACAGACAACTTAACAGAGGAGAGAAACAAAAGAAGTCGCTTCACAGACTGACAGCATGGGTTTGAAATATACTGCTCTGCTAAATTAAATGAGATTAATGTAAAATACAATCTTAAGTAAAGACTTCCTCAAGGATGGAGAAAACAGAGGGGGATGCTGCCTGACATGTAGGTCAAGATAAGTCATTGTTTACAGTGTAGGGAAGAGCAACAATATCAAAGCTTTAAATTAGTCTGTCGCAGTTTACTTCTTTTGATGATAACTGTCTCTTAGAAATTTTATTTTGATGTTATGTGAAAAATAAACTCCAGTAATACCTGATCATTTATTATTAGTTCATGAGGTGGATGTGGGTCATTATGCAAGATTCAACCTCCATTCAAATTAGCAGCACAGTATATTGTGCATTTATACTTCCTTATTGTTCTTTTTATTCAGTTTTTACCATAGACTGTATATAGAATGGACGCCGTCTTCCTCCTCGCTGGGTGAAGCCACTTTGAGAACAGCACCCTCTGGTGACGGGCTGCAGTATAGGTCATAAATCCCGCCTCCGCCTGCAAAGCTTATGGAGCTGTGGACAAACTTTCTAAATTTTTTACACAGAATCTAAATATTTCTCCCCCTTGCTTGCGATGTTGACATGTAGTTATTGTAAGACTGGTTTGTCAAGTCCTCTTTTTTTTCTGTTCAGCTCCGTTTTTAAAAGTTATTAGGGGGTTCATGTTCAAAATGCAAGGCTTCAAATCCGTATACTGGCGGAAGGCGAACTAATTTGTCCATAGTACATACATTCTATGGTTTTTACAGTCTTTGTTACTTACAGGAAGTGGCATATATTTAGTTTCAAAATAAAAGTCTATTATTGACACTACAGGAAATAACGCAGCCCAAATGAAGACAAGAAAATAAATTTTTAAGGCGCTCTCCTCTTGATTGAAAGAAGTTTCTGTTGTTGGGCTGGTGATGCAATTAAAACAAAACTATAACATCATTAGAGATGGATGACGACATGTCGGTAAAATAAATGCTCACACTCAATCCTCGCCTTGCTGTTCTTGAATCTGTCTGATCGTGTTCTCCAAGTTGTCCATAAATACTGTGATAATATTTCTATTATAAATTTTTTAGCTACGATAATCATGAAGTGAAAGCTCATCATGACAGTCCCAGTTTTCTGTACTGACAGCAGCGTCTCATTTCACCAAAGTTCCAGTGAAACAAAACTCTGTTTTCTTCTTGACTTCTGCAGTTAAAAGTCTCATCCTCTTAAAACAGAGACGCAGAGTATCAGCAGTTTCCTGCCTCTCTGTGTATCTTCCCATCTTTTTTTTTCTTCCTGTAGGTCTGTCAGCGGGAAGAAGCTTTGCTCCAGCTGCGGGCAGCCGTTAGGAAAAGGGGCGGCCATGATCATCGAGACGCTCAGCCTCTACTTCCACATTCAGTGCTTTAAGGTCGGTGATCGGGAGAGTTCTGTTGTTAAAACCCCTCTGTTTATTTTTCTTTATTTTATTTGTGTTATTATTACAAACAAGTAAAATGTAATTGTGTTGTAAAAGTTCTGTTGGTGTGTTGTTTTTTTTTACTGTATCATAAATGTCTTGAGAAAACAGAAACCAGCAACAAAGCAATGAAACAAATGCTGGTTTATTCAAAGCCTGTTTAACTTCTGTTACAAAATCAGTTTTGGGGACATATCAGTGAGCCACAGAGTGTTTCCTTATGATAGTAAATATGAAAACTTTTATTTATTTTATTTTATACTCCAGGGAACATCAGGTGCCTTAATCCACAGAGAGTTTAGCCTGTTTACATCGATGACTTTTTCTCCTCATTCAAATTAATTTTACAAATTTTACTGGAACTTGCACCTAAATCATTAATTGTTCGTTATAACAAAATGACCTCCTCTGTTTGTCATCCTCGTCAGTGTGGGGTGTGTAAGGGACAGCTGGGCGACACAACCACAGGGACAGACGTCCGGATCAGAAACGGCCTCCTCAACTGCCACCAGTGCTACATCCGCTCCCGCTGTAAGTCCCTCCACCCCTCCCTCTTATGTTTTTATCATCCTCCTCTTATCCTCTCTCACTCTCTCTCTCTTTTTCTTTTCTGTCTTTCGACTAAGTTTCTATCCATCCATCTAAAATAGAAATCAAATAAGAATGTGATCTGGTTCTTTCAGCTGATTCGAAGCAAATCAACCACTGAAAAAAACAAACATTTTCTGTTACATAACGCTCAAAATAAGATCGATTAATCATCCTCTGAAATTTGAGACGAGGTTAGGAGTTGTTGTTTTATATTGTTTGGTAATGTTGGCCATATTTCATATTTCTGCTGATGAATAAGTGCAGTTTTCAATAAAGTGATCGTGTCGTAGAACGAGCAGATCTAGTGCTCATAAAGCACTTAGAAAACGAGGGAAAGGTTTGTTTGATTTATTGTTTCCAAAGTGAACCTGGCACTATTTTATGATAGGAGAATTTCAGCGTGTTTCAAAGGTTTCAGGCTTTATTGCAGCCCCACTGTGAGCCTGACAAGACGAGTGTGTTTTAATATCAAACTTCGACCCGGAGCGGCTTTAATGAAGAAGTGTCAGACTCAGTGAGGCTGGGATGAATGGAGAGACCAAGGAAAGTGGTGACGGTCGTTTTCTGTGTCTTTGTGTTCACCTGGATAAGAGTGAAAGTTCATATTTCTTTAAAGTTACAGACAAATAAGATCTCAGCGGCTCTGAATCTATGAGGATCAAATCAGTGTCATTAGTGCTGAATTAGCATGACCTTAAATTCCCCCAAACAAACTCTTGTGATATAAAAAAATGTGGGTTTTCCTCTCTCTCTCTCTCTCTCTCTCTCTTTTTCTGTCTTTTGTCTTCCTTTCAAGCGGCCGGACAGCCAACCACGTTGTGACGCTCACCAGAAAGCACAAGGTTCATGGATGAAACCCCCGTCTCTTTTTAAAGCGATTATCTGCAAATCATGTCCTTCACAGCGTGTCGGGATCTTAGCATCCTCTGCAGTTCAATAACCAATGAAGATTCATCATGGTGGGGAGGCAAACGGGGATCTGGGGACAGTCTAAGAAAATAATCTCTATTCTTCGTGTTTATGTCATCTAATACGTGACGGGAATCTGGATTTGATTGGTCCACGCAGCAGCAGCACCACCACCACAGACTCTGTTTCATCATGCAGCCAGTGAGCAGGAGGGAGACTGGGGTGGCGGCCATGTTGGAAAGATAACACAACAACACGCACAGATGCATCGAAAACAGGTAGACTGAAGACACGGAGCGAGATGTGGTGTTGGGGTCTGATTTCAGCAGAGTCAGATTCTCTTTGCCTGGTTGGAACAAATGTTAACCATCAAACTCCATCTAATGGAAATGCAGTATATCAAAGGAGTCGCTTTTTTATCAGTAAAGGAAGATTTTCTTATTGAGTAGTGATCAAATTGAAAAGCGTCGATCATGTGAGGCAGCTCAGACAGGATTTTTTATTTTCTATGAACAGACTGGATCTGAAAGACGGCGATCGGCACTTCCTCACAGAAGCAAACGGCGAAATAAAAACAAAAAAACCAAGAGATTGAAAAAGTAAAGTGCAATAAAGGTCACTATAAACCCTCTTTTTAGATTTAAAAACGCAATATTTACAATTATCCTATTTTCTGGTTCTCCACAGTGACCTCCTCTGCCCCTTCTCATGTGCTCTTTAATGAAATCAGCTTCTTAGATACACACATATTATGGATGTAGTTTCATCATGAGGGCAATAACCAGACTTGTGAGCTGTGTGTTTGTGTGGTTTCGGGTCACAGCAGGATGCTCCTCGTTCAGCTGGGAAAGTCAGGACTTCAATGTGCCTTAGAGGAAAGCAAGTTGATGTAGGAATGGTAATGAAACGCCAGCTGTTGGTGTTTTTTCTTCTTCCTTTCTTCTTTTTCTTTCTCGCTTATTTTTATTGAAGGTGTAGGGAGGGGTTTTGGCCAAATTTGAACTCTTAAACTGCAGACACGCGGGCTGCAGCCTTCCCTGACTTCACGCTTTACTTCAGCTGATAAGCACTCTTTTATTTTGCGTAAACGTCGCCCTTAATTTCTTATCACCCTGCCTGTGATTTCTCAATGATTTGCAGTGATAAGAAAAAAAAAACAAGTAGGTCAAAGGATCACATTCACCTTTCTGGACAGTTTATTATTATTATTATTATTATTACCAGGCAGGGTGAAACCATTGATTTAACTCTGAATGTTTTATTCTAGAGCGATTTAGGTTCTGTGCGCTAATAATTGAGGTTATTTTGATAATTGCTCAGTGGTAGGATTCATTTATACACTTTCAAACAAACACCACCAGTACATGTCACATCGAGTGAAACCGCAGAGGTGATACGGACGAACATACCAGCAGCAGTTTGCGCTTGTGCAACGTTCAGTTGGATGAGAATTGAAGATCTGTGCTGCCAGCTGCACATTTCAGTCACTTGCCTCTTTATTTTTTCTCTTTTCTTTCTTTTGAACTTGTAAGAGAGATTGGTTATGTATCATGGATGTTTAAAAAAAAATGCACGTTAAGCCTAAAAACCAAATGATTTGCTGTATGAAAGCAAACTAGCAGCCTCTTTCTCCTCCTCTTTTAGCGAAGCTTCTCCCCCGGGTTCATCTCTCTCTGATCTACAGTATTTTTAAGCTTCTGTTCCGATCGTGTATTTTTATTTTTTATCCTCATTTAGTTCTTAAATAAATCTCAGCTGAGTCTCTTATAGCGGGATCTTTGAGACGGAGCTCTATATCCAGACGGTCTTCTTAACAGGATAGTTGGGGAATGAAACCTTTTATGTCTGTTCTGTATTTATTGTAATATTCACCTGAACACTATCTGAAATATAGATTAATTTGATGTTTAAATGCAATGGCATTTATAGCATACTGTATGTTTATAAATAAAATGTTATACATACAAACTGGACTGATGTTTCTTTCTTTCTGGCCGGAAAATAACGTGTGAGCTGAATTATTGAAGCAAATCAGATCCTTACACATTTTAATACTGCGGTATTAAATGTGTAACGATAAAGGTGTAAATGTAAATGTTCACCTCGTGAGTCAGTCAGGTGTTTGATTTGTGGCATCATCTGTTTGTGTCCTGAGTTGTGTTGACTGCAGCTCCTCCTCTTCCTCCTCCTTGGTTTATTTATTTACCTTAAACTTTGATCAATAGTTTGACTTTATTATTAGTTGTACTTTTTTTATAACAAGAAAACCACATCATCAAGCTTAAAGATGGTGCACAGGCTGAATGATGTACAGGTCTCAGCAAATTTGAACATTATAAAAACGGTTTTTTTTTTGTTTTTTTTTTAACTTTGATATTTGCTGGATCTCTAGAGAAATATCTCAACCATTTATTTTTATTTTTTCTCTTTTTGTTGTTTTAATTTCAGAAATACGGCTTCTAGCTCATGGAAATCAGAAATCCACCACCTCAGGATGATTGGTATATTTCCATTTATCAATCAAAACTAGGATTTAAAATTGAGAAATGTCCACCTTCTATTCTATTAAGTTCATTTGTGTGCTCGAAACATGGATATGACTCCTTAACCACAAACTACGTCCTCTAGTAGAGCTTTAATTTGTTTTGATGCACCCTTAAAACTACTCCATAAACCAGTAACTACAATAATAAGAATACAAAAATGAAAAACTGCAATACTCTATTTCTCTGATGTAAAAAAAATGGAGTATTGCAGTTTTGTCTCTTCACTGAACCTTGGAAGTGCTGCTTTCTTTTGAAGACACCCTTTACTCTATATTTGCATTCAAATGTTGAGTTAACGTCTCCTTTTGTGTATTACTAATATTATCAACAGCCGCTTAACCCTCCCTCCTTCTGTCCTATTGTTTTGACATTTTTTATCATTTGTTTTATAAATAAGTAATCACTTTAAAGTGCAGCTGTTGAAAACACACACAACTGAGAATAGAGTCCAGTTAAACAGACCAGCTAAGATTAAGGCCCCTGAAAACATCTAAGAGTAATCTTTGGATTTTACTTTATTTATCTAAATGTAAAAGTGTGATCTCTCCAATCCAAAACCATGAATGTTTAAATCTTAAATCTGGATTTTAGGATCTAAAAGCTGCAAAAAAAAAATACCTATAACTTAGAATTGCATTATTTTTTTTCCAAATTCTGGTCAATGTTTTGGCCAGATATCAGCCGCTGGAGGAGGACAATGAAGAAAAAGACAAAGTTTTGCTTAAAATGGCAATTTGAAGCTTTGAAAAATATATTCACTGACTTTAAATAGATTCATAAACTGCATTTGAGTATAAGACGATTATTTCTTTATTCTGATTTCCATTTCCTTAAATATCTGGAGCATAATTTCAGGTCTGTTTATTAAAAACAACAACATACTATTGCCTCTGAACATCTAAACTTGGTGAAGTTGTTGAAGCAAATATTGAGATTATCACGTTAAAGCAAATATTGAATATTGAATGAAGTGTGTCTTTATCTGTTGCTGTCCGTGGTGCTGAAACCTCCAGGATAAACTTCTGAATCATCTACAAACTCTTATATTCACCGAAAGAAAACATCACAAAGCAACTTGGACTATTATTTCTTTTTTATCATCAACAACCATTTCAATGGTACACCTGGAAAACTATGTGCACATGTAGAAATATTTCCGTCTTAAATATAAGCATTCATTACCTACATATAAATAACTTTCAGATCCGGGACAAAAACATGTTACATAATGCTCACAAAATGGAAGAGAAATCATTTGAAAATCAGACAAAGAGACAACATGCAAATTATATCCAAATAAATACAATGTTTGCATCCATTCCCTTTTTTACCAAAATAAATTCTTCCGAGGGAACTTTGTAAAACATCGAAAAGACTTGTATGATCGATCTACGAGGGAGTATGGCCTATGGTTCAACTATAGGAGACGAGGATACGTATTAACACTATACAATTTGAGCCACAAAAACACTGCCGTAGAAAGACACACAAAACATACAGATTTCCTGTCAGAGGTGAACATTGCAGTAGTTTGTGCCTTTTTTTTTCTTCGAGGAAATAATTGTGTTTTTATATCGATAATTTAAAGAAACTAAACTCTCAGCAGCCCTGGAAACAAAAACACAGCCGTGAAGAGGCAGATCGTGTCTACAGAGAACAGAAAAGCGGGATGCGTCTGCGTGGCGTGGCGTGGGATAGTTTGTTGTGTCACAGCGTGGGGTTTGAGAGAGACAGTCCTCACTCGTGGGTTTTAATCGTCTCTCTGCCGGACAAAGCAGCTGTTGAACTCTGACATTGAATGGGACTTAACGAGGCTCCTTTTTTACGCACTGATGGCACGACGCGTTTCCAGTGCGCAGGCGTATGTTTGCTCTGAAACTTGGTGCAAAAAGAGTCCATCTTAACAAGTCACTTCCTCAGATTAAATGTGTCGTTTTATTTCTCAAAGCAAGAGTTTAATTTTCTGATTCTAGGTTGGATCTGTTCTGATCTGGATTTACGCATCAATGAAAGTGTCATTAACATCATACCTCCGTGTAGATGAGATTTGCTCTTGCTTAAAGAGAAAAAAAGTACCTGATGACTTGTCAAGGTGGATCTTTTCACAGCTAAAGTGTCCACTGACCACAAGAAACGGCGCAAGGCATAAAAATAAACTAAGAGAGTTATCATCATCATCTTCTTTTAACTGCGGTTTATTGTCCTTTAGTCTGTCTCGGGAAATTGCTTTTCAGTCTCCGGAGGATGAGGAAGCCTTTTTCTCTCTCCCTCTGCTCTCTGCTCTCTGTCTTCCTCCGCCGTGGAGCTGCATTAGAACATGCTGGTCTTTACTAACGTCGCTTTGGCTCCGTTCTGTCTTTGCAAAGAGGACAGTACGCTGGCGAACGGCCCGCCCAATGAGTCCGGGATAGAGGTGATGGTCCCCGGGGCGGTGGCCCAGCCTTGGCTCGGTGCTGTCACGCCCATACCGGTGGACACTGAGGTCTTCACCTGGTCCACCTGTCCGTTCCCGGTGGTGTTGACTTGGCCTCCGGTGGGGCTCGGTCCGCCGCAGTTGGAGGTGGGGACGGGGTTCGGGCCCGGTCCTCCTGTGCTGTCAGGGTCGGTCGATTTGGTGTCTTTGCTGTCTTCATCTCTGGAGTCTGACTTCTTTCCAGAACTGGATTTGGCTGCTGCTGCGGCTGCTGCAGCTGCGCGCTCCTGCTTGCGGAACTTGGCACGTCGGTTTTGGAACCACACCTGAAAAAGCGAGAAAGGGTGTTAAGATCCAAAGTTAAACCACCATGAATGCTTGTTTTGCACCAACAATGACTCCTGCTTGACTTCAACTAACTGTCTCCCGTGGTTACACAAAAATGTGACCAAAAGGTATGTTTGCACAGTTCCAGTTTGAAATGAATTTATCATTTCATCTCTTTACGCATTAAGATAGGAAATAGTGCCAGCAGTAGTAGGCCCGTGGATCATCACCATAAAGTTTTATTTTCTTTAAATCTATATGTAAGACTCTATATGTCACAAATATGTATATAAAATATATGTCTTTTTTATTTGGATCATGAATCCGATCGTGCGTAATGGAGCAGGTTGTCTGTGTACCTGCACTCTGGCTTCGGTCAGATCGATTTTGAGTGCCAGCTCCTCTCTGGTGTAGATATCCGGGTAGTGAGTTTCAGCAAAAACCCGCTCGAGCTCCTTAAGCTGGGCGCTGGTGAACGTGGTCCGGATGCGCCTCTGCTTCCTCTTCTCGTTCAGTCCTCCGTGATCCGTGAAGAGTTTGTAGGGAACTGTGGAGGAAATAAAATAGAAAAAAAAGAGAGGCACCGTTAGAGGTGCGGTGGTCTCATCTGTGCAGGGGGAGATATGAGTGTGTGTGTCTGTGTGTGTAATTGTGATGTTGTCAGATAGAAGGGAAGTCAAATTCGATATTTTGTGTAAAATCCGGTTAAGGATGCTGGGCTAAAGCTTTCAATCGTATTAAGCCTCTGATTACCTGCGAATTACTTCAGAATTGATAACGCTGCTGACCTGTGATGCGGTTAATTGTAATGTTAAACTAATTGTTGCTCCTCAGATTGAGGCTCAAGTTTGAAAACTTGTCATAATGTTCCCATCCGCCCCGTGTGTTGCTACTGTAACTCCAATTCGGTGTCAATAATGAGCTTTAGTCTTTGGTTATCTAATTATTTTCGAAGCTTTATGTCTCATCGCAAAGTAAATAAATTATGCCGATCATTTTGGCAGCTTAAGATAATTCTGTTGGCGGTTTTGGGTGTGACTGGGATAGTATAACCCCGTAACCGAATTACCGCTTGCCTGCAATCGCTTCTAACGTGATAAATTCTTTCATTTGTGTAAGCAAATTTCGTTTGGTAAATACTAAACACATTTCCATTTTCAAATGCAATCAAGACGTCCTATAATACAGCGGGTTGAGGCTCCGGAGCCGCTGCTTACCTGCGGCGTACGGGCTGCTCTGGTGGTCCCGCAGGGTCCCCAGGCTGCAGGAGCCCGGCGTGAGGGACGGACAGCCGGAGGTGGCCCCGAAAGTGGTCCTGATGGGATTGTACTGAAACCCGCTGGCTTGACTGCACGAACTGAAGTCCGCATAGGCCGATGCCAAGCTCGAAGTGTCCATCCCGGCCATACATGACTCGTAGGCAGAGGAATTTAGGTAAGAATACTCCATTTTATACATTTGAGAAGGCTCGGTGGAGTTAGAAAGCTGCACTTCCCGGGAAAAAAAAGATGACAAATAAAAAGTGCACCCAAAAAATTGGGTTAGAAAGTTAAAAAAAAAATAATCAAAACCAAAAAAGAGGAGGACGCGCGGTCTGAACTGGGGGGCAGAGAGGACTTGTTTGGTTTGAACTGGTTGGAAAGAGGCTGGACGGTGGGTAGATGTTCACTGCTCAGCGCCTGCTCCAAAACTGGCCTCCTTTATAGGAACCTAGCCCTGTTTTATGAAAAGCCCCCTAAGAGCCGCCTAGCCCGAGGTCTCTAGAGCATATAGTCCTCATAATAAACTTGGCTCTTTCCGCTTGGACAATAGCAAAGCGTTTGGTCTTATTGCTAGCGCTTTTTTACATGACAATAACTCATCAGTCTATTGGGCTGGCACTGGGGGCCCGGGCTGTCCAACCTCCCTATCATTGATCCCCTGCATCTCTAATTAGAATTTAATACCACGCCATTACGCAGCCCTCCACCACCACCGCTACCCCTCCACCCATCCACCCCACTCCTCTCCAACCACCATCTTGCCCTTTAATTCAATCACACCACTTGGAAATAATGAAAGTTGGGTGACGATTCTCCCTGATCCAATTTTCTCCAAGCTTTTAAGCCTTTTAAGCGACCGTATACCTTGGGCAGGATTTCACATAGTATTCCCCCTCTGCCTTCTCTCCCTGCCCGTATGCTCCGACTGTTTGCTCCATGGTTTTTTATTCTCATCCTCTGCACTGGAGCAGGAGGGGAGAAAAAAACACACAGGCTTGTTTTTTTGTGTGTGCAGGTGCAACGAACAATTCTGTCCTCAAGGTTTGCGCAAAATCTCACCACATAAAGGGCAGATTTTGCTTTTTTTTCTTTGCATCATTTATGGCCTGAATTGTTTTTGCTTCCTTTCAGGTACAGCTCGAAAGAAAACGAGTGAAAGACGCAGTTACGCACGATAGTTCCCTCTCCTGTGTAGATTTTTCAACATTAAAAGTTTTGCACAATACACAGCTACAATAACCAAAAAAATGATCCCTCACTTCTTCTCCTCTTGTCTTGTTTTATTCTCAATTTCTCCTCACTGGTTGTTCCTTTTTTTGTTATGAATAAATATAGAACTTTAAAACCTTCTTTTACTATTTGTTGATATATAAATATGAAGCCAAGAACATGAACAAATGCTCCACCTGCCCATGGTTTTTAAAACTCAACTGAACATAATTACGCACAGCGTAAATACGCGCAGTAATAAACAGATGTAATCCTGCAGATTAAATATCCACTGCCCCTTTTTCCTGAATAAACGCTCTTTATTTCTGATTCTCGCCCTTCACTGCTGCAGCATCATCTGCGCTATAAACTTCCGGGTGTGTTTTTTATGATTCAAATGAGTTTGTAATTGTCTTTATTACTTTCATTATTTCGTTTATTTGGCAAATAACATCTTTCTAATGAAAGTAACGAACTGGGAGGCAGTCATCGGACCTCTCAGGCTCACAATATTGGCTGAGTGCTTAATTCGGTTTGGGTAATAAGGTGAACCGTTTTGTATGGCGCTTACACACTCTGCGTGTTTCTGCTTTTTTTTCTTCTCAGTGGACAGAGTTCAAGTCCTCGACTGGAAGCTGCGCCTTTTTTCTCCTCCAAATTATGGAAACACAAACACGGGGATTCTGGTTCAATAATTCGATTTGGCAGATGAGACTTTGCTATTTGGAGGCGTTCATCAGCAGCTCTGTTTCACTCATTGATCAGTGAGATTCTGCTCTGAAATATCACTGTAATATCGCCATAAATACACTGCAGGGACTGGGTGTGTGTGCGTAAAGCGCAGCGGGGAGCTTTTATCATCATACGAGGCAGACGAAACAAAGTCTCCTAGATTGTCAGGTTTGTTGAGAGATGCAGACTTTGTTTATCTTGATTTTATTTTTTGTCGTGGACTCCAGATTATAAACAAGTCAGGCCCTGATGAAGAAGAAAAGACAATTAGTTGTCTCCAAATGTCTTTTTTAAGAATCAAAACTCTAGATTTTGATTTTGAGGTGAAATTTGTCTCCAAATGCTTTTTACGCATGAACCATTTTGACCTTTATTCTCCAGACTCCAAGGTGCAGCTTCTGTTTTCCTTTTTTATGAGTTAAACTAAGAGCAGACCCGCACCCTTTTACCATCCATTATTTCTCCTCCACAATCGCTGACGTGTTGCTGTGTGTTTCTGCCTTTTCTTTCCTCGACGAGAGCCCAAAAAGAGAGAAAAGTTAATTCTTTCTTGACACAACCCGGTGCCTATTATGTAAATGTTTTCTTTTTTTATTTTCTCCTTTTCTTACACACGAGCTGGGACCCAAAAGTTGTACCAAATGGTTAATTTGATTATTGAAACCAAAGAGCCAAATGGTTCACCGTCCTCCCTCCACGCGTCTGGCAGCGAGAAAAGAAGCCATCTCTGGGAATTAATCTAATAACGCTCAAAGAAACGAGAAGTCTTTTCTGATATTTCGCCGAGGCAAATACAATTACAGCTTTTAGCCGTCGCTTTCTTTCACTGAAGCAGCTCTTTATTCTTCTGCTCTATAGTCCCTCCACCAGCCTCCACCAGCTATTGAAACGCCTCCTCTTTGATAGTTTCAACATCTTTTAATTCTTTCAGCTGCTTCGACCGAGATGAGGGGCCACAGTTTGATATTTTGATGTGATAACGTTAAATCAAAACGGCCAAACTCTGCAGCCTGAGAACATTTAACGATTTACTGAAGCTTTTTGCAAGATGCAAAACCTGCAGACGTCCTGTGTAGCTGCAGGTTGCACCAAACTGTGATTTACAGTAACATAATGAGGCTTTAATTCGCGTTAAGCGGCGGTTAATTCGTAATTATGAGGCAAATAAAGGGCTGCAACCGTATGCCTTCACTTAAATAAATCAGCAAAATGCAATGTGAGCGAGACCCTAAACTCCCCTGGCAAGTGCCGGACAATAGGCGGGATGCGGGAGGAACTCCTCTCCATTTAGTGCGCACTATCGTTGCTCAGCAATATCGGAATGCGGGTCGACAGGAGGGACAAAAAGAGGAACAAAATACCATTGTCTCTGGATGGATTGGATGGATCCACTCCCCCGAAAAGGCAAAGAATCAGAGGAGGATAAAGAGAGGGAGAGCGCGATGGGAGGGTCCCGCTGTCACAATTCACCTCCAATGTCTCACTCCTCCGCCCGAGGAAATCCTGCGCTTATCAAAACGCTTATTAATAAGGCCGCGTGTTGCAGGGGAGGGGCGGATAAAAAATTCATTTTGGAGATGCTCTCGTGGCGATTTAGTCTGATGTCTCAATTTGACAGACAGGATTAGGATGGGAAAACGCGGGGGCTCAGGTTCACCTGTAAATGCTTGAAAATACTCAAAATCAAAGCTAAAACTGACTGTCCTCCAACTCCATCATCCATCCTCCACTTAAATATTCTGTAATAAGTCATAAAACATAATTTCCATGTGCTTGGAAACAAGATAACACAAGACAGGAAATATCTAGGCCCACAACATGAGAGTTAAAGGTGTTTCTGGCCTGTGCGTAAATACGCATCGCGTTTCCAAGCGCACAGATGGAAAGTGACATCTGGAGAAGAGGCAAAATTCAATTAGGAGCTGGTGTCTTCTCTCTGTGTCTACAAAAAAAAAACCGATCACCACAAAAGACCTCAGAGGTCTGTGCCTCACGCAGACTCCTCTTGTTGTTGTTTTGGGGACGTTTTTTTGACGTGTTTTCACCTGATGAGTCTGTCTTCTGAGCCTGCTGTGTGCCCTGATGGTGAAGGTCAGGGATGCAAAGTAAGATGATCTTATTTTGTCGAGGATGTAGACTTATTTACCTTTTTACCTTCTTAATTTTATTTCTTTCATTCTTATAATGCACAAAATACGAAGTTTATGTTTTAAATTTGAAATAAAACGACCATTTCTACTGATTCTACACAACAAAAGGAGGTGACTATCTTCTCCTCATGTGTTCCAGGCTCTTCTTTGTGTGTGATACTCCTCTCTTTTCTCTCACTGTCTCCTCTTTTTATCTTCCAGATGCTGCAGCCAGCCTCCTACACGGCACAGCTCGTCTCCTCTGGCCTCTCTGAGCCTTTATCTGTGCTTCCCGAGTGACCAAGAGAGCAGCCAGTGGATTAACATAAAAATCTTATTCCGGGGGATAAGATTAGGAAACATATTACCCTCAAACGCGGCCTTGGCACGAGCGCGAGCCAGGCAAAGAATCAATTACTAAATTACTCCAACCTCTAAGTCGACATTAACGCAGAGAAATGCCATCGACCGGTTCTGAAATAAGATTTCGCAAAGATGTGATCATTAAATCTCTTGCCAGTGTTCAAGAATTTGATTCATAAAATCGTCTGAAATGAGATGGAATTAAATTCTTATCGGGGCCCTTGTCATCGTTTCATCCCGCGCTGTTTAACGTTGGTCAATGGCCTTCATGAGATTTTCCCTGTAAATAAACTTCGTAATTGAATCCGCCTCTCCACGACACATTGTTTGCTTGTTATTAATTTATTGTAGGAGGGTGGAGGGGTGGATGGAGCATGCAGGACTGAGTCTGGACTGGCTGTTTCTGCTGCTGCTGTAGAAGACTCTTTCTGGGTGTTTTTTTACGCACAAACACCAAGACTGAGGGCTACATGTGAAAAATCATCTGTCAATTTTTCCTTTTTTTGGCCTCCCCCTACTGGGGTCAAGGCATATTTTATTTAGCAAAGTCTACTGGCATTGCCCCCCCTTCCCACCCCCGCATTAGCAATTGACAATTATTAGCCTCAGCCTCATAAATCAGCTGCGTGACCCGTTATTATTGTTGAATTGAATAGCTGTTGGGGAAGTGAGGGTCAGTGTCATTAACTCGCCCCCCTCCCCTCCTCCCCATCCCTCTCCACACCCACCCTCGGGCCCCCTGAAGGCATTTGGCCCTCTATACAAGGACCTGCTGGCTAATAATGCTGTGTGTGCGGCCCTAAAAGCTTAATCACACATGCATTAAGCGGCAGACAGCGGCCTTTTGTGCGCACGTAGGTTTACTGGAATTAAGCGATTAATGGTCATCTGAGCGGCAGGCGACAAGGCGGCGCATCGAGGATGATGGAGCGATTTTTAATGTCAGAGCGAGAAAGAAGAAGGGAAAAAAAAGAGCAGAGTGGGAGATTTAGCCTGTAGGAGCGGAGGCGTTAAAGGAAGAGAGGAGGGAGGGAGGAGTGGGCTGCAATTACAGTAGGCCATGTCTCCCAATCCATCATAAAACGTCAAGGTCATTGTGAATTATATTGATTATGATACAACGCTTTGTAAGCTTTATTACCCCTCCCCCCTCCTCCGCATTATAATATGCAAAATATAGCACACATGTAAACACCTGCTATCAATTTCTAA